GAGTATGGGTGAGAGGTTTTCTGTCCTGGGGAGAGATCACACACACAGACACACACACACACACACACACACACACACACACACACACACACACACACACACACACACACACACACACACACACACACACACACACTGGAACTACCAACAAGAGTATGGGTGAGAGGTTACCCACAGAGTCAAGAATGACTCAAAGACAGCTGCATCACAGAAGGCCCAGCCCAGCATGGTGACAGCTTATGAAAGCTGAAGTCTGCAGCTCAATGCAGGGCATGCAAACAGGTCAACAGGTTGCAGAGTGCCTTTAAGCAGGTGGGCTGGTCTGCATCCTTCCAGGCTCCTCAGCTGCTCTGTCCTTTTAGTTACTCTTTCTGTTTGTGAAACCTCGGGGAGGGAGGGGAGCAGAGGATTTGGTCAGTTTCAGGACTTCCTGAAACTTCTGTGTTGTTCGCTTCCTGAGCTTCAGAGGAAATTGCTATTTAAGTAGAAAGCCCTGCATTGGAAATTTCTTCATGGTATCCTACCTAATTCTCATGTGAGTTAATATACTAACAAAGTGTCTGGAGTTTGGAAAATAATATTGAGGTTGTTCCCTTGCCCCAAGTAAAATCTCTTGTGGAATTTTAGTGTTCAGATAGCTTTGGCTATTACTAGAGATATTTTGAAATTATGTAATGTCCATATATGTTCCCACATGTACGTAAGTCTCAGGTGTGTATATGTGTACGCATGTGTGTGTGATTGTAAACATTTTTGTCTAAAGTGGGTGCTTTTTAAAAGTAGGTACTATACAGATTCTTAAATATTAATTTTATTCAAACACTTAAACTTATGGCAATAGCTATTTCTCCTTTTATTTCTGTTACTGGGATTAAACACTATGGCCAAAAGCCACTTGGGAAGGAGAGGGTTTGTTTCATCTTACAGTTTCCAGGCCAGCATTGAGAGACTTCAGGGAATGAATTCATGCAGAGGCCAGGGAAGCCTGCTGCTTTCTGGCTTGCCCTCGATGGCCCGCTCCGCTCAACTTCTTACACCACCCAGGACCACCTGACGGGCATGGCACCACCCATAGGAGGCTCGGCCCTCCCATATTAATCATTGATCAAGAAAATGTTCCCACAGTCTTACTCACGGGCCAGCCCGATGGAGGCAGTTCCTCAGTTAACATTGCCTGTCCCCTGATGACTCTCGCTTGTGTCAAGGAAACAAACTCACTCACCAGCACTCTCTTTTACATACATTTTTACTTTATATTTTCACAGTACATTAGGGCTGTTAAGCATGTGTAGTAGTTTGCCCTTGTTTTTGAGACAGGGTCTCACTGTAGCCCTGACTGGCCTAGAACTCTGTACGTAGACCAGGCTGGCTTCATTACAAGAGATCTTCCCATCTTTGCTAGAAATTAAGTTGTGTAACACCACATCTGACAGGTTTGTACTTTCTGGTCATACTTTCAACTTGACTTTATGTCCTTTTGAGCTTATATTTTCAATTTAAAATTTATGTAATTTTCTCAAATCTTCACTTTGATTGTAATCATTTCTAAAAGAAAAGATGGAGTATGGTGCTAAAAAATATAGTCTATGGTGATTGGGTCATTTGGAAAAATTAAATTATCGTAAGGTAATAAAAACAACCAAGAGCTTGTCCATAAAACAACACTTTCCTATAGAAAAAAAAAATCTAGCATATATTTTTGCCAGGATTGCTTTATATGATTAGGAAAATCCTCTATAAAATAAGGGAATTATAATAGTTAGTGCTCAGCACCTTACAGTGGAATGTAGGGACATAGAGCCTCCATGTGCCTGCAGTGTGGTCTGATGCTAAGTTTCGTACTTAAACCAGGTTGAAAATGAAATTCCTGCTAACAGTCCACAAAAGTGAGATGTTAGCTTTACAGTGGGACTAAGTATCGCCAATAAGTGAAAAGCATCTGAATTTCTTAGTGTGTATGGCGTTCGTGTGTGTGTGTGTGTGTGTGTGTGTGTGTGTGTGTGTATGTGTATGCATGCATGATGTGTGTGGTATACAGGTGTGTGCCCTTGAGCCATATATAGAAGCCAGAGCAGGATCTTGGGTATCTTCTATTGGAGTCTGCCTTATTGCCTTGATAGGTCTCTGCTGAGCTGAGCTAAAGCTCACCATTGGCCAGCCAAGCTCTTGGGATCCATCTCTCTCTGCCACCCAATGCTGAGGTTACAGACACACAAAGTCGTGCCCAGCTTTTATTTGGGCGTTAGGGATTTGAACACAGCACAGGCTTGCAAATCAAATGCTTTTTCCCACTGAGGCATCTCCCTAGCCCCAAACAGATGACATTTTTAAGGACTGTGTTATCCCAATGAGATTACCAAGAGAGGAGGAGGTGGATAGGACCCAGCACAGGCCTCTGGGTGCTCCGGGCAGAGGAAGAAGGCCACTGAAAGACTAGAAAGGGCCAATGAAGCAGGGTAGCAGTATAATTTTGAAGACTCCTAAGGTCTTTGTTTTTCCCAGTGTTTTTTTTTCTATTTTTGCTTACCTAATTTACTTTGTCTACTTCACACTTTTGGTAGGGGCCAAGCACTGTAGTTACTGCTGTGGTAAAGTGTTAAGTTCAAGATAGAAGAGGGGGCTTGTTCAGACTCACTGTACTGTGCAGCTGTTTCTGTTCTGAAATGACATCATTCTAAAGGAAGTTTTGTGTTTTATTCTCTTGGTCAAAAAACTTCATTCTTCAATGACTTTATTCATTCCCTTTGGGATTACTCAGTGTTTACGCTCTTTGCTAATGGCAGGGTTCTCATAATAGCATGCTGTTTCTTGTTCAGAGATTGGCAGACTCAGAGTCTGGTTTTTATTTCTCCAGGAAATTTGAATTTTGTGGAAGCAAAACAATGTTTTTATTGGGAGAACTTTAGATACTTGGTCTAGACTTTTGTACATACCTGTTCAGTATTCTTGACATCAGTAGATGTCATGGGTCTGTGAATTTTTTTTTTTAAAGTATTATTTGTAGAGGGATGCCCCTTACCTGGAATGCTGTCAGTGGTAAATTGTGGTGATCACACTGGTAGATGTGGACGTCAGTGAGAAGTTGGTGAGGACGTTCTGGAATGTGAACAAATAGGAAGTGGAGCTACATTTCCAGTTCATGAACACTCCCTTCCAAGCCCTAATAAAAGTATGCATAGATTTTTTTTTTGCGGGGCGGGGGGTGTTATGGAATCCTGCCTTTCTTTAGGTATAAAAAGGAAACAAACAAAACAGAGGTACACATTTGTGTTTGCCTTTCTTCTGAACATTGATGATGTACTTGAGTTCTTGTGCAAATGGCCGCTAAACAGTGTTCCAAGTAACTTACTACTCATTCCTCCCACATTACCTGGAGCACACTGTGTGTGTCCCTGAGAGCCTGTGGGGTTATAGAAAGGCTTCCTCTGTAAAGTAATAGGAAAGTTCTGAAGAGATCTGAGAGTGAGGGGTGGGTTCTGCAGGGAGTAGGGAGTGAGCGTGCTACAGAGAATGGGGAGGGTGGGTGCTGCAGAGAGTGAGGGGTGGGTGCTGCAGAGAGTGGGGGGTGGGTGCTGCAGAGAGTGAGGGGTGGGTGCTGCAGAGAGTGAGGGGTGGGTGCTGCAGGGAGTAGGGAGTGAGCGTGCTACAGAGAATGGGGAGGGTGGGTGCTGCAGAGAGTGAGGGGTGGGTGCTGCAGAGAGTGGGGAGGGAAAATGTGCTTCTGCTCTTGGGAAGACTTTGTTGTTTCCACATTTATCTATATTCTTTTAAAGCTTTCTTCTTGAGTTCAAAATTCAAGGCTCAGACTCAGTGAGGTTCTGACCATCATGTTCCACCATTCTTGGTACAAAGAATATTTAAGAAGTCTTTTCCTCATGTAGATAGAACTAGCTTCAGAGTATCCCTCTAGTATAGGGCAGCATGTCTTACAAATTAAAAAGGGATAAAGTTGTGTGAGCATGTGTGTGTGTGTGTGTGTGTGTGTGTGTCTGTGCATGTGCATGTATGTCTTTGTGTATGTGTGTGCATGCACGTGTACGTGTATGTCTGTGCCTGTGTGTGCATGCATGTGTGTGTGTGTGTGTGTGTGTGTGTGTGTGTGTCTAGAAGAAAGACTGATTATGAGGGAGGTTATAGTGCACAGATGAATGAGATTTTGCAAGTCAAATTACTAACTAACCAATCTGCTCACTCACATGCCTGAAGATATTTACTAGTGGATGTATGTTTCAGTCGGAGGATAAACTGTAGAAGTTTATTAGGACTTGGTCCTTGCTATCTTGGAGTTAACCATTGAGCAAAACAAAGTGTACACACACACACACACACACACACACACACACACAGAAAGAAAAGAAAAGAAAAGAAAAGAAAAGAAAAGAAAAGAAAAGAAAAGAAAAGAAAAGAAAAACCAACCATAGATTGCTAGGGTAAAGAAGTCTAAAATACCCTTGTTGCTACTCGGAGTACAGCCTAGGAGCACAAGGAGCTCAGACAGGATGGGTTGGGAAGGTTAGCGAGTGTCCTGTAGAGGAGGTGGGCCAACTCCGCTTGGAAGGAGAAAGGATTGTAACCACCACCAACACATAGGACATCCTAAGCAGAGGGAGCAGTGGACATGCCATTAAGCTATGCACAGAACTTTGGCATGTGAGGAGAATCTGAGAGGATGCTGGCTGCTTTAGAAGGATGACATGGGAAGAAAGGAGCTTCAGTCAGTTGAGTAGGACAGGTAGAGTCCTAAGATGCCATCAATAGGGCATTTATAGATTCTGGGAAATTACATATGCTCGCTTTTTATATTTTTCTTGTGTTTCTTTTGGCCCATACAAGCCTCTGAGACAAGCAATGCCAGTGTTTGAAGGAGGCCTCGGTTTTAATATCGGTATTGTACTAGTATTTGCCAGATGCGTTACTTAGGTGGCTAATACGTGCTAATACGTGCGCCTGTCCTGTTGAATTGGCATGGAAGAAACTTAACACAGTGCACTTTTTCCTAGGCCGGACCTGATAGACATGAATACTGTTGCTGTTCAAAGCAACCTTGCAAATTTAGAGCATGCTTTTTATGTAGCTGAAAAAATCGGTGTTATAAGACTTCTGGACCCCGAAGGTGAGTCATTTTCTTGACTCTTAACCTGCGCTGCCACGCACATCTCACCAGAAGTCACATTAGCGTCGTGAAATAATTCGTCTCTTGCTGCTTGTAGATGTGGATGTCTCTTCGCCTGATGAGAAGTCAGTAATAACCTATGTGTCCTCCCTGTATGACGCATTTCCCAAAGTCCCCGAAGGTGGTGAAGGCATTGGTGCAAACGTGAGTATTGGTTGTCCCGCACTTAAAGCTGTTGGGTCGTTGATGACCAGCAGTTGAACTGCTTGCTCATTAGTGCAGGGCTTTAAAAATAGATTTTAAATGCAATTAAATATCTGAGCTAATGTGCCATTTTTCTGACCGTACGTACACCTCACAGCATCGTTCCACCACTGAAATTGAAGTGTCACTAAGTTGTCCTGTGTCACAAATAAAAGAAACTATTTGGGAGCCACGGCACATCTGTGAACGAAAGTAATGAGTGACCAGAATGTAAATATTTTCCCTTTTAACTTGCTGCCCTTTTACAACCGCTGGCTCTCCTGTCCTTCTGTGTAGCTAGGCCATCTCTCTGTAGAACGCAAGTTAAAGTTGATTCAGGTGACCCCGTGAAGTTAGCTGACTAGATAGTTGTTTTCTGACTTGTCTAGATGAAGGTCTCTGTGTTTGACCAGGTGGCCAGAGCTAGGTTTCTGACACACACTCTGGCTATTGTGACCGCCCTAGAATCACCGTTTCTCAAAGGCTTGTGGAATTGAACCCCGCTGTGCCGAACAAACGCTATGTCTAGAAGTGAACAGGCAGCGGTTTGTTTGAGGGGGATGCCCCTTTACCTCAGGCCACTCCCTTCTTTCTCACAGATAGATAGACACAGATGTATTTGCATTACTTGGAAGCCTTGTGCTCCCTTTTCCGATGGCTTATGCCACCTCTCTGTGGAATTATTTCTAGATCTAGCTTTATTCCTTCCCCTCGCCTTCCACAAGAAGATCTTAACCTTTTGGAGGTCCTGGCAGTGTGCTTCCATTTCCCTTCCCCTGACTGCTGTTGCAGAATGGTTCCTCTGGCTCCTTCCTCCTTCCTTCTTCCTTCTTGCCACAGTCACCCTGGTTTCACCCCTTCTTTCTCCGTGTAGAACTGGACTTGATAATAGCTTATGCTTTTCCATCTCTGCGTTAACTCTGCACGTGCCAAATTAATTTCTGTAGGCTGTGGCGTCTTTAGTCTTAGGGTTTGCGGGTTGACTGGTTGAATTCATTCAGGTGTTTTGGTAGTCAGAACTGCATGTTAATGATCACTATTGACAATCCCATCTACAGTTTTGTAGTATTGATCAATTACTTATAGGTAGAGCATTCCTGTTAGTGTCCTGCATTCTTGGGGATTCCTATCTTATGCCAGCTCTCTGCAGCCTGCTCCTACCATACTATTGCTTACTGTTCATTGCAGTACTGCTCAGGGCCCACCTTTCTTCCCAGGAAGTCTCTGGTGCCCCTTGCACAAGGCACGTGTGTATCCTTCCCTCTGTTTCTTAGACTATGCTGCCCATTTCAGTCACTTAATTAGAACTGGAACACTTAATTAGGTACTGCCCACCATGGCGCTTAACTGTTCGTAAAGTGATTCTCTCTGATCCCTAGAAAGACAGTGACTCCTGACTACAGATCCTATGCTTTGAAAGTTTCTCTTTTTATTGTAACAGTGAGTGTAACCCTGCCACTTAACAAGCAATCTTCAGAAGATTAATTACACAGCACTTGTCAGCCTTCCGATTCCTTCATTTTACGAGAGTTTGTTTAACGAGTACTTGAAAATCTCATCATATCCAACCTTTCCCTGTCTGGTCCCTAAATCCTCTGTGACTTTGTTGAGTGTCAGATATTAGGGAAATTAGATGTACAGTGGTCGGCAGAGATGACTAGCCTGCCATATGCAAGCTGTTACTCCCCTTAAGTTGAGCCCTGTAAAACCTCCCAGATCACAGCATTTTTTGAAACCTCAGAAGCATCTTCGATGCAGTGCCCCAGACAACCACTGTTTTGGGACCAGAATTGACACTCACTGGGCCAGGGTTAGTGGCCAAATGTTAATAGCATGTTTTTAATGTTGTTTGTATGGAAAGAATTGTAGCTGAGTGGAAACTAAGAAAACATTTACCTGATTCTCTCTGTCAAGCTTCAGGTTATCTGGATTCACAGGAATGCGCCTGACACATTGTGTTGCAGATGAGTGTCATTATGAATGACACAAACTTTCCCCTCTGTTTCATTACCTAGGATGTTGAAGTCAAGTGGATCGAATACCAGAATATGGTGAACTACCTCATCCAGTGGATTAGACACCACGTGGTCACAATGTCTGAGAGAACATTTCCTAACAATCCTGTAGAACTAAAGGTTGGTATATCGTAGAAGTTCAGTAGGGTTGACTCAAAAACTTTAAACTAATGCTAGGTTAATTCCATTATCTTAGCATTCAAAATAAATTGACATTGGCAAGCCAAGCATTTTAGTAGACAAAGTTTTTAATATCTGTTTCCTTATATAAAGAGAAAGTAGAGGTAAATATTAATTAAGACAGTTATAGCAACAGCATCTTTACGAAGTTACATTCCCCAAGCTTTAATTTGTTGAGAAGTAAAGGTATAAATTGAGAGCTTCTGAAACTAACATTGCCAAGTCTTACACGATGAGTGGGAAGTGCTAGGAGTCCACCAGATGCTGGAATAGGAAGATCAGTGGGACGCTTACACACAGAACAGTGATCAGAAACATGCCTCTGCTTGAGTCAGGTGAGAAACTGCCCCGAGGACTTCTTTTGTAGAGTACAAGGCACATCCTGTATGTTATGAATTTCAAAATACAGATCCAACTGTAGTGCAAGTGAATTGAAATCAGTGCTTATAGCCTGGTGTTCATGGCCAACGTTTAGCAAATCTTTGCTAATACTTTGATCTTAGGTAAGGTCATTGAGATGGAGATATCACAGCAAAATAAGGTCATTATGAATACACAGCTTTTCCAAGAATAACCTGTCTCATTTTGTACATTTGTATTTGAAATAGCAAAAGCAGTTTCTTTTTAATAAACCACTAATATGAATATCAGTAATATGAATATTAATGCAGAGTACCCTTACTTCTTTGACTTAATAAGCTTTGTTTCAGCTCTCAGACTGGAATCACAAAAGCTGTAGTAGCACAGCATAGGCCCCATGAAAGTTCTTTGTTGTTCTCACACATCTGTTCAGAACATCTGTGGCATGGCTCTGTTTCTCATTACCACAGGGTGTTTGTCCTTGGCACAAAGTTACTTAGTATTTGTTGATTTGTTTGTTTGTTTGTTTTTGTTTTTGTCTTTTTTCTTCGAGACAGGGTTTCTCTGTATAATTTTGGTGCCTGTCCTGGATCTCGCTTTGTAGACCAGGATGGCTTCAAACTCACAGAGATCTGCCTGGCTCTGCCTCCCGAGTGCTGGGATTAAAGGCATGTGCCACTGTCGCCTGGCTGATTTTTTTTTTTTTTTAGAAAGGAGCTTTTTATAGGGTCTTATTATAAGATGCCTCCCTATGTGGATATGAACTATTCTAGGGCACCAAAGTCTGCCCCCTTCTGTTGCAACATGGTGTCACAGTGTTTTGCACATGGTGACTTTTGGTGACTAATGACCAATAGCAACCCACAAGATTTTGCTTTTGGTTCAATACAGCGTTTGGATTTCATGTACAAATACACTTATTTCTAAATGAATTCCTGAGGTGGGATTGTTTAGTTTTGTTTTGGTTTTGTTTGACCATTGGGCAAATTGTGCTGATGTCTGACTTCTGCAGCTCTTTAAAAGTTGTAGGAGTCTGAGTATTCACACAGGTTACTTGCAAGTGGGTAATGTAGGAGAGAAAACATATCCTTAGGAATTAGCAAATATTTCTACAAGTTCACAAACCTTTTTGGAATCTTGTAGAAATGTGCTGTCTATTTTAATGTAGCATAAATTAAGCTTAATTGATTAGTATACATCTATTAAATGTGAAAGTGTTTTATTTATGCAATTTTTAGAAAGGTCTTGTAAAATGAATATAATAACATTTTAAGAGGTTCACAAATGAGATAATAATTACATGATTGGAGTGTCTGTAATAGTAATATCAACTAATAACATCCACTTTCCTTTGCTTTCCTTTGTTAGTTAAAAAAAAAAAGCTGTTGAACTTGACAGTGGTATGGTAAGGGCACATGTTAGCCCTACCTAGCTGCTATGGGGTTCCAGAATAGAGCCATGGAATGGAAGGGAGCAAGTCTTTTCCTTCCATCAAACTGTTTTCTCGAAACTAAAAATCAGTGTGTGATGTTCAGGAAGCTCAGCCTCTCAAGGATGTGCTTTTGTGTTTGAGTGCTGGGCATTCGTCATCATTTATTGTTCAGATTCCTGTGTGGCACATGTTGAATCATGGCTCACATCAGCAGTTCAACCCTCATCTAGTCCTATGCAACCCAGCACACAGCTAGCTGCCTGGCAGCTGGATCGTTGCATCCATAAAGGAAGTCTACTGAGTGCTCATGGCACAGGAAATAGCCTTTGCTGGTGACGGGATGAGAGCAGGCTTTGAACGTGGGCCGTAATTTATTTTCTTTTTCATTACAGGCACTTTATAATCAGTATTTACAGTTCAAAGAAAAAGAAATCCCACCAAAGGAGACAGAGAAATCAAAAATTAAACGACTATATAAATTATTAGAGGTAAGCCAAAATTATTCTGTGGTACTTTGAAGCATAATTTCTGAACTGCTTTCAAGTCTTGACTATATATGAATTATTTTGTTTCCTTAAGATTTGGATAGAGTTTGGACGCATCAAACTCCTTCAAGGTTATCATCCAAATGACATTGAAAAAGAGTGGGGCAAGCTCATCATTGCCATGCTTGAGCGGGAGAAGGCGCTCCGACCAGAGGTGGAGAGGTAGGGAAGCTGGCCCGTCGGGCAAGGCAGTCTCCATTCTCCTCTTAGAACTTGATTTTTGGGTTGTTTTGTTGGTTGGTTTTGTTTTGTTGGTTACTTTGTTCTTCCTGTGATGTGTTCATGTCTACCTGGGTATTTGTGTGGATGTAGAGGTCAGAGTTCAACCTTGGTCTTTCCTCAGGAACTGCCCACCATGTTTTAGGAGACATGGTCTTCACTGGGACCTAAGACTCACACAGATTATGTTTTCCATTTACTTGTTTGGATGGCCCTGGATAAGTCTCTTAGTGTTTTTACTCCTCTGTTTCCTTACCTAGAAATGGTAGCAAGAACTCTTAAAGAGTAAATTAGTAACTACATAAAGGACCTGGTAGGTTGGATGGCTGTGTGGAGTCTCATCTAATAACGTGTTTATTTAAAACAAAAAAGCACCCAGAAGTCTTTCTTAAAATAACCCTGTTACCAGGACCCAAGTTTGGAAGCTCGTAAGTTAGAAATTAACTGTTTTGTTTCTTACTAAAGTTTTTAAAATGGCCTCCTTCTCTTGAGGCAGCAGAAGTACTTCCATTGAAAAGGCAATGGAGGCTGAGCATGTAGTTCAGTTGGTAGAGCCCTCACCTAGCATCCACAGAGCCATGGCTTCCATCCCTAGCATCATATAAAACTGGGTGCAGTGGCACATGCCTGTAATTCTAGCCTTTGGGAAGTGGAGGCAGAAGTTCAAGAATATTCCCCTTTGCAATGTTGTAAGAGGCCAGCCTGTGCCACCCGAGGCCCTGTCTCAAGTAGCAACAACAGCAGAAACAGACAGTGAATGTCAGTCTGGGTTCCCTTTCTACTGTGTATTTAGTCCGTGAAAATATCACTGACTGCTTATTATTCTATTGCTCTAACTGTACCCCACTGCCCAATCTTCAGGAACCACCCACCCACCCAAGGGCTGGGGTTCTAAGCCAGGGCTTGGAACTTACTAGGCCAAGTACACTACCATTGGGCTACATGCCCCGCCATGTTGTATGGATTTATTTTCATATGGTCGTTATTTTGCAGCCCTGCTGTAGTGTGTGAGACTTGTGCTCTGTGTCCCTCCTCACAGCTGAAGGCATGTGTGGTCAGGCGGTGCTCGGGCTGTCTCTTAGGAGCTCACCTGGGCTGTGTTCCACCCTCTGTTCACAGGGGTTTTGTGTAGTCTGCTCTTTTGGCAGGGAATCCATTCACATCCCTGTTTCTCTTTACTCCTAATCCTTCTCAGATTTCAGCCTCCCTGTTCCTTCCAGTAGTGTCCCAGGCTGAGTTACCTGCCTTCTTTTATGACTAATAATTTATATAAAGTATTTTTCAAGAATGCTTGCCTTGGTGGTAATTTCGTATTTATTCATGTTTCGTTCAAGCCACCTGTTTCTTAGATAGTAGCTCTAATAACGTGGAGACAAGCTGTTATTTTGTGTCCCTTACCAGTGTTTTCGCACAGTGCCAGGCACATGACAGAGGAAACCCAGTGTAGTTGTGTTCTTATGGTCTCCCACACTGACTTCAGAGTTGACACAGAATCATGTATTTAAGATACAAAGGCAAGTTCAGCTTGCCAACCCTTTATTACTAGTTACACTCTTGTTAAAGCATAAAGTTACCATGTCTATATAAACAGAGTGTAAGAGTCAAAATGAGCTTTAAATGCATGGGCTGCAGCTCTTCCTAATGATTAAAACACGGTGTTAAACGAATCATTTGAATTAAAGATACAGAGAAAATATAAAGAATTTTAGTCACTGCATCAGTAGCTGAATTTTAACATTTGTCTTAATCGTCTTGTACTGCTGCAACAGAATGCTACAGACTGGATAACATAAAGAAGCTATTATCGAGGGTTGTGCAGTGGTACATGGCTACTGTCAGCCCAGCACTTGGGAAGTGACAGCAGGGGCATGGAAAGCCTGGACTATATAAAGACTGTCTTGTGCTTGAGGAAAGAAAAAGAGATGGGGAAACTGGGGACTCAGAGTTGTAGAAGTTGAGAAATGCTGGTGCTGGCACCTGGTGAGGGCCTTCCCCTGGTAGGTGGAGGACAGGCCTTGAGGGGGAGGAAAGTGGAGGAGCTTCATGGTGGCTAGGGAACCAGACAGGCACGGGAGAGAGCAGGCGCTCACTGATGCAGCATGGCCGTCTACCCGCTGGTATAGTAACCAAGCCACTCCTGTGATAATGGCATTAATTTATTCATGAGGGTTGAGCCTTTATGATCTAATCGCTCTTAAGCACTTCTCACCGGGGATCATGCTTCCAACACGAATACATCCAACCACAACAGTATGCTGAAAGAGTGCAGTTGAGAGTTCAAGATTCAGGAGCCAGTCTGTTCTGGATTAGGTTTGTTACTTCAGCTTGGAAGTCACATGATCTTAGAAGAGTTCTTAAATATCTAGGCCTGTTTTCTCAATTGTGACCGAATGTAACAATACCTACCACATTTAGTGGTTATGAATATGAGGTGAGGTTATGTGTGTAAAAATGTTTAACTTCCTGGAAATAACAACTGTATAGTAAGTGTAAGGTGCAGCTGTTCCTGTTTTTTATTGTTCTATTTTTCTTGACACAGATTTTTTTGGCCCTGGCTATGTGTTGTAAATTATGGTAGCGATGTGGCTTGGAGTGTGGAGAAGACAGACAGGAAAGAATTGGGCCCTCTACTGGTCTGTGTGAAGGGGAAGCAAGTTTAGACACATTTGCAGTTATTGAGCCAATATTCTACTTGGATTCTTTGTCTTTTCAAATGCGAACTGCAGTAGTTTAGAAGTAAGGTTACTGAGGGAGTCCATCCTACAGAGAAAAGTCATTGAATGTTTTCCCAGTTAATTTAATATGGTGGACAAATGACCTGACGGTCAGATGGAAGTAGATTTTGTTTCTCATTAACTCCGCTTGCTTGTGTGTTCGTGATGGTTCCAGCATTTTGCCTTGTGTTATCCAGCACACGGCATCTCTTTGCAGAAGTCTGGCTGTAATGTAATCTTTGTGTCCTCTTGGCTGGTGGTTGGTATTGATAGAATTACCTTCGCTGGTGATGGTTCCTGGGTTCCTGGTGCCGGAGTTGTTTTTTAGGTGGTTGCAGCTGGATGACTCTTGAGTGAAAATATTTGGCGTATCTTTTCCAGTGACGCCCAATCATCCTGATCTGTCTCTACTTGCAAGGCTTTAATGCAGGTTACAAAAGGCAAACCTCAGCAAGCAAATGAATGGCTTCAGGCGTGATTCTTCTGAATAGCGATCAGGATAGTATTTGCAGTGTATTGCATATGCATGTTGAAGCATATTTAAGGATCCATTAAAGCCGTGACTCTCCTCCGAGGCCACTTCTCACCGGGTAGAAGTGGAACTTTCTCCAGTCCTACTTTCATGGTCCTAGGACACCATTCCAGGGCTGAAAATGCAGAGCAGTAGCTACAGTTATCGTAGCAGTGACTCTGTGTTTACTAACACGACCAGCACTCGGACTAGTCTAGATTCGAACGACAATCTTCTGTCTGTTCACTGTGGCCCCACATTGATCAACTCCTGCATTAGCTTCGGCAATGAGTCCTTTGATGGACACAGGTATGGAGTCAACGGTGTGACCCAGTCTTTTCTTCCTTGGCAGGGTCGTTTTTTCACGACTGGTGAGCTCTTTGACTTCAAAAAGAAGCACTTTTTTTTTCCTTTGTCTCTTTTAGGTTGGATATGCTGCAACAGATTGCTGTCCGAGTTCAGAGGGACAGTGTCATCTGTGAAGACAAACTGATCCTAGCCCGAAATGCTCTCCAGTCTGTAAGTTGGTTTCAGGAGCCAGGGCTTGCTGTAGAGGGATGGTGTGTGCCTGGGTAAACCGGAACCTTCTGCATCATTTGATCAATTCCTGGTACTCACTCCCTGCAGAAGCTCTGAAAGATTATGATTGATATTTTTTTTCTCTTGGGAGGTAGTGAGTGAAAGAAAAACATGTATTTGAACCAAAAGAAATAAAGACCAAATAAGCTTCTCTTCTAATATTTTGGAGTTTAAAGCTAGTCTTGACATTTGTTTTTACAGAATTAATGCTGAGTTCTTTTAAATACAGGATTCCAAAAGATTAGAATCAGGAGTGCAGTTTCAGAACGAAGCAGAAATTGCCGGGTACATACTTGAATGTGAGAACCTTTTACGCCAGCATGTGATTGATGTACAGATTCTGATCGATGGGAAGTATTACCAGGCAGACCAGTTGGTGCAGAGGTAAGACTGCTCCTTGTTTCCTCTCAGGAACTGTTTCCTGAGAGCATGATGGGAAAGTATAGTAGGAAATCAAGTTTTATTTGTGAGTTGTAATATTTTGACAAAAATAAGTAGAATCAATATCTGCAATAAATATAATATTTACTGTCATAGTAAATACTGGAGTCATTAAAATGAATATTTTAAATGTCTATATTTCCCAGTATGTAAAATATTTATGTAGGTCTTTCGATGTGACCCAGAGGCAGAGTGAATATTTAACTAAGCATAGTTAAGGCCCTGGGTTTGATCCTCAGACCAATACCACAATAAATAATAATAATAATAACAACAACAACAATTTGCAACATTAGAAAAGGGAAAAATGTAAGAAAAGTTCTCATCTTCAGTTAGTTCTGTGTTTATTCTATTGTAAACATGGTCAGGACCAAATATTAGAAAAATATATGTGTGTAAAATGGTAAAGGTATGGAGGCCGGAGAGATGGTTCAGCTGTTAAGAGCACTGACTGCTCTTCCAGAGTACCCGGGTTCAATTCCCAGCACCTACATGGTGACTCACAACTGTCTGTAACTCCAGTTCCAGGGTACCTGACACGCTTACACAGGCATACACACGAGCGAAACACCAGTGCACATAAAAATAAAAATAAATAATTTTTTTGGGGGCCCCCTGGCGGTGGGATCAGAATCCATCCCTGGTGCATGAGAGGGCTTTTTGGACCCCACTACTTAGGATGGGACACCTCCTGCAGCCTTGAGGCAAGGGGAAGGGCTTGGACTTGCCTCTACTGGATGTGGCACCTCATGAGAGGCCTTGCTTTCTTGTGGGGGTGAGTGGGGGGTGGTTTGGGACGGGGAGGCTGGGGGGACGGGAGGAGGGAAGAGGGGGATCTTTGGTTGATGTGTAAAATGAATGAAAAAATTTTCCTAATAATAAAAATTTAAAATTTTTTTTAAAAAATGGTCAAGTTGTGTATGGTGGCACCCACATGGATTCTGAGCTCTCCAAAGGCTTAGGTAAAAGAATCACAAATACACAACCCTGCAAGAGCTACATAGCAAGACTCTGTCTCAAGGAGGAAAAAGTAAACAGCAAATATGAAAACATTTCTGAGAAGTTTGTGGGGGCAGAGTGAATAGAACTTGGCAAGCTGTAGTCTTTCTATGAACATAAGGAAATAAACTTTGTACATCATGTTTGAGCCAATCATTTCACTTCTAGGAGTTAGGAGCTCTTCTCTATGTGGATAATAAGTAGATACAATTGGAAAACTTTATGTTCACGCCAGGAGTATTTTATAAGAAATTTTATTATCCTTAATATCAAATAATAGAACCATCACCTTATGGTACATAATTATGTTCCCTATAAATAATGGTTATAAAGACTAATAATGTGGAGCGTTTTTATAGTCTGATATTCAGTGAAAACAAAACATCAAGCAAAATTTTACCAAGATGGTTTCAGTGATGTTTTTAAAACCGAATAGGTATTTCTCGAGCAGTGTAGGTCTGCAGAATGACAGCTGAAAGCAGAACTCCTGTATGCGTGCTTGGGCTCCCCTACCGTTAGAGGCTTGCAGTAGTGGTACATGACTAATTCCACTGGAAAGCCAGTCTTGGTACATCAGCTACAGCCAGCAGTTTACATTACCTCTTCAATCATGCCTTATCCCTCTCCATGTTTCTGCAGGGTTGCAAAGCTGCGCGATGAAATTATGGCCTTAAGGAACGAGTGTTCCTCAGTGTACAGCAAAGGACGCATGCTGACCACAGAGCAGACGAAACTCATGATATCAGGAATCAGTCAAAGTTTAAACTCAGGATTTGCACAGACCTTACACCCCAGTCTGAACTCAGGGCTAACCCAGAGTTTAACACCTTCCTTGACCTCTTCTAGTGTGACTTCTGGCTTGTCATCAGGGATGACTTCCCGTCTGACTCCATCTGTTACTCCGGCTTATACGCCTGGCCTCCCATCAGTGGTAGCTCCAAATTTCAGTTTAGGAGTAGAGCCAAATTCATTACAGACTCTGAAGCTAATGCAGATCAGAAAGCCCCTGCTGAAGTCGTCTTTGCTGGATCAGAATTTGACAGAAGAGGAAGTCAATATGAAATTCGTTCAGGATCTCTTGAACTGGGTTGATGAGATGCAGGTAAGGTTTATCGAAGTTTCCCAGTCTTACTCTTGCGACAACTTCTCTCTCTTTTTTTTTTTTTTTTAAACTGGTATTTTGCTATTGAAGGTGCAGCTGGACCGTACTGAATGGGGCTCAGACTTGCCAAGTGTTGAAAGCCATTTAGAAAACCATAAAAATGTTCACCGAGCCATTGAAGAATTTGAAACTAGCCTTAAGGAAGCTAAACTTAGTGAGGTCTGTGAAATTTTTAAAAATATTTTATTGTAGTTGAGTATTATTTTCTCTTTACATAAAGACCTTATAACTCAATGATTAATGTTTTAAGTGTTAGTCAGAACTTAAGATTCCTAACATCCATGCTTTCCTACCTTATTTTAGATTCAGATGACGGCGCCTCTTAAGTTAACTTACACAGATAAGTTGCACAGATTACAGAGTCAATATGCAAAACTCTTGGTAAGGTTTTTTTTTTTTTATTTGTTTTCTTTAAACTCTCCCTTTCCATCATGTCTGTTTACTGCCCATCGGATGCTCAACAATGGTTTTTCTTAAACAGAATACATCCAGAAATCAGGAGCGGCACCTTGATACGCTCCATAATTTTGTAACACGGGCAACTAATGAGCTTATCTGGTTGAACGAGAAGGAAGAGGAAGAAGTTGCTTATGACTGGAGCGAGAGAAACACCGGTGTGGCTCGAAAGAAAGGGTACCACGCGGTGAGTCGGCCTCGCGCTCGGGAGCCTGAGCCGGACCTGGAGCTCGCCGCCCGCGTCTTCTGACACACTTCTTGATGCTTCCTCACTAGGAGCTCATGAGAGAACTCGAGCAGAAAGAGGAGAGTATTAAAGCCGTACAGGAGATCGCAGAGCAGCTGCTTCTAGAAAATCACCCAGCCCGCTTGACTATAGAGGTAAGCAAGTCAGAGGTCTAGACTGAGTTCTCATAGGTCTGTCAGCTTAAACCTCTTTCACTCATTTTAAAAAAAAAAAATCCAACTACTAAGTCTTTATACTAGAGTCTAGCTCAGAGATAACTTTCCCAGTGAATCCTGCTGCTGCTTCTCTTCATCATCCCTTAGGATCAAGGTAGTAGCTGTTTTTTTTTAGGGCCCGTGAAGCTGCTTTGAGTAAATGCATCCGATGAGGCTAAAAGGGTGTTCCGTGGTAGAGTGTGTACTTGCCCTGTGTAACAAACAGAAATGTAGCTTAGCTTGAGGAAGCAAATAATATCGCATGTTGCTAGATTCCCAGGGGCAACTGCACATCTGCAGGAAAGCCTGCCTGAGCACAACTCAGAAGCCCTGGGGTCATTCCAGGAGGAAGAAAGGCTGAACACACCATGGACACAGAGCTCCCTCTCCTGGGAGGCAGGGATTTGCACCTTCTATAAAACTGAGTTTCATAATTCATGAGGATCTAGGTGTGCTTTCTACAGTTTCCTTCACGAAAGATATACTTGTACTTAATAATAAACATTCAAATAGATGAGTGTCTTAATTTTTGTTATTATAATGTTATTAAACCCAATAGTTGCATTGATGTGAGAGTATATACTGCCTTCTCTACCCTCCCTAAGTCTCCCTCATCAAAACACAGAAGGAAGCTACAGATCTGTGTGTCTGTGTTAACACTCACCTGGTATGGCTTCTGTGTATCTGTGTTAACACACACCTGGTATGGCTCAGTAATATAAAACTCCAGAAATGGGGAGTTTGGGGATGCCATAGAGAAAAGTATACTTAGTATTTTAAAAATCAGGTGTCAGGGTTAGTGAGCAAAGAGTAAAGAAAAGGGTGAATTTTATAAATAGAGGGAGTAGCTTGCATTTATTTCAGATGTAAATTTTTCATATGAAATAGCCATAATTTTTCCTCATTCTAAGAAACAAGAAATTAGAAATTTGAGAAAATTCATCTGGACTAATTTTAAAATTGTGTACAAATTTTAAGACTAATTTCATAAGGAAGACTCTCATATAAGAAAATCTGGTACCCCAGTTTCACATCCATTAAAAATTGTTTCCATCTGTTTGGATAGTAGCGTGTTTTGTCATTTGAAGCCATCAACACTGAGCTGGATATGATGGCTCCTGCCTGTAATTCCAGCCTGTAATGAGAAGCTGAGGCAAGGGGATTGCTACAAGCTTGAGGATAACCCAGGCTGTGTACTAAATAACATCCTGTCTCAAAAAAAAAAGGGGGGGGGCGCTGGAGAGATGGCTCAGAGGTTAAGAGCACTGGTTGTTCTTCCAGAGGTCCTGAGTTCAATTCCCAGCAAGCACATGATGGCTCACAACCATCTGTAATGAGATCTGGTGCCCTCTTCTGGCCTGCAGGGATGCATGCAGACATTACATTGTTTATATAATAAATAAATCTTAAAAAAAAAAAAGTAATTAAAGAAAAAAAAGCTAAAAATAAAGAAATAAATGCATCAGTATTTTCCATGCAGGGTATCACACCACAGATGTTCCGCATGCAAGGTGCATGCTCAGCTGTTGAGGCAGACTAGCCCTCTGTCCCTCAGTTCTCTGCCCTGACTTTCAGTGTGTGTTTTCTCTCTCAGGCATACAGAGCAGCGATGCAGACACAGTGGAGCTGGATCTTACAGCTCTGCCAGTGTGTGGAGCAGCACATCAAGGAAAACACTGCCTATTTTGAGGTGTGTGAGTAGGACTGCAGCCTGCATAGACCGCAGCCTGCATAGACCGCACTGTCCTATGGGCTGAGGTGCAGAAATCTCACTATCACGAAGCAAGCGCCTAATACATGGGGGCGTGAACCAATACTTTCCTTACAGGATGTCCAGGTTGGTCTTAGAGGAGAATGTTTAGCTGTTAAGAAAGAGATCCTGTGGCTGGAAGACGGGTCGGCTGGCACATTGTTTGCCCAGAGTTCAACCCCCAGAAACCACACTTTAAAAAAAAAGTGAGCTGCCCAGTGCTGAGGGCAGGTAGAGACAGAAGGGTCCCTGGGGCTCCCTGGCCAGCCAGTCTAGCCAAATGAGAGAGCTCTAGGTTCAGTGAGAGACTTTATCTCAAAAAATAGGGGAGAAGTGAAAAAAGCTCCCAGTTGTTGACATCTGATTTACACACACACGCACGCACGCACGCACGCATGCACGCACATACAGAACGAATCTTTTATAAGACCTTAAATATTGTAAAAATAATTCTGAAAAATTTTCTTGTATTAAGGGAAGTTATTATAGTCAACCAAATAAAGTCTTCATTTTATTCTTTAGAAATTTTAATGTATTCTTTGCAAGTCCACACCTACTTAAAAGATTGGTTGAGCCCTAAAGTAAAACAGACTTCCAATCAGTTTGGATAATTAATATTCATCTGTAGCCATTCAAGTTCAAAGGTTATTTTCAGTTCCAAAAAGGATGTTGCTATTAAGTTCCTTTGTGCTTTGATTCTGTTCCTCCTAGATTCTGTTCCTCCTAGTCAGGGCCACACAGAGGGCCCGAGCACCCAGATTGAACAAATCTCTGCCTTCCTGGCATTCAGTGTAGTTCAGCTGTCAAATTTTATTTTTCCTTAGTTTTTCAATGATGCCAAAGAAGCCACTGATTACCTAAGGAATCTGAAGGATGCCATTCACCGCAAGTACAGCTGTGACCGATCCAGCAGCATTCACAAACTAGAAGACCTCGTTCAGGAGTCCATGGTACTGATGTGGAACCTGTAGATTGTGTCCTATATATAACTGAGTAGATTAGTAATTTATTATATGTCTGTATGTGCAGATTTATATTTCATCAACACTAGTAGCTCATTCAATTAAGCCTTTAGTTGGTTTAGTTTTTGATAATAGTAGTGTACTTTATGTGGTATTGTTTAAACTGCTTTAGCAGTGGTGTGTGTAGTCAGTAATTCCATAAGGAGATCCTTGGTAGACACCTTCTGTGTCTGCCCAGGCCTGTTTTCAGTTCTGGAGATGTAACCATGAACAAAACAGGCAGGAATTGCTCTCCCTTGTGGTGCCTAGATGTGAAAGGGTAGCTGCACAGTAATATGGTAGTAAACAAAATGTATGTAGAATGTTAGATAATAATAATGCCAAAGAGGAAAAAATGTAGCCAGGCAAAATGAGGATTTTGACCAGACAAATTTGAGGGATTCAAGACAGGGTGACGAGATGTAGAGAGTGTAGCCCAGTGGTCAGGGCATACTTTGGTGATGAAGTTTCATTTGTGTAAATCCCTGTGGAATGGAGAGTTTGAATCATTCATTTTAAAAGCCCGCTGTGTTTCCTGACTAGGAGGAAAAAGAAGAGCTTCTGCAGTACCGGAGCTCGGTGGCCGGCCTCATGGGGAGAGCAAAGACCATAGTACAGCTAAAGCCAAGGAGTCCTGACAATCTACTCAAAACCTCCATTCCGATCAAAGCCATCTGTGACTACAGACAGATTGAGGTACTGGTCCTTCTTAAAGCAGGCCAGATTCTGCCATTAATCCACATGTTTTAAAAAGGAGGTCATAATGCTTCCTAGTTATAAGACTTTTCTCTGCCTCCTAAAAGCAGTAATTCCCAAGATTGTGTACAGAAGATGAGTGAGTGGTGACCTCAGTTTTTGTCTCTTTCATTTGAAACCAGATAACCATTTACAAAGACGATGAATGTGTTCTGGCGAACAATTCTCATCGCGCCAAGTGGAAGGTCATCAGTCCTACTGGGAACGAGGCCATGGTCCCATCGGTGTGTTTTACTGTTCCCCCGCCAAACAAAGAAGCAGTTGACTTTGCAAACAGGTTTGTATGGTTCGGGGTCTTTCTGAAGGTTAAAGAAGCAATCAGTACTTTGTCAGGGACCCACAGGACCGGAAAGTTCTAGAGCTGGTCCATCGGGGGCAGCATGCTTTCAGAAGGAGTAAAAAGGCTTAAAATGTTTTTTTTTCCCCTGCATGTCTTTCAGAATTGAGCAGCAGTATCAGAATGTCCTCACTCTTTGGCATGAATCTCACATAAACATGAAGAGTGTAGTCTCCTGGCATTATCTAGTGAATGAGATTGACAGAATTCGAGCCAGTAACGTGGCTTCGGTGAGTACAAGTGTGCACGTTAACCCAGTGTATCTAAAAATGAGGGGTGCCTTGTCATATGTGGTGTCAAGTTGGCATTTGCTCTGGAAAAGCATGGGGCCCAGCAGATGCTGACATTCAGGCAGACAGTGAGTTCTTGTTAGGGTCTGTTGTAGATGAGACACAATCTACAGGTGAGGGAAATCTGGAGCTCATGTTCTGCTTGGTGCTTACTGAAGGTAAGAAATCAGAAATAACTGGGTAGCACATGCCTTTAATCCCAGCTCTCAGGAGGCAGATGCAGGCAGATCTCTGAGAGTTCGAGGCCAGCCTGGTCAACAGAGCAAGTCCCAGGACAGCCGGGCTACACAGAGAAACCCTGTCTTGAAAAAAACAAAAAAGGAGGAGGAGGAAGAAAAAAATAATAATTAGAATTAGGTGTTCAGACAGACAGAGTGGGTATAGTTTAATTTCATTTATTGAATTTTATCAATGTTTTTACTTGTCTTCTTTTCATTAAAACTTTATTGCAAATGAAAAAAGTCATACCCCCAAATTAGCACACCCAAAGTCTATACATCTCAAGGAACTTCTGTATGGTTAGAATAGCCATTCTGAAGCTGTGGAACTTCACATTGAATTTCACTCTTTACCATCAAACTCATTCTGTATTTACTTACCCATCATAAAACCAAAGAAGCCATGACAGAGTTGAAACAGAAAACCAAGCAGCTTTATGTCTTCTTTCCTGACTCCAGTGTCCTTTGCCTGCATTCAGTCTTCACTCACTCGTGGTATTTACCCTTTCTTATTCGACTTTCTACATGGTATACTGTACACACATGCACATTTGTTTTCTTAACTACATATGTATTATAGGATAGGCCCCACACATGAGGGAGAGCTTTTATCTTTCTGAGATTGTGTGACTTCCCTTAATATTATATGTCTTTCCATTTTGTACAATTTTTTTGTTGTTGTTTTGTTTTTCGAGACAGGGTTTCTCTGTGTAGCTTTGCGCCTTTCCTGGATCTCGCTCTGTAGACCAGGCTTGCCTTGAACTCACAAAGATCTGCCTGCCTCTGCCTCCCGAGTGCTGGAATTAAAGGCGTGTGCCAACACCGCCCAGCCAATTTTTTATTCCATTTTATATATATACCAGATGTCATTATCCATTCATCTACTGATGGAAAATTAGGTTGGTTCCATTTCTCTGCTGTAGGGTGCAAACCTGAAATAAATAGAATATTAATTCCAGATGTTTCCTCTACCTGTGAATAAACTGAAGTATACCATGATATCAACTGTGATCTGACCCATTCAGATGTAACCCTGGGCACTGCGTCATTAATCGAAGGATCCTTGTTCTTTCAGATCAAGACAATGTTGCCTGGCGAACACCAGCAGGTTCTGAGTAATCTGCAATCCCGTTTGGAAGATTTTCTGGAGGATAGCCAGGAATCCCAAATATTTTCAGTCTCGGATGTATCTCAGCTAGAAAAGGAGGTGAATGTATGTAGGAAGTATTATCAAGAGCTTCTCAAGTCTGCAGAAAGAGGTAAAAAGGGGTGCCTGTTTATTTTCCCTGCAGGAGTTTCATCTAGACTTTTTTCTACTCTCATTGGAAATCTCAGTCTTAGGTATATTGCATCAGTGGGCTGTGATATGTAAGCAAGATTACTAAGCACTATAGAAACGTGTGTGTACGGGGCATATAACTCAGGAGCAGGATTGTGTGAAGCCCTGAATCCAGTCCCCAGCACCCCTAATAACAAACAAAGCTTTTGAGGTAAGAAGATGCTAGAAGAGATTATTAATCTCTAAATGATGAAGTAACTAAAAGTGCCAGCCAAGCAGTGGAACAGATGAGGAGTTCTTATCTCATCTGAGTTTTAATGTTTGTCCTGCTTTACAGGGCAACACTCAGAATTAAGGTCCTTAAGGCTCATAAAAGATTTGATTATTTTCTCAGTTCAGTTTTACACAGTAGTTAAATACTTTATTTAGTTAGTAAATAAATACTTTATTTAGTTAACTTTTATTCAGTATAAATCTTAGTCTGAACTCTTAATACTATTTAAAAGCAAATGACTTTATTAGTACTAGTCTTTTAAAATCTTAAAACAGTAACACTTTCTTTACCTGCTTTTTACTTTTGGATTTTTGTTCAATTTAATAGTTAATTGATAGCATATAATTCATACTTTTGTGAATATAAAACAGAATAATATATTGCTTCTTTGGGATATTTCCATGATAATTTGGTACTTTAAATGGCCTTTGGGAAATTTGATTAGTAATTTTTAAGTTTTAAAATTCACATTTTAGGATTTCTGTTTTAAGGTTATATCTTTAGGATTTCTGCTAATAGGAACAGTGGTAGCAGTGGTTTGCCTCAGGAAGAATAAAGCTGTTGTATTGAACCTTGCACAAGAGCTCCCTAGGGAGGAGAGGCCTCTTGCTGAACATGTTTGCTTTCACAGAGGAGCAAGAGGAGTCAGTGTATAACCTTTACATCTCGGAAGTGAGGAACATTCGCCTTCGGTTGGAGAGCTGTGAAGACCGCTTAATTCGGCAGATACGGACTCCCCTGGAAAGAGACGACTTGCATGAAAGCATGTTCAGAATCACGGAACAGGAGGTAAGAGTTACACGTGTTAGAAAACCCTAGTTGGAGGTTTAGGTCAAGGGAATGAAAAATAAAGACATTACTGATTCTAATGCTGGAATGTCATACTTCTGTTTATTCAGTAAAGAAAAGTTCTATGGATGTTTATGTTACGTTGGCCATGACTTAAAATGTATTTTTAAGCAGCTGTTAGAAACATACCCACTTGGGGGCGATAACCTGTAATCTCCATTTGTTCTCTTGACTAGAAACTAAAGAAAGAGCTGGAACGGCTTAAAGATGATTTGGGAACGATCACTAACAAGTGTGAAGAATTCTTCAGTCAAGCGGCAGACTCTCCATCTGTCCCCACTCTGCGGTCAGAGCTCAGTGTGGTCCTTCAGAGCATGACTCAGATCTACTCCATGTCTTCCACTTACATAGAGAAGTATGTTAACATGACGTCCTTATGCCACCGTCACTCTGACTGGTTTTTATGAACAGAGTGTTTCATCATCAGAAACTGGACTGATGATGTTTCTCATGTCAAGGGGGAGTTACCTTGCAGATTACTGTCCCCCACATTTCTGTTTTGTAGCTCACTATTGGTAGTCTTCATGGTTTTCCTCTCATGGGTAGTGTGACCAAGGAACTGTCTTCTGTTGGAATCTGTAAATACTACCTGGGGGTGGGGCATAGGGTGGTGTCTACTAGGAAGAGAGTCAACTGAATGCCAGACTTACAGGAGACCAGCCAGTGTTCCCATGTCATGAGTTATAATGATGCTTTAAGACTACAGTATGCAAAAAAGAAAAAAGGAAAAGCATTAAACAACATGGTTTAATATTTATTTCTCTTTTAAAGGTTGAAAACAGTTAATTTGGTATTAAAAAACACTCAAGAGGCAGAAGCCCTCGTCAAACTCTATGAAACCAAACTGTGTGAAGAAGAAGCATTAATAGCTGACAAGAATAATATTGAGAATCTAATGAGTACTTTAAAGGTAAGAGTCTCACTTCTGGACATGTTTTCAAGGTCATAGTTCTAAATACTTCTCTAGCACAGAGCCCAAGTTCCAAACACCCAACACTAAGCATCTGACGTAGAATATGTTTCTGAATGTGCCATCTCCATTTCGTATTCCTAATTCTACAACTTCCTGTAAATAAGTATATTCAGTCATTTTATCATAAGTCACTGTTCTGTTGCTATGAAGAGACAGCATGGCCAAAGCAATTTATAAAGTAAAGCATTCATTTGGGGGCTTGCTTACAATTGTAGAGAGTAGAGTCCATAATCATCATGGTGAGGAATGTGGTAGCAAACCGTCAGGCAAGCGTGGCGCTGGAGCAGTAGCTGAGAAGTTATATCTAACCCACAAGCCCAAGGCAGAGAGAGAGAGAGAGAGAGAGAGAGAGAGAGAGAGAGAGAGAGAGAGAATGAGAGAGCATCTGGGTGTGGCTTGACCTTTTGAACCCTCAAAGCCCACCCCCAGTGACACACCCCCTCCAAGACCACGCCCCCTAAGCCTTCCCAAACAGTTTTACCAGCTGAGGACCACACATGGAAGTACTTGAATCTATAAGGGTAATTCTTATTCAGACCACCCAAGAGGTGTTCTTGTTTGAGATCTGAACCTCTGTCAGTAGCTTTTCTGAGTGGCTTCATATTGCCAGCAAGATGAGTTGGTACTAAAAATTAAATTGCTTGTAGCCGATTGACTTGCTTAAAAGGGGCTATTATTCTAAGATAACAAAGAAGTAAAAGAATATTTTATTAATATTTTTAAAACTTTATTTTATTTGTATGAGTGTTTTGCCTGCTTGTATGTCTGTGAGCCAGGTCTCATGGAGGCCAGAGGGGGCATGGGATCCCCTGGAACTGTAACTACAAGATGGTGGTAAACCACCACGTGGGTGCTGGAAGTGGAACCTGGGTCTTCTGGAAGAGCAGCCCGTGGTCTGAAACACTTGGTCATCTCTCCAGCCTCAGAAGTTATTTTGAGAAAGAAAAAAATATTTACTACTGTACTCTCTATTTTTTATTTTAAAAAATTTACAGTGTGTGTGTGTGTGTGTGTGTGTGTGTGTGTGTGTGTGTGTGTGTGTCTCAAATGCCATGATGCATGATTGTGTAAGTCAGAAGAGAATTTGCAAGAGTCAGTTCTCGCTTTCCACCATGTGGTTCTGGGGATCAAACTCAGCTCGTAAGGCATGGCATCAAGCACCCTTAAGCAGTGAGCTCTCTCACAGGTCCCTATATCTATATTTCTGTATGTAAAGCGCTTAGCAAGGCTGTTGCAAAAACATTCAAGTTATTTCAGTCATTTTAAGCTTGTATTAATTTTTAAACAATGGAATTGGAAGCATTTAAAAACAATAAAAGGCTTTTCTTATTGTGGCAACTCCCTGGCTTATGAAATACTCTGAATTTTGTTGACACATAAATTCTACTAGGCTGGATTTATAGACTTCTTTTAGATTTTTATAATCTTTAATTGAGAAATATGAATTAAGCATGCTTGATTTTTTTTTGTTTTGTTTTGTTTTTTGTTTTTTGTTTTTCGAGACAGGGTTTCTCTGTGTAGCTTTGCGCCTTTCCTGGAACTCGCTTTGGAGACCAGGCTGGCCTCGAACTCACAGAGATCCGCCTGGCTCTGCCTCCCGAGTGCTGGGATTAAAGGCGTGCGCCACCACCGCCCGGCTAAGCATGCTTGATTTTTGTGTGTGTTGACATATCTCTATGAAATGTTACCCCTCCCTCTTCTTCCTTTTCCCCATTAAGTGACATAAGTGTCTCTCACAGTAACATGTTATTTTTTCAGAGATCAAAGCACAGCTAGATAATTGTCATTGTATAAGATTATACCTGATACATTTTCAATATCATAGGTTTTTTCTTTATCTGGTTGTACATCACGTAGTTATGAATAAATTGTAACATTAGGTAAATTATGTGTTTACTCTATGACTTGTGGATACATTTCGTGATGCTCACCGACGCGTGTATTTTAGCAATGGCGATCAGAAGTAGATGAAAAGAGAGGGGTGTTCCATGCATTGGAGGATGAGTTGCAGAAAGCAAAAGCCATCAGTGATGAGATGTTTAAGGCACACAAAGAGCGGGACCTTGACTTTGACTGGCACAAAGAAAAGGCGGACCAGCTGGTTGAAAGGTGGCAGAATGTCCATGTACAGATTGACAACAGGTGGGTCCCCTTTCTGTTCAGTGGCTATGGGGGTTGGATCCCCTTTCTGTACAGAGGGCAAAGTCTAAACTTAACAGACTTTAACTGACATTCCATAGCTAATGTGTTAATTGCAAGACTGTTTCCTAATTATATTTCTTTCTTACATATGCACTTTAACAACACATGTAACTTGAAAGAAACATTATCTTTTCTCTTTCTTTAAGTTCTGTTTTTATTTTGTGTGTATGGGTGTTTGGCCTGCATGTATGTGTGCCTGTGTTCCACATGCATACCTGGTTCCTGAAGAGACCAGAAGAGGACATTGGATCACTGGAACTGGAGGTACAGACAGTTGTGGACCTCCATTTGGGTCCTGGGAATCGAACCTAAATCATCTGTAAGAGCAGCCAGTGCTCTTAATGCTGAACCATCTCTCCAGCTCCAGAAAAATAACATTTTCAACTATGTATAATTAAAAATGTTGATGTATCTTTTTTTTTTTTTTTTTTTTTTTTTGGTTTTTCGAGACAGGGTTTCTCTGTGTAGCTTTGCGCCTTTCCTGGGACTCACTTGGTAGCCCAGGCTGGCCTCGAACTCACAGAGATCCGCCTGGCTCTGCCTCCCGAGTGCTGGGATTAAAGGCGTGCGCCACCACCGCCCGGCAAAAAATGTTGATGTATCTTGGTGTCCCAGAGTTTCGATTGCTGTGAAGAGACACCATGACAACTCTTATAAAGGAAAACATTTAATTGGAGTGGCTTATAGTTTCAGAAGTTAAGTCCATTATCATCAAGGTGGGAAACATGGTGGCATGCAGGCAGGCATGGTGCTGGAGAAGGAGCTCTACATCTCGATTCACAGGCAACAGGATGTAAACTATGGACCACACTGAGTGTAGCTTGGGCTAAGGAGATCTCAAAGCCCACCCTCACAGTGACACACTTTCTCCAACAAGGCCACACCTCCCAACAGTGCCACTCCCTATGAGCTTATGGGGACCAATAACATTTATACTACCATACCTCACGTTTGTATAATCTGTCTTTTTAAAAGACAATAATACAATGCTCTAAAAGTTATTATGAACTTACAGTGTTCAAATAACCATGAATTAGCAAAATAAATCATAAGCTTATTTCTTGGGCTCTGCATAGCAATTTCTGCTGGACCTAAGAGAAGTGAAGGACTTGAAGTGACCTGTTACTCATTTTCTTTGACATTGTAAGACAACTGGAATCATTTGTTCAATGAGAATTAAAACCCAGAAGAAAATGGAATTGATTTAGGCTTTATCTTAAAAGAAATAAATAATGGCTGTTCTTACTCATTTTATGTTTATATTAATACAAATTAAATGCTTTTATGATAGAGTACCATTCAAGAAATGAAGTTGTATTCATATGTATTTTTTCTCTGGGAGATACACAATGAATTCATTGAATGTGATGACTTTAAAAATCATAGAAATGGGTGTTTAATTTCAGTTCCTGGAAGACACTCTCTGAGACCATGTTGAACCAACCATTCATTGAATTTCATTCTTCTTCCAAAGGTGGAACTATGATTTGAGGCAAGCCTCAGCTGTCCAGGACGTGTTAACTGGTTATAATGATGGTTAATTTCCCTCTTTTTCATTTTTAGTGTTAGTGCTATAGTAGGGCAGCAGCACCAGTGAACTTCACAGCTCCCGGAGCAGAGCGGCTCTGTTCGCCCTGATGCTGTCTGGGGTGCCCCAGGAGTCTGTCCTAAGCTGCTGCAGCACATCTCCCCTGTTGTGCTTAGTGGCTCTTGGGTCTCACCTCGTGGTTCTCTCTTCCCAGACCCTTCTTCACCCCTCCTGCTGCAGTCTGACTGTTGGTTGTTCTTGCAGGCTTCGGGACTTAGAAGGAATTGGGAAATCACTGAAGTGCTACAGAGATTCCTATCACCCTCTGGATGATTGGATCCAGCAAATTGAAACTACCCAGAGAAAGATGCAGGAAAACCAGCCAGAAAACAGCAAAGCCCTGGCCTTACAGCTGAATCAACAGAAGGTACACAAAGAAATCCTTGTGCTGAGGTTCTGTCTGCATTTGGTTGGCCATGAGCCTCATCTTTCTCTCCTGTGTGGAAGAAAAGGGCAATTACTTAGACAACCATAGGGAATAACAATGTGTATGAGGATTCGATACCCCAAACCTGCCTTTGTTGTTATTTCCTGGAGGTCACTTTTGAAGGCATAGAAAATGAACAGTGTGCTGGGGTTGTTTTTACATACCTCATCGTCCTGGTTTCATAGGCTGGGTCTAGTTTTCTTGGCACTGTTCTGGCAACACAGTTGAATGCTTGCTGAATTAATAAACGTGGCCAGAGGTAGTAGACAGAAGCCCAGTCACACCTGATGGGAAATTGAGTGTTTTAAGGTTTTTTTGTTGCATCATTAGGAGCCAGTAACATCTAACCCTGTTTTCATCTGGGGTGGGTGTAGTGAAGGACACTGCATCTGCTCTGCATGATTCTCAGTTCTGCTCTGAAAGCCTCACGAGGCTAACCGCTAGGAGTCTTATTCTGGAAGTATGTTATTTATCAGTATGTCAAGGCACATGTGAGGTCTGAAGCACCGAGACATACAGCGTGGAGTGACAGGGACGTCTTCCAGTTCCTGAGCGTGAGGGGGAATGGTATAGAATTCCCATCTCTCTTCCTCTAAACTGTGTTTACAGATGCTGGTGTCAGAAATAGAGGTGAAACAGAGCAAAATGGATGAATGTCAGAAATATTCCGAGCAGTACTCAGCCGTGGTAAAGGTGAGTAAAGTCACTTACTTGAGGCAAATTTAGTATTTAGGTATATGGTGCTGTAGCATATTTTTAAAGCAATTCAAATCATTCATCCTGTGTTAAAAGAGCATTTAGATCTTTTTCAAACCTTATTCAGGCCTTTTTATACTTAGCTAATAATTCTTTATGAAATGAGTCCCGGGACAGCCCTGACTGGCTCATTTTCACTGTCTCCATGAATGCATGAAAATGTACACACACCCTAGACATATAGCTCTGAAACTTGCTTATTATTTTTTCCTTTTTTTTCCTTTAAAATTGAGCGAACATTTAACTTGTACTTGAGAGACGCTGTCATGTTTTTAGAGGCTATTATTGACAGTCTTAGCTTCCCAGCTCCATAGCTCTGTTGTTGATGTGGAAGAAGTGGAGGCTGCCTCTACCAAGAGTATTCGAAAGTAAATGCTTTTGTGGCTTCTAAAGACAGTTGCGGTCTTTGCTGATCATTGTACATGTCTCTGTTGATGTCACCACCTTACAAGTATCTCTAGGACCAAAGAGATTTTAAAGATTTGGTTTTCATCATTTATGTCTTTATTTAAACTTAGTTCAGTGAGCTACGTTCCAGTTCTCTGGGGTCAGTCCCTGTGGAATGAAGCATTCAGGCTTTGCTTTAATTAATTTTTCTCATATTGACTCTTGGATGCAGGACTATGAGTTGCAAACAATGACCTACAGAGCCATGGTGGATTCACAGCAGAAGTCTCCAGTGAAACGCCGGCGGACCCAGAGCTCAGCAGACCTCATTGTTCAGGAGGTAACACATGGAGAAGAGCAGTGGTCAGCCAGAAAAGAGAGAGACACTTTAAAAACAGTTTATTCTATCACAGTAAAACATACCTTATATAAAATTGGCCATCTTAATTATTTTTAAGTGATGTAATACAATTATAGTATATCACAATTTTGTACATTCATCACTATTCACTTCTAATACTTTTTTTTTTTTTTAACCGTCCCTTACAGAAAGTTGTAGTTGGACTTTCTTGTTAGACTTTTTGGACCGCCACCTCCCAAATAATGATACAGAGACTTATTATTAATGAAAGCTTGGCCTTAGCTTAGGCTTTTTCTCAACTAGCTTTTATAACTTAAATTAACCTGTTTCTGTTAATGTACATTCTATCACGTGGCTCAGTTAACCTCTTCTCTGAACCATATGTCCAGCTTCTTCATTGTCTCACTAGAGTCTCTGCCATGCCTAGATTCATCCTGAGTTCCTCTCTCTGCCCGGAAGTCCCACCTATTCTCTCCTGCCTTGCTATTGGCCATTGGCTATTAGCCATTCAGCTCTTTATTAAACCTATCACAATGACACAACTTCACATAGTGTAAACGGATATTCTACAATAGAAAGTGCTGCAACACTACATTTTATTAACGCTCTTTAAAAAGAACTCTTTTGCAGGGTGGTGGTGGCGCATGCCTTTAATCCCAGCACTCGGGAGGCAGAGGCAAGCGGATCTCTATGGGCTGTTACACAGAGAAACCCTATCTTGAAAAAAACAAAAAACAAGCAACAACAACAAAAACCTTTTAAAATAAAGATTTTTTGTTTGTTTGTTTAAATTTTTGCCAGGGAGGTTGGGGTAGAAAAAGGGTTTCTCTGTGTAGCACTGGCTGTCCTGGAACTCATTCCATAGACCAGGCTGGCTTCAAACTCAGAAAGATCTGCCTGCCTCTACCTCCTGAGTGCTGGGATTAAAGGTGTATGCTGCCACTGCCCAGCTAAAGATCATTTATTAATGCATAAAAAAAATGTACTTTATGATTAAACTTACAAGTTATGGCTTAATGTGGTATACAAGAGAGTAGCAAGCTCATTCATTACTCCTGAAATGCCTCTTACTGTTGGATAAGTGTGTGCTTTATTCTCCAAAGTCCAGGTGGTAGTGGGCATCACTCAGAGTTCACTCAACTCACTAGGAACAGAGATAACAATCGTATCATTTCTGCCTTGCAGTTCATGGACCTGCGGACTCGATACACTGCCCTGGTCACTCTCATGACACAGTATATTAAATTTGCTGGTGATTCACTGAAAAGGCTGGAAGAGGAGGAGGTAACCATCAACAGTGGACATGCAAGGAAACAGGAACTAGAGTGGAGCAGTATCTGTAATGTTTGGGGAAGGCAAAAATGGGCTTCATTCCAACATGGTCGATAGCTAATACTCAGTAGTTAATTAGAGGCTTACACTGGGAAAGAGGGAAAGCCTTGGACATTTGTTTGTTTGTTTATTTTTTAGATTCTCCAAAACAGAAAAGCATTTTTTAATTTTTACTTTGGGTGGACTAGAGTATTTGCTTAACCATGCTTTAGTTCTGGGTTTGATCCCTGAAACCTCAAAAGCAGTTCCTTCAGAACCCTAACATGATAGAATTAGAGTCATAAATGGTTCCGTTTCAACTGGAAGATGTTTGCATTTGGGCAGAATTTTGTTCATCTTCCTAACAGCTGAGAAATTATTTCCTTCAATGGCACCTGCTGCTCATATGGAGGATGTAGAGATGTAGAGATGTGTGTTACGCATTTGAACTAATACGCATCTTTAAGAATTAAGATTATTACAATTAATTAAAAAGAAAAACAGTAGTAGATACTTATACAAAAGAATGGACATTTTAAGAATTGGTGGTGTTTTACCCTTTGTGTTTTTGCCCAAAAATTATACGTGATTAGAAAGGTAAGTATGGTTCTGATTTGAAGGACTCCTGCAGCTTCGATCCGGAATTTAAAATTGCATTGAGTAATAGGAAGAATAAGAAATTAGCTGTAAAAGTATATAACCTAAAAGCCCATTGATTCTGATCTTGAAGGGATTATTCTGTGCTCGATTCTTTGGATGGCCTTTCTTTTTCTCATCCCAGAACAGACAAAAATAGTTAAAAGAATGCTAAAATGTGTAAATGGTTAAATTTGAGGCCTGGCCATCATAATTGGACTGTTGAAGTTCTACAGGTGTTGCTACCTGATAGAGTGTTGCTTATGTATTGAAAGAACAAAAGATCACCAGTGCCTGGGAGATGGTGCTTACTTTCTTAGCTTCTGAAATTGTGACTATTTTAGTCTGTTGGGAGTCAACCGTTTTCTGCACTAACCCACTAAGGTATATACGTAAAGATTTATAACCACCTCCCTTATGCTTCCAAAGAGCCCAGAGTGCTTGTAGCTCCTTTAGTAAAAATAATGCACTTATGTGTGAAAGAACTTCCTTATTTTCACTACATTTTGAGAGATGTTATTCCATTTTAAATAGTGTACATGCCTTTTAAATCTTACATGCAGTTGTTAGACATAAAATCATTTAAGTCCTTTTCTATTCTCACGGTATATATCTAATTGTATGTATGTGGGCCACTCAGCTCAATTCTTGCAATAAGAAGGAAGATGACAGAAACAAAGATTTTCAAAGACTTCAATACTAATTGGTACTGAAGCACTGAAGAGTTATAGAGAGTTGAAAACACAAACAATATAATTTTGAAGACACACACAGACTATAATTTATAATAAAATTTAATACCCTTCTGTTTAAGGACATATTAATGAACTGTCCTTCAAAAGATACGGAGTTTTAGACCCCAGAGAATAGTAATTCTGAAACAGTCTTGAAGATCCACAGAATAAACTGCCCTGAGAGCAGAATTTTTCATAATCAGCATATAAGCAAAGATCTGTGTAAATTTCAGAAGTAACCAGATATGTTAAAGAAATCTAGAACATTGGCTTATCTCTACATTTGATATGGTGAAGGAATTCCCTAGCCGATGCAAAGACCCATCTCTAGAAATGGATTCTCACTGCATAAAGAGGTCCTTTGAAGGAGTGGTTTTTTATGAGTACATTTGCTATCTACAAGGTGAAAAATCAGTAATTGACCTAAACTATTTAAAGTAATTTTAAGCATGTGTGAAAAAAATCCTAGCCAACCAGATAACATAGAATTACTAATAAAGCACCAAAATGACTCTAATTAAGATATTGAAGACTCATCAATAAATTTTAACCTTTAATTTTAATTTTTTGCTGAGGTAAGCAGAATCTGACCAAGAGAAAAAGGCTCAAAATACCTTGGCCAAAGCTAAGCTATGTTTCAAAGTAAGGTTTGATAAGAAATCTGGTTCTTAGAAAGAATTATTAAATTTTAAAATTTGCATTTTTGTTTTTGAGATGGTGGCTCTCTGGGTAGCCCAGAATGGCCTGGAACTCCATGTCCTCCTGTCTGAGTACTGGGATCACAGGGGTGCAGGTCTGTGCCCTGAGAGAACTTTAAACATACAGAACGTTGCAGTGTGACAGAGGGTTGACTGTGACACATAATTCAAAGAAACATACCAGTTGTGATGAGGCTTTCTTACCCATGGAGTTGTGCTAACAACCGTGGGTGGGTTAATGGAGCAAGCTGAGCTTTTTAAGCCCCAAATGATCAAAGATCAGAAAAGTGGAGGAAGAAAAAGCTTTGTTATTAATTAAATTCTTGAAACTCATGTATATCCCCGTGAAAATAAATCATTTCTATGGAATGATTTCTGTATTCCTACTGAATTCTTATTGCAGTTACTCTGAGTGGATACAAAGCTACCACCACAGTGTTACTAAGAGAACTAGGCTATGTCTGGAAGCCAGTCCAAGCATGTAGAGTTTCAGTTAATATTCAGTTTCTCAGGCCTCCCAGCTGCTAAAAGGTGTTCTTATTTTTATTTGATAAGATGGATATACCTTCAAAACATTTGTATTGGGGTATCTGAAGGTACTTGACAAAATGGGTTTCAGCTGAGGCATGCCAATGTCAGCAGCAGTGAAGTCTGGGAGTGCGTCAGCATCACCTTCTCTAAGGCCAGGGACCGGAGCTGCCTTTACATTAGCAATCCCCATCATTATCATTGTCACACTTGCCATCGGAAACAGTGACTTGGAAATGTCAAGATGCATGTAACTCTCCTTTCCCCTGTTAAAAGTGTTATTTCTGAATCCGGCTCTCTGTTCTGGAATTCTGTTTCTTTAATCTTAAACATGGCTCTGTGAGTACCATGTTTAATTTCCACTGGGCTTGTTATTGCAAACTAAATCTGTGTTCTTTGTTCCTGCGTGGTGGTTTTGTTCTAAGCTGACGTGATTGAGTTGTGAGAGCAGAGTGGATGGATATCATTATGAGCCAAGCTTAGTTTTTACATCTATAAAAGTTCAGGGCTCTGCTTCATGTTCAGTAGTCTCTTCTTGCTTCAAAACCGCAAGCCAGCTAATTTCTATATGAAATTACTCCTGAGGGGCAAAAGGGATCCTTTGGGAAGCACACCCTGTAGGTGATCTGTCTCCTCCCTGCCGGCTTTCTGAGGTTTCCGCTCTGAAGAAACTGGTGCTGGTGCTGGTGGCCACTGCTTGTTCTGCACATGAGTTCCCTTGGTCTCGTGAGTACATGAGCACTACTTCAGAGACTCCAGAATCTATTTCAGTAGAACGGCTATGATACTTTAAATGTTTCTTGTAGATGAAAAGGTCTAAGGAGAATTCTGAGCACGGGGCGTATTCAGATCTGCTGCAGCGTCAGAAAGCAACCATGGTTGAAAATAGCAAACTTACAGGAAAGATCAGTGAGTTGGAAACAATGGTAGCTGAGCTAAAGAAGCAAAAATCTCGGGTAGAGGAAGAGCTTCCAAAAGTTAAGGAGGCTGCAGAAAATGAACTGAGAAAGCAACAGAGGAACGTGGAGGACATCGCTCTGCAGAAGCTCAGGGCGGAGAGCGAGGCCAAGCAGTACCGCCGGGAGCTGGAGACCATTGTGAGGGAGAAGGAAGCTGCCGAGCGGGAGCTGGAGCGAGTGAGGCTGCTCACCTCCGAGGCCGAGGCCCGGCGAGCCGCGGTGGAGGAGAACCTCCGCAACTTCCGGAGTCAGCTGGAGGAGCACACCTTCACGAGAAGAACCCTCGAAGATCATCTGAGGAGGAAGGACTCGAGCCTCAGCGATCTGGAACAGCAGAAACAGGCGTTAGTGGAGGAACTCCGGCGAAAGCGAGACCACGAGGAGGAACTCTTGAAGCTGGTGCAGAAGATGGAGAGGGACTTGGCGTTCCAGAAGCAGGTGGCCGAGAAGCAGCTGAAGGAAAAGCAAAAGATCGAATTGGAAGCAAGAAGAAAAATAACCGAAATTCAGTATTCGTGTAGAGAAAACGGGCTGCCGGCCTGTAGGACAGTGGTGGGCCCCCAGAAGGAGCAGGACAGACAGAAGGAGGAGGAACTTAAGCAGCAGGTGGACGAGCTGACTGTGGCCAACAGGAAGGCTGAGAAAGAGATGCGGGAGCTCAAGTACGAACTCAGTGCGGTCCAGCTTGAAAAGACTTCCTCTGAGGAAAAGGCGCGGCTGCTCAAAGACAAGCTGGATGAGACGAATAACACACTCAAGTGCCTCAAGGGGGAGCTGGAAAGGAAGGATCAGGCCCAGGAACGCTACTCCCAACAGCTCAGAGAACTTGGCAGGCAGCTGAACCAAACGACAGACAAGGCTGAAGAGGTCAGGCAGGAAGCTAACGATCTCAAGAAAATAAAGCACAACTACCAGTTAGAACTGGAATCTCTCCATCATGAGAAAGGAAAACTCCAGAAAGAAGTCGACAGGATCACCAGGGCACACGCTCTCGCTGAGAGGAACATTCAGCACTTAAATTCCCAAGTTCATTCTTCACAGAATGAGAAGGAACTCTCGGAGGAAAGGAGACAACTGTGCCAGAGAAAATCGGATCATCTGAAAGAAGAGTTTGAGAAGAGCCATGCACAGTTGCTTCAGAATATTAAAGCGGAGAAAGAAAATAATGATAAAATCCGAAAGCTCAATGAAGAACTGGAGAAAAGCAATGAGTGTGCAGAAATGCTCAAACAGAGGGTCGACGAGCTCACGAGGCAGAATAATGAAACCAAACTAATGATGCAGAGAATTCAGGCCGAGTCCAAGAACATCGTCCGAGAGAAACAAGCGATCCAGCAAAGATGCCAAGTGCTGCAGGTTCAGGCCGATGGTTTTAAAGATCAGTTACGGAACACCAACGAACACTTGCATAAACAGACCAAAACAGAGCAGGACTTCCACCGGAAGATTAAAAGCCTGGAGGATGATCTAGCCCAGAGCCAAAATTTAGTGAGCGAATTTAAGCAGAAGTGTGACCAACAGAACATCATCATCCAGAATACGGAGAAGGAGGTGAGGAACCTGAGTGCTGAGCTGAGCGCTTCCAAGGAGGAGACGCGGCGGGAGGAGCAGAAAGCCCAGCTGCAGCGGGCTCAGGTGCAGGAGCTGAACGACCGGCTGAAGAAGGTGCAGGATGAGCTGCACTTGAAGACCATCGAAGAGCAGATGACCCACAGGAAGATGGTCCTGCTCCAGGAGGAGTCAGACAAGTTCAAGCGCTCAGCAGACGAGTTTCGGAAGAAGATGGAAAAGTTGATGGAGTCCAAGGTCATCACTGAAAATGACATTTCCGGCATTAAGCATGACTTCGTGTCTCTTCAGAGAGAAAACTGCCGCGCGCAAGAGAACGCGAAGCTGTGGGAGACAAACCTCAGAGAGCTCGAGCGGCAGCTGCAGTGCTACCGCGAGAAGATGCAGCAGGGGCAGCACGGGGAGGCCAGTCATTATCAGAAATGCCGGAAGCTCGAGGAGGAGCTGATAGCCCAGAGACGGGAGGTCGAAAACCTCAAGCAGAAAATGGATCAGCAGATAAAGGAGCATGAGCACCAGTTAGCTCTGCTCCAGTGTGAAATTCAAGAAAAAAACACAGCCAGAGAGCATACCTCCGTATCGGGTTTTGATACGGCAGGGAGAGAGTGCCACCACCCCGCAGAGACTTCCTCGGGGAACTCTGGACACCTGAACCTAAAGGCCAAGTGTCCACTGTCGAGATGGACCCAGGAACCACAGCCTCAGGTAGAAGAAAAATGGCAGCAGAGGGTCGCTGAACAAATCCCAAAGGAGGTTAAGTTCCGACAGCCAGGGACGCTGTTGGACACGGAGAGCAGCCAACCATGCTACTCGGAGTACTTTTCTCAGACAAGCACTGAATTGCAGATAACGTTTGATGAGAAGAACCCGATTCCGAGACTGACTGACCTAGAGAAGATGAGAGACCAAGCCTTGAGGACTTCCAGACCGCCTGTCAGGTATCAGGATGACAAGCTCGAAGTGGAACTGGTGAAGCTTTTGACACCCTTGGAGGTATACCTTGTTCTGCGACCTTCTTAGCTATATCAGGCCAGGCTTCTGTTATTTCTTTTTTTCTCCAAGGCTACATTTTTAACAGTTTTGAATGCTAAGCTGTATAGTATAGTCGTCCTGAGAGGAAAATAATACTCTAATTTTCCATCAGTTTGGCTGTATTTTACTATAAATGACCACTGATTTATGAATGCTTGAGATTGTCCATAAATGTGGTGAGTAAGCTGATATATCTATAGGAGTATATATTTTAATGGTGATTATATTTTTAAAAAATCTAGAGAATGGCTGTGTTGCATGCAGTTCAGTGGTAGAAGAATTCCCTGGCATGTGCAAGGCCACATGTGGGTCAGAGTCTTAGCACTTTGGGGGGTGGGGGACTAGAAGGAAATATTATCTTCAACTTCTAGCATATTCTGTGGCCAGGTTTCATTTTATTCACTACTTTACTGTATTTAATTGCTAAAACTTGAGTCTCTCAAAATATTACCCCCTACCCTTGGTTTGCCATTCTTCACTCACTTATAATTCAAGGGATTGTGTTTGGGCCGAGAACATTTGATAAAATGTCATCCTGTTCTTTAGGCAACTTTTAACATCTTAAACATTCCTATTGCAGATAGCTAAGAACAAACAATGTGGTATGCATACAGAAGTCACGACTTTACCACAGGAGAAGAAGCTGGGTTCCAGTGCTGGTGGATGGATGCTGGAAGGGTCCAGAACATCTGGTGGACTCAAGGGAGATTTCCTTAAGAAAAGCGTAGAGCCAGAGACTTCCCAGAGCTTTGGCCTTAACCAAGCATGTTCAGTTAGAGAGGATGAGTTTCAGTTCCAAGGGCTCAGGCACACTGTGTCTGGTAGGCAGCTGGCTGAAGCGAAGCTTCTGGACCTGAGAACAGTCGAGCAGCTGCGACTCGGTCTGAAGACTGTTGAAGAAGTTCAGAAAAGTCTTAGCAAGTTTTTGACCAAAGCCACCTCCATTGCAGGACTTTATCTAGAGTCTTCCAAAGAAAAAATGTCATTTGCTTCCGCAGCCCAGAAAATCATAATAGACAAAATGATAGCTCTAGCCTTTTTAGAAGCCCAGGCTGCAACAGGTTTTATAATCGACCCCATTTCTGGTCAGACTTACTGTGTTGAAGATGCCGTTCGTCAAGGCATTGTTGATCCTGAATTCAGGAATAGGCTCCTGGAGGCAGAGAAGGCAGTTTTGGGATATCCACATTCTTCTAAGACACTGTCAGTGTTCCAGGCGATGGAAAATAGAATGCTTGATAGGAAGAAAGGGAAACATATCTTGGAAGCGCAGATTGCCAGTGGGGGCATCGTTGACCCTGTGAGAGGCATCCGAGTCCCTCCAGAAACTGCTGTGCAGCAGGGCTTGCTGAACAACGCCATCTTACAGTTTCTGCACGAGCCGTCCAGCAACACCAGAGTTTTTCCTAACCCCAACAACAAGCAGGCTCTGTATTATGCGGAGTTGCTGCAGATGTGTGTGTTTGATGTAGATTGCCAGTGCTTTCTCTTGCCCTTTGGGGAAAGGGACATATCCAACCTCAACATAGAGAAAACTCATAAAATTTCTGTGGTGGATACGAAAACAGGAGCAGAGCTGACCGCGTATGAGGCTTTCCAGAGAAACCTGATCGACAAAAGTATTTACCTTGAACTTTCAGGGCAGCAGTACCAGTGGAAGGAAGCCACATTTTTTGACTCCTATGGACATCCTTCTCACATGCTGACTGATATCAAAACTGGCTTGCAGTTCAATATTCGTGAGGCTGTAGAGCAGGGAACACTAGACAAAGCCTTGGTCAAAAAGTATCAGGAAGGCCTTACCACACTAACAGAACTGGCCGACTCTCTGCTGAGCAAGATAGTTCCTAAGAAGGATTTGCACAGTCCCATTGCAGGCTACTGGCTGACTGCTAGTGGGGAACGGATCTCCTTACTGAAAGCCTCCCGGAGAAATTTGGTTGATAGGATTACTGCCCTCAGATGCCTGGAAGCCCAAGTCAGTACAGGGGGGATAATTGATCCTCTAACTGGCAAGAAATACAGGGTAGCAGAGGCTTTGCATAGAGGCCTAGTTGATGAGGGCTTTGCCCAGCAGCTGCGCCAGTGTGAATTAGTAATCACGGGCATCAGCCATCCTGTCACTAATAAAACGATGTCCGTGGTGGAAGCTGTGAATGCAAATATCATAAGTAAAGAGATGGGAATCCGATGCCTGGAATTCCAGTACTTGACAGGGGGCCTGATAGAGCCACAGGTTCGCTCGAGGCTGTCTATAGAAGAGGCCCTTCAGGTAGGGATCATCGATGTCCTCATCGCTACCAGACTCAAGGATCAAAAATCATACGTCAGGAATATAACATGTCCTCAGACTAAAAGAAAATTGACATATAAAGAAGCCTTAGAGAAAGCTGATTTTGATTTCCACACAGGACTTAAGCTGTTAGAAGTTTCTGAACCCTTGATGACAGGGATTTCCAGCCTCTACTATTCTTCCCAGTAGGGCGTTTAAGTAACTCCATGCAGAGGCAATGCCGGCTGCTTCCCGCCATCTGTTCAGAGCAGATGGTGTCTGCTAAATGTGCAGTCTAGGAACTGTGTCCCGAACTCGAAGCACTGAGAATTTCTTGTAGGCTAGAAATAGCTCCCTGCTCAGAAAACACGGTCATTCTTGAATAGAAGATAACACAAGATTGGCTGCCCCTAAAATAGTTACATTTAAAAAAGAAATCTTATCTCACTTAAATAAATGGGTTTTATCTAGAAAATGGTGTAAGCATGGTGACCATCCACACATTCACAGACTCATTTCTTCAGTCCTTCAGAGTTCTTTCACTGAATAGATTCAGCATGTTAATGACGTGGAACAATGTGCATCTGGAAAGAGTACCTCACAGAGCACCGCGGGATTGAAGAGAACAGGCAGATGTGCTCCAGACCCGTGAGGCTGGAGATTTGCTTCCTGTAGGCTGTGATGTTCTTTACATATTAAAGTGTCCGTTGTAATCTCTTATTTTAGTTGAGACTTTGGAATTAATATCTAACAAGCCCGTTGTGTATTGGAGGAGGGGGATCATCTGTATGTCATCCTTCTCTCTCCTTTTGCTTCCTGTTGTCTGAGAGCTTTCTGTGGAGGCGTTCACGATTGTAATGCTAATGTAAAGGCAGCAATTCCCCAGTCTCTCAGTCTCATGAATAAAGTTGAATTTGCTTATTTGTCCTACTCATGAAGCAGCTGGGTGGTCAGAGCAGTGAATAAAGATTGTCAAAGCTTCCCCAGCTACCCTAGACATCTGTGCTGTGACATGGTGGACATGGTTAAGTGAATGAATAAAAGATCTCCGTAACCCGTGTGCATGATGGGAAAACATTTTTTACATTCTGATATTCAGCAGAAAGGATAGGTTAGTTGAGAAGCTCGGTCATCAGTCATTTACTGGAATGTATCTTCTCTTTTTTAACTACTTGTACCCGTCAGAAGTCTTTGGAAGAAGAGAAGAAACAGCATGTTGAAAAAGCTAAAGAACTGCAGAAATGGGTATCAAATATCAGCAAGACAATGAGAGATGGGGAGAAAGCTGGGAAGCCTCTCTTCTCTAAGCAACAGGTATTCACAGAGGTTCTAATGCTGTTGGGAAGAATTCACTGAATCATACGGTCTGCAAAGCACAAATCTGTACTTTAATTTCCCCCTGGGTTACAGGCTTTTACAATGAAGATCCAAGAGGTTGGGGTTGTTAGTCAGTTTGCCCAAAGAGTCATAGTTAGAATGTGCTGGAAAAGGGTATCTTATCCCACAGCCAGAACCATTTGCATTGGCCCCACTCTCAGCAAACCAATAGGTTATAGGACTTACGTAGATCCTCTCCCCCATCACATCTTCTATACATCCACTCCCCCATTAGAATGACTAGAATTGGTGGTCAATGAAGTCACCAGTCCTCCATGCCACCCATATCAGAAAGACATGGAGAATACCATCTAGGATGTGAACATGGTTGAGTGTTTAGTAGTTCTTTCATGAATCTTTTCTGTTTCACAAGCAAATAGTTGCTTAGTGTTAGTTGGGAGACTGCATAAGGGTGGTGTTTTTGCCCCACAGTGTACCGCTTAAAGCTCAGGACATTGACATTAAGGTATAAATTTTATTAGTGCTGTTGTTGGTAGTAGGAACTCCTTCTAGTTTGTATCTTGTTGTTGGATTGGGCTTGTTTTGGGGAGACAAGGTTGATGTTAGTCTCATCCTTGCTATGCAGCACAGGCTGGCCTTGAACTCCTCAGTTTCTTTTTTTTTTTTTAAGACAGGGTTTCTCTGTGTAATTTTGGTGCCTGTCCCCTTGCTCTGTAGACTAGACTGGCCTCGAACTCACAGAGATACACCTGGCTCTGCCTCTTGAGTGCTGGAATTGAAGGCATGTGCCATCATGCCTGGACATTGACACCAAGAGAAGCTTTTGCATAAGGAACACTTTTCCCACAGGAGGCCAGCTCCTACCCTTGCCTGACGTTGGTAGTTTCTAGAGCTGTCACTCAGTCTCAGTGTTTAGTGTCTCTTCGAGCTCTGCCTTAGTATTTACGCTCAATTGACCCTGACACAGGGGTGGTCAGGAAAGGCATCAACTCTTGTCTAATCTTGCTTTTGATATAAGGCCAAATAGATCTGATTTGGGGTTTCTCTTGAGAAAGTTTTTACTTAAAATATTATTCTTTAAAAATGGAGCCAGTTAGCTCATAGTCTTTCATGGTGTGTGTCATTCAAATGGAAGAACTGAGAATTCAGAAAGCATTTACATTTGGTGTGTTTTAAGCCAAAACCCTTCCATGTAATTTACCTAAAATGTTTAAGATATTCTCAAGCTTTTCCTCACTATCAAATAGGAAGGCATTAAAAGAGGCACATAACCCTTAGCAAAGATGTCTTGAGAGAATGTGTTTCTTCAGAAGCATGACTTATAAACACCTGGTGTCTTCACATTATAGTTACACATTCTCTAAAACGTTAGTAAGATTTAGATGTAGTGTACACAGACACTTTTAAATAAGATTGTGGCCTTAACCTGGAATTCTCCCAGAACACTTGCTCTCTTTTAAAGGAGAAAGTGGTTTAATAGACATAATGAGTGAGTGCTCAAAGATTCCATTTACCTTCATGATTACCTACAGCCATGCGGAATAGATGTCATTGGACTAAGGAGTATACTTGGCAACTTTTCATTGGCCCAGTATTTCCCATTCCTGTTCATTTACAAGAACGGAAGCTTTGATCAAATGAAAGGGGTTAAGGAAAAGTCTTGGGGGAACTCCCTTTTCCCTCCATCAATGGGTTTTCCTCTCTGGTTGCCCCAGATGACTTGGGATGGAGGGTGTTAGCCTGGGGCAGTTATCTCTTGATCTACAGGCCTACTTTCACCACAATAAAAAGGAGCTTCTGGAAGGAAGATCCTCTTTGGAAGTAGTGTCCCTCAGTCACAGTGTCCTTTTGAGAACGGTGGCATACAAGGATGTTAGTGAAACAGCACCGGTCTCTGGCCTTTGGTACATTCGTGGTCGGGCCAGGACAGGTGCAGGAACTGTGTGGTGTTGCATTAAGATGATAACACCGTGACACCGAGAGGACTCTGCACTTCTTGTTATGTCTGCTGGGGAGAGCTGACCTCTTAGGCAGGCCTGTACCCTGCTCACAGCTGATAGTCTATGTGTGTCACTGGAAAATACAAATGTCACTTTTGTCTTGATTAAAATCATATATTTTTAATTATTATTTAATACTCATTTTGTTGGTGGAGAGTTTGAATGTGCCTTCTTACCTTTACAGATTTCCAGTAAAGAAATATCAACCAAAAAGGAGCAATTCTCTGAAGCTCTTCAAGCCACACAGCTTTTTTTGGCTAAACATGGAGACAAGTATGTTGGCTTTCACTGACCCTTTCATTGGGTGTAGGGTCACATCCTGAAAAGCATCCAGCGGACAAAAGGCAGCGTGTCTTACCTGACATCCTAACAGTAGAACACCAACAAACCACACTTTACCTAATAGAACGTGAACTTAACAACCTGCCACTCCCAGTCTTCTCCATTCTGCAGTGTACTCCTCCTCATCTGTTACTGACAAGTAAACTGGCTCAGACAGGTTGAAGATGAGGAGCCAGTGAGTGGCAGGGCAGGCTCTAAGTCTGGTTTTAATTCTGTGTGTGTGTGTGTGTGTGTGTGTGTGTGTGTGTGTGTGTGTGTGCGCGCGCACACGCGCGCGCATATGTATGCATAGTGGGTGTATCTCTCTGTTTTCTGGTCCTGATTTTCACGAATTACTTTATATATTTCAACCAGTGGTTCAAACAAAGAAGGCATCATCCCCTGTCTTAAATCCTATTGGCGTGTCCTCTTCATGACTACCCTGAAATGATTTTGTGTTATTCCTTGAAGAACCTTTCTCTGATCAACTTGGAGTGGTTATTCTGGTCTTCTTGTTGTTGTTGGTTTGCTTTTATCTGGGAGGGCACTGACTTACTAGTTTAACTCTTTAGTCTCTTTCTTAGACAAAGGAAAGAATCTTGGATATTTTATATAGGCCCCTGACTTCAGTACATAATCATTTCAAGACCTGAGAAATAGTCAGGTCTTGAAATGATTATTTGAAGACTGTGAAGCAGGGACATGGAGGCAGGTTACAAACTTTTACACGTGAAGGCTAACACTACCTCTGGATACTTTATGCCTGTTGTAGACTGACAGATGAAGAAAGAAAGGAATTGGAGAAACAAGTGAAAGCTCTTCAAGAAGGTTATAATTTATTATTCAGTGAATCCCTGAAACAGCAGGAACCGCAGCCCTCCGGAGATACGAAGGCAGAGGAGAAGGTAACGTTGCTCACTAGATGTGAGGTTCGTTCAAGAGTCTGATCTGTGCATGGCTGAAAATGTATGGTAATGTACCTCAAGGTTTATACGTGGGAAATACATGGAGAGAGGTGGAGAGTTGGGAGGCCTCTGTGTTTATAAAGTACAATCTCACATGTGCTGATCATCATTCTCTGCCTCCTTAATCTCTGCCTTGCATGGTGTAAGAGGACTCATTCATTTTCTAACTCTTCTTTTTCAAAGCCATTCTTTTACTGTTATGTTAGGTATTTTAGTATAAAATATGGTTAGAAAAGAGCCCGTGCAGTTGATATGCTATGGAGTTTTTTAATTGTCAGAGATACCCATGAAAATTATTTGAGGGATGGGAGGCTACATCTTAAAGTGAGAATACTCACATCTTAAAAACAAAAAAACCAGAAATCATTTAAAAATTGTCTGGCTCATAGTAATGTGCCCAACACAATGCCCGATATTTTAAAAGTGTTATTTTTAATTCCATGACTCCTAGGAATACTTTGACATAATTTGTCATGTTTAGGGGGTATGTAACAAGTTTTCTGGCTCCTTAGTTTTTTTTTTAACTATCCTCGGAAAAGTCTGTATGCTGTAAACATTGGTAGCATGGAGTTTTATGCTCTTTCATGTCACTAGACTCTAATCTCACTTGGATGCAGATAGCATGATTTGCCTTCTAGATACATGTTCTGTTTTCTCTCTGTCAGCACGTACTCCGTGTCCTCACTAACCTCGTTAGTATACACAGATATTGAGTTTTCAATTCACAGATGCATGTCGTTTTAAAAGCTTTATCACATCCTGTGCTGTTGACTAGATCACTGACATAGGTCACTTGTGCATTTGAGCTGCCTAACATTCACAAGCTGCCCTGGTAAGTAGAGGACTTTTTTATGATCAAGTTCATTATTATAAAACAAAACCACCTAAGTGGTAGGAACCGGCCTTGGGTTCCAGACTGACCTGAGCTTTCTGCATTTTCCTTCCAGCTGGATAAAGTGATCGCGGGCACCATCGTTCAGTCAACTGGAGAGGTCTTTTCCGTCTTCCAGGCGGTTTTAAGAGGCCTTCTTGACTATGAGACAGGAATCAGGTTGCTTGAGGCACAGCTAGTGATTTCTGGTTTGATTTCACCAGAATCAAGAAAGTGTTTTGACCTCCAAGATGCTGAAAGCCATGGCCTCATTGATGAACAAATTCTGTGCCAACTGAAAGAGCTAAATGAAGTAAAGCAGATCATTTCCACTACGTCACCAACTACGATTCCTGTGCTGGATTGTCTGGCTCAAGGCATGATATCAGAATCCATGGCCATCCGCGTTCTTGAGATACTGCTTTCTGCAGGTGCTCTGGTGGCTCCAGCCACAGGCGAACACCTGACGCTACAAAAGGCTTTCCAGCAGAATTTGATTTCCTCAGCATTGTTTTCTAAAGTCCTTGAAAGGCAAAACACTTGCAAAGATCTTATTGACCCATGCACTTCCGAGAAGGTATCTTTAACTGACATGGTCCAAAGAAGCATTTTGCAGGAAAATACCGGGATTTGGCTTTTACCCGTGAGACCACAGGAAGCGGGCAGAATAACACTGAAATGCGGAAGAAGCATCAGCGTCCTAAGAGCCGCTCATGAAGGGCTCATAGACCGTGAAACCATGTTTAGGTTGTTAGGTGCACAGCTTCTGTCTGGTGGTCTGATCGATTGCAACTCTGGTCAAAGAATGACTGTGGAAGAAGCCATGGCAGAAGGAATGATTGACAGGGACACTGCAAGCAGTATCCTCACCTATCAGCTTCAGACCGGTGGGATCCTGCACTCTAACCCTGCTAAGCGCTTAACGGTAGACGAAGCAGTGCAGTGTGACTTGATAACTTCCAGCAGTGCGCTTCTGGTTCTGGAGGCTCAGCGGGGCTATGTTGGACTCATTTGGCCCCACTCCGGTGAAATATTTCCCACATCTTCTTCCTTACAGCAAGAGTTGATTACAAATGAATTAGCCTACAAAATTCTGAATGGGAGACAGAAAATCGCTGCTCTCTATATCCCAGAAAGTTCTCAGGTCATTGATTTGGATGTTGCTAAGCAGCTGGGAATTATAGATAATAACACAGCATCCATTTTAAAAAATATAACCCTGCCAGACAAAATGCCAGATTTGGGAGATTTAGAAGCTTGTAAAAATGCCAAAAGATGGCTCTCTTTTTGTAAATTCCAACCATCTACAGTTCATGACTACAGGCAAGAGGAGGATGGCTCTGATGGTGAAGAGTCAGTGGCAACCCAGAGCTCAGAACAAACTAAAAAGTTATTCCTCTCTTACTTAATGGTGAACAGCTACATGGATGCAAACACGGGCCAGAGGCTTTTGCTCTATGATGGAGACTTGGACGAGGCTGTGAACATGCTGCTGGAAAGCTGCGGTGCAGAACTTGGAGCCGACACAGCCGTAAGAGAAAGTCTCTCTGTCCTAAGCATCCCTGGTGCCTTTCCTCATTGTGCCTCAAGGAAAGAAAAGGATGAGTGTTCGACGTCAGCAGCTGGTTCTGCTAAATGTCCTTACAGACAACCGACACATAAAGAGGCTCTTGAAAACAGAGTGTGTGCCATAAATAAAGAGTTCTGTAGATCGGGAAACAATGACAACAGTAGTGAATTGTATTGGGCAGAAAACCTAACCAATACAACAGCAATTGTTCATAAAGCCAGCAGTCCATCTAGCGTGTGTGTCCCCAAACCTACATCACATTCAACACAGCCTGAATATGCAGGGGGGAGCATGCTCAGACATGACTCTGATGACATACTGAAAGACAGTAAGGATCAAAGTGAGCTTGAAACAAAGGCACATCCAGATGAATGTAATCATTCTAAAAGCCCTCAAGATTTTTTGACATCAGAAACTGGTAGACTTGGTCATCGGAATGAGAGAGAGAATGAAGATAGTATGCAGAAGGACCCGTCTGTCTTTGACTACTCCCCCCAGCTGAGTGCCCTGTTAAGTCATGATGAGTTGAGGCATAGTCAGAGCAGTTTGAGTAACACACAAACCCCACAGAACACGGGATATATTTGTGAAGCTTCTCCATTGTCATTCAGTGACCAAAGTGTGTCAACTGATAGAAGTACAAGAGGAAAATTCCAAGACCAGTTTCTGGGAATTGCAGCTATTAACATCAGCTTCCAGGGGGAGCACTGTGGACAGATATCTTTAGATCCTGGGTGTAGTGATCCTCAAGTACAATATCACAGTGATGAATACATGTCAGATGTTTCAGGTGAAAGTGAAAATACTCAACAAACAGATGAAAATGAGAAAAGTGGGTCTGAGGTGGACAAATACTCCTGTACCATGATCCCTGGGGATGGTTCACACAATACCGACACCTCTGTCTGTGGCACATTGTCACATAAAGGAGCCATTGATGCTGGTGACTATGAGACATCACTGTTGGCTGATCAGCAGAGTGACTCAGGGACAGACACTGAGAGTGACGATTATTTTTATGATACCCCCTTGTTTGAAGATGATGACCACGATTCTCTAGTTCTTCAAGGTGATGATTGTGATGGTTTGCAGCCTGAGGACTATGACATGTTGCAGGAGGAAAACGATGGAACCCCTCCTCCTGTTGATACTCTGTATGATGTTTCAGAAGAGAAGAAAAGTCCTTTGTTTCCCCAAGGAGGAATCGTTGATAGCATAAGTGTGAAGAACAAAGCGCACTGTTCTCAGGAATTTCTTGTAGGTACCGAGAACGCTGAATTACATTTAGTTGACCAGAAACAGTTAAATTCAGTGGCCTCAGACAAGGTGAATGAACAATTAATAGAACCTACATCCAAAAGAGAAAGCCCGGGTGACCTTGACCGTAGTGATTCTGACTCATTGACTGATGGTGAAATCACAGGAAGGAAGGAGAGCTCAGGAGCTTCTGTAACACCTGATGATGGTTGGAGAGGGAGAAGAGAGGAGTGTGGCACAAGCCAAGAAAGCCAGTCTGATGCTGATCGGGTAGGTTCCATGCTAAGTAGAGAAAGTTCCAGGCATTCTGTATGTGACGGGAGTGACCCGGATGATGATGATGATGACGATGACACTCCCAGTGGGGACTACAGCAGTGCAGACAGTGGTGACGGAGGAGGAGGGGGACAAGGAGTGGAGGATGAGAGTGGAAAGCCCATGTACCAAGTTGGAGATACCCGGTTGTGTGCCACCACTGGAAAGGAACATGGGGGTGAAAACCGAAGTATCAGTCCCATGCTTCTCCTGGATGAAATGCACCATGACAGTCCTTTAGGAAAGCAGCCCTGTGCAAGGGCGTTGCAGCCAGAATCAACCGGTAAGCAAAGTCAAGGCACTGAAAGAAGCAGCCGTCCAGAACTTACGACGGAAGCTGAGGAGGAGAACAAAGTCAGCCCGGCTGGTCACATGGCAACTCAAGATGTGTCGCTGCCTGATGCTAAAGACCACGCCTCGGAAAAAGTCTTTGGCTTTGAAAGTATTTTATCTAAGGATACCGGTTTGATTTCTGAATTAGAAAGGGATGTAATGAGCACAAAAGTCAAGTTGGTTCAAGGGCCGGAATCTACAAATATTCTGAAGGCTGAAGACGAGTATCTTGAGAATGTATCACCCCAAATCAGTCCAACTTTGGAGGAAATCATTTGTTCTGAAACCGAGTTAATAGGAGGACCTTCTGGGGAAAGCCAGTTGTCATCCACCGTAAGTGACAAGGATCAGCAGGAAAGTGGAAGAGGTCTGGTTAAAGGTAGAGATGGCAAAAGCGACCAGCTGGTGGATGAGACATCCATTCGGGAAATGGGCTCGGGTAAAGAGGAAGGGTCGATAGAAGGCTCAGAAGAAGAAGAAAGGTATCTCAGCCCCTTTCCAAATGAAGGTGCACCAGAGAGCCTCAGTATGGTTAAGAATCAGTCTCCCCGTCCACTGACGAACGCCGAGGAACTCTGTCACAGAGGGGGCCTGGAAGCAGCGACTGTGCCTCTTGGAGATGAACTCAAAAATGTCAGTGAAAGTCCTGTTCCATCTGAGACTCTCGCAGAAATATTTGACACCTCAGCTTCTAAAGTGACTCATGCCTACTTTACTTCAGATGTCACATCCCCTGAGGTAAAGAGCCATGTGGAAGAAGATTCCTTCACAGAAGGACTGGAGACAGAGAGTGACCCGCTTACTTCCTTAGAAAACTCTGACAAACATATAAAAGTGGATATACCAGAACCAAACAAAAACACCCCAAGCTCTGTCTCAATAGATTCTCCTCCCACGAAGGATGATTTGTGGACAGTAAATAATGCAGAGGAAATGTCACTCATTCCCCAAGAAGACTGGCCTCCAGGAGCAAAAATCCAGCCAAGTGTTACTTGTATCAAAGAAAGTATCTCAGAAGGAAAAACAGGAATCCTTCAGTTCACTCCAGAAAATAGTGACACCACACTGTCACCCCCACCTCTTAAAAGTATGGAGGACTGTGGAGAAAATACCAATTCTGAGCAGTCTAAGCTCCATCTGAATGGAGTAAAAAATGCCTCCAGTAACACTGTAGATGGGGGCTGTTCACCGTTAGAAATCAACAGGGAGAAAGAAAGCATTGAGAAACAGCCACCCAGAGAACTAGCCTTATCTCCAAGACTCCAAGAGAGAGAGGTTCATGTTTCCGAGCTGTCTCTGGCATTTGGGGATGGCGGGGAGGCCATCTTGAAAAGCATGTTAGAAGGTCATACAAATCTCCAAGAAGGGGGAGACCCTTCAGCTTGCGCAGGCACCAAAATTTCAATTCAGAGCTTCATTAAAACAGTTGTCTTGCCTCAGCTGCCGGATGAAGTATCTAGTGTACCCAGTCCTGGCATTTCCCCCACGAATAACTCATCAGAACCGAAGGCAGAGAGTGGAGGGAATCCTCTCTGCATTGCGAGTCTTCAGTTGGACCTTCTTGATATACTGAAGCAAAAACAACAGACCCAAGAAACCTCAGGCACATCTGAGTTGATGAAAGTGTTAACTCACATGGAGTGGGATCCAGAGAAAAGAGGCATTGCATCTGAATTATTTCCACCACAACTTAAAAATGCTTTGTACAAGCTGCTTTTGGATGGCTATTCCGCTGAAAGAGAACAGGCTGAAGGCTCGAATCAGAAACCACATGCTGCTTCTGAGGTGGTGGAAGAAAAGTCATACATCTGTGGTGGTCTTGAAAGCAAAGAAGGAAATCGCCATTCTCTGAACCCACAAACTGTAGGAGAAACAGGGGCAGAGCACTCTACTGTGCACACAGCAGCATTGGCAGGAGATGAGAAGCTTGAAGAGCTGTGCAGTGAGCCTCCAGGTCATTCAGAACGTGTTTCTGGATCAAAAGAAATGGCCTCTGGTGACTGCTCAATGGAAAAAGTGAGTTGACATATTCATTTTTTCCCATGACAATTCCAGCAGCAAATACGTGGGAATAATCCATACATTTTGTTTCCTTTAATATTTTTTCATAAAGGCTATTAATTACTGTATCCAAATTTGTTTTTAGTGTTCCAGTGAGTTGCAACAGTGTTTACAGCATACTGAGAAAATGCATGAGTATTTGGCTTTGCTTCGAGACATGAAACCCCCGTTAGACAGTCAGCCGTCTGAGGATAACATTCTAGAAGCCTTGAAGAATCAGCTTAAGCAGTTAGAGGTAAGTTTTATCTACTGACGTGCCTATCAGCTTTCCATCAGTAATCAAGTTAAGCAAAGGGTTTATATGGGGTCATAGTTTTAGAGGCTCTAACCTATGACCCCTTGGTCCTGTTACTTTTAGTTTTGTGGCAAGGCAGTTCATCACCTCATACTGAAAGGCAGAAGAGAGAAGGTCCATAGTGCCCCTGTCCCCTTTGAGAGTCCCCCAAGCCCTGAGATCTGAAGTTCCCCCATTAAGTCCACTTCTTAAAGTTTCTAATCCTCCCCTATAGCACCAACCCAAGGTCCAGAGCACCAGCCTTGGGAGACATTCAGACCCCAGCTGCCGTATCGGGTGGTTCATGGATGGTACCATTTCATGCACAATTTGCAAAATGTGGGATGCTTTGCCCTTATGTTTTGGGCTTGGGTTTGTGCTTTTTGCCGAGCAGTGAATAGATGTGGGATATGTTTCTTTGCAGACATTTGAGTTGGGATTTGCTCCACTTGCTGTGTTTTTGAGAAAAGATCTAAAGTTGGCAGAAGAGTTCTTAAAGTCTTTCCCTAGTGCCCTTCCCAGAAGACATCGAGAAGAGCTGAGCAAAAGCCACGAAGGTTTACAGAGTGCCTTCTCATCCCTCAGCAGTGCATCCTCAGAAAGAAAGAAACGGCTTATGCTTGCAATCGACTCTGAAATGGTAGGCTTTTATGAAAGGGTGAATTTTGAATAAAATGTGATTAATTATTTAAAATTTTGAGGGTTTTTTTTTTAAGTATTATAGTTTTACAGTTCTCAACTCTTCAAACAGAATCATTGTAGGACTTTGAAATTTGGGGACAAGCAGAAATGAACATGTAATTTTGTTTTCTAGTCTAAACTCACAGTTTGTCATGAAGACTTCCTACATAAACTTACGTCATATTCAGATTGGGTATCAGAGAAAAGCAAATCTGTGAAGGATATTCAAACTGTGAACACCCAAGATACTGAACTTGTAAAAGAAAGTGTGAAGTTTCTTAAGGCAAGTATCAAAGTCCGTATGACAAAGTATAAGACCTGTAGATTTAGGGTAAGACGTGTTCAGGACAAATACAACCTTCCTGAGACTATTAGGGACTTCAAGCCTGTCTTTGGCCTGAAGAGATATCTTTCATAGTTGCCCTAACTCTGGAAGCTATCCCATACACCGTACCAAATTCTCACTACCACTGACAAAGTGACATTTGTGTGTATGTCTTTTTTATAAATGAATGGTGTAAGCACAAGATAGCTATAAATTAGTCAAAAGTATGGGAGCACAAGTCATACTTGGATAATTAATTTTGGTGTGAAATTTTTTTTTACATGCTCTTAACTTGAACAATCCCATGAACACAGTTAGGTTCCTTGTCTCAGAATCAGAAAACTAAAATTATAGTGTGTCGAATTCACATTTTGTGTTGTTTGTGGTCTTGTTATGTGTGATCACAGTTGAAAGGCTAATGGAAACGTGAGCAGTTACTTTGTGATGTTAATGTGCCTTTCACTAGGATGAATGAACCTGTGTGGGATCTTCATTTTTTGTTTGTTTGTTTGTTTGCTTGTCAGTTACATTTTAAATAGGCTATACCAAAGACAGACTGTTCTTGGGGTTACTTCTCTGTATATGTTAACTACTATCATATTTAAATGCTTTATTATTGGGATGGAGCAGTGGCTTAGTGTGTAAATGGCTTGCCACACTTTTTGCACGAGCATGAGGATCTGAATTTAAATCCTAGATTCCGTGTTAAGTTGGGGGGTAACACACATCTGTATCACTAGTGCTTTGACACCGCAACTTGTACTGCTTTCTTCACAGGAAGTGCTAAGAGACCTTACGCACACCAAAGTGCAGCTTGAAACGGCGGCCTTTGACATACAGTCCTTCATCTCCGACCATGCTCAAGATCTGTCTCCCAACCAAAGCAGACAACTCCTGAGACTCCTAAATACAACCCAGAAGTGTTTTCTTGATGTGCAGGATCTGGTAACCACGGAGGCGGACCGGTTAGAGACTCACTTACACCTAGAGCAGGAGCTCGGTCATCAGAAGGTCTGCCTGTCTTGTGGAGCTGGGCTCACTGTTTGGCTTGTTCGGTGTGAAACCAGAAATAGTGACCTGCTAGGGAGGGGTTCTGGGCAGGCCTGAGTGGGTGTGGAGTCTAACTTCTGCAGTGGGTCTAAGGAAGTGTTCTGGGCGGGCCTGAGTGGGTGTGGAGTGTACCTTCTGCAGTGGGTCTAAGGAAGTGTTCTGGGCAGGCCTGAGTGGGTGTGGAGTGTACCTTCTGCAGTGGGGAGTGTACCTTCTGCAGTGGGTCTAGGGAGGTGTTCTGGGCGGGCCTGAGTGGGTGTGGAGTGTACCTTCTGCAGTGGGTCTAGGGAGGTGTTCTGGGCGGGCCTGAGTGGGTGTGGAGTGTACCTTCTGCAGTGGGTCTAGGGAGGTGTTCTGGGCGGGCCTGAGTGGGTGTGGAGTGTACCTTCTGCAGTGGGTCTAGGGAGGTGTTCTGGGCGGGCCTGAGTGGGTGTGGAGTCTAACTTCTGCAGTGGTCTAGGGAGGTGTTCTGGGCGGGCCTGAGTGGGTGCAGATCAGATTTCTTGCAATGGATCACAGCATGGTTTTCATGTTGATGCTGTCATGCCATTGATCTTTTTCATCGTTCTCTAGCAGTGTTTTGTTAGGTGAGAGTCTGAACTCTCTCCCCGAAAATGGGAACTAGAACGCATTCAGAAATGTGCAGGAGTAACTGATGATGGTTTAGCTCTGGAGTTCAGAGCACTATTTCCCCTGGAAGAAGGAGGGGGGCACAGAGTTGGAGCTTGTGCTTTGGAGTACTCGTCTAGAGCTGAATTGCCTCAATTTGAGTCCTAAATACTCTACTTTATCTGCTTTGTGTGACTCAGAGAAGTGACTTACCCTCACTTTGCTCGTTGGTAAATTAGAAATAGTAGTGTTTATCTGGTAATATTATGAGCACTGATAAAATGACTCATATGAAGCAGCCCTGTGCTGACCCGTGCTGAGCTTTCAGTAAACACGAGCTGTGTTTACCGTCGCTGTGAGCTAGATAAGTGTGTCCGGGGAAGAGGAAAATAAAAGTACCAGTTTTGACTTACTAATCGTTCAGATTTCATGGATTCAGTACGTGCAGTGGCTGTCATGAGCAAAGAGCATAAGGACAGAGTCAAAGTAATGCATGTGACGTTTCTGTTTTTCTTGAAGCATCCAGGCATTGTGTGTAGCATGATAACCTGTATATACATATCCATATGTTTACTGACCAATCACAACTAACTTCTCTTTTGGTGTCCTTTTGCAGAATTAATTCTGTGTGTCGCAGGGTTCAAGAGCTTAAGAACATGGGATGTTTCTTCCTGTCGATCAGAAGTTCCATCTCTTACACATATGCATGGCCAGTATTCTGTTGAGCAGCCTCACCCAAACAGGCTCTTTCCGTGTGTATGGGACATGCTCATACTGTACACTCTGTCTGTCCTTGCTCAGTTGGCACTCCAATGCTATCGTGTTTACAGCATACTTAAAAAGCTTACTGGAGGGTGTTTGGAAAGTGATTTCTGATAAGAGGCTTGGTCAGAAGCAAGTTGAAGGTCACCCCTTGAAGGTGTTTTGGGTTTTCTCCATCTTAGGTTGTGGCAGAGCGTCAGCACGAGTACAAAGAGAAACTCCAAGGACTGTGTGATCTCCTCACCCAAACCGAAAACCGCCTAATCAGTCAGCAAGAAGCCTTTGTGATTGGAGATGGCACAGTGGAGTTAAAGAAGTACCAGACCAAGCAAGAGGTAGACCTGTGGGAGCAGCATCTGTGTGTCCCTATTAGGTTTGGTTACAGTGTCTGGAAGGCCCCTGGGCTTGCTGAAAACAGATCAGGTGTATCAGAAGCAAGGCATTCCCAGAGGCCCTGAGAAAGAGCTTTAAACTTCGTACTGAAAGCTAGACTCACACTTAAATCAGGCCACCTCATTGTCCAGACTTCTTCGGTGACATACTTCATCAGGGGAGTAAATGATACTTGACAATGTGAACCCTTTATGTCCGGCTGACTCGCTTGCAAATCAGGAGAAATAGCCTTTAGTCTGAGTTCTTTCTCTCTCAGTACTCAGTACTTTCTCTTCCTTTTCCTCTGGTCTTTTCCTGTAATTCATTCTTTTTTTTCTTAGAAGGGAAAGGGATAAAATAACAAAAATGCCAGATAAGAAAAAACTGTATTTTGATGTCGGGAGAGAAAGAGCCTCATTATGTGTAGCTTTGGACTCAAATTCAGTGTTAGTCATGCCTCTGTGTCTCAGTTTCCTTCAGTAAGAACTGAGTGTACTTCTCTTGCCACATTCTTAATAAAGCCGAGTAACTGAGTCAAGTCACTACCACAGTTAATGTTATACACAGGCTATCATGCAAGTCATACACTCAAAACCTGGAGGAGCCTCAAGGCAGAGTATGAACAGAGGTGTTTTTAAGACGCACTGGTATATTATAAAGAATGAAAATGCATAAAAACAGGATTCCCTTGTTTTTAAGAGGAAAGATCACGGAGGGAAATTTCCACTTCCCAGACAAAGGAAAGCTCTAACTCCTGAGGGGAGAGCTCCCTCAAGTGCCCTAATGGCCGGAGCTAAGATGCAAACATTACTTCATGCCAAGTGGTGGTGGTGCACACCTCTAATCCCAGCACTCAGGAGGCAGAGGCAGGTGGATCTCTGAGTTTGAGGCCAGCCTGGTCTACAGAGTGAGTTCCAGGTCAGCCAGGGTTACACAGAGAAAACCTGCCTTAAAAAAAATTAAAAAAACAAACCACAACCCACTACATTATATATAACCTGGTGTTAGAAAAAGAAAGTGTCTCAGTTTACTGATGGAACTATTTTCTTTTCTTTCCTGAGTGAATAGGTATGTATTAAAATCAGTGTTCAGTTGGGTGTGAGGATAGTGTATGACTGTAAGCATGACACTTGGGAGGCTGAGGAAGAGCATCATCACGTTCTTGGCTTGCCTGGGCCGCATAGTGAGACCCAATCTCAAAAAGCATGTACTGGTGTTTAGAAATAGATGAAATATCATCCCAATTTTATGTTGTAAATGTGCTTATATAAAGCTCATACAAATTTGTACGGCCCGTGTGCTCAGTGCCTCAATATTTTCAATGTTTCACAAATATTCTTCTCTTAAGCATAGATTCTTTTTTTTTGTTGTTGTTGTTTTTGTTTTTTTGTTTTTTTCGAGACAGGGTTTCTCTGTGTAGCTTTGCGCCTTTCCTGGAACTCGCTTTGGAGACCAGGCTGACCTTGAACTCACAGAAATCCGCCTGCCTCTGCCTCCCGAGTACTGGGATTAAAGGCGTGCGCCACCACCGCACGGCATACATTCTTAATATTGAGATTCCAAATTATATGGAAATTAAAGTGTAGTCAAACCAACCTCACACTCCCATACTCTGTATGCTTTTTCAGCTGTGTTTGCTAGTCTCCACCTACAGTAACTCTCTTAGAATTACAGTTCTGCAAGAATTGAAATGGTCTAATAGCATCCTTTCTCCTCGTGTGTGTTTTAAGGAATTGCAGAGAGAGATGCGAGGAAGTACGCAGGCACTGGCAGACATAGTGAGAAACACGGAAATCTTCTTAAAAGAGAGCGGCGACGAGCTGTCCCGAGAAGATAAAGCTTTGATCGAGCAGAAGCTGAGCGAGGCCAAGGTGAAGTGCGAGCAGCTGAATCTAAAGGCGGAACAGTCGAAAAAGGAGCTGGATAAAGCGGTGACGTCCGCCATCAAGGAGGAGGCTGAAAAGGTGCCTGTCCAAGTGCATGCATGGTCCACGGTGGCTTTGCCAGAGATGGCTAACACAACGTGGTAGCCGCTCCCTTTTGTTAAGCGTATCAGGTGGTAGTGAGCCGTGATTAGCTCTGAGAACGAAAATGCTGAGACTGTGGGCACGTCGTTGCCAAATACAAACAAAGATTGGCAGAATTGACTTTGCTTAATCTTCCCTTAAGTAGAAGCAGACGGAGAGACTTTGGATATGAGAAGTGCTGTCAGTTATAGTTAAAAATTCAAAATAATATGTTTGAAGGCAGTGTAGACCCAGAGTAACTAACTGCTTGTTGCTTTAGGGTTTAGTTCCCATATGTTTCTACTATGTGTTAGTTTTTATAATTCAGGATTACCTAAGTATTTTTCAAATGTGTTAAGCCTAGGCTGTGTCTATAATATTTACGAACCTTCCGTACCCAGGTTGCAGCTGTGAGGCAGCTGGAAGAGAGCAAAACCAAAATAGAAAACCTTATGGACTGGTTGTCGAACGTGGAGAAGGACTCAGAGGGGGCAGGCATGAAGCACACGCGGATGATGGAGCAGAACGGAACCCATTCTCTTGACGGTGACGGCAAGTCAGCAGCTGGTGAGGAGGACAAAGTCAATGGTAACCTGCTGGAGACAGACACTGAGGAGCTCGGCGGGACCACGGAGGAGAATCTGAACCAGCAGTACCAGAGAGTCAAGGTGTGCGGTTTGGACAGTGATACTGTCAGGTTCTGTGTGTAGATCAGTAGTCAGCTTTATACAACCACAGAGAGGAAAGACTTTCCCTACCGCAGGCTCATTGTGTGTCAAATATAAATCACTGTGGAAGTTCTTAGGAGTAAATCACAGCTTCTGTGCATAGGTGAAGCCTGTTTAAGAAATGAGAGAGGGCTGGAGAGTTGGCTCGGTGGCTAAGAAAGCTTGCTACTCTTGCCGGGAGTTCAAGTTCAGTTCCCGGCACCCACATCAGGCAACTAACAACCGCCTGTATCTCCAGCTGTCCTGCAAGGTCAACCGTATCAGACATATATGCATAAACTTAAAAAAATGAATCTGGCAGTGGACCTCTCCAGAGCAGTGACTGGCCAGCACTCCTGCCTCTTCCTGAGGCACTTCATTTAGTCTTCTTGGCTACTCTTTGAAGTTTTAAATGTCCATTTTATAAGACAGTGGCAACTTACATACCTAAAGCAGCTGGCCCCTGTTGTATATGTGGGAGAGCTCGAGATTGGCTTTAACCTCAGCCACGGTTTCGGTCAAAGGGCGAATCTCTGTACTGCATGCTCGCAGACTGGCTTGCCGTGCAGCCTTGAACATCCATTCTAAGCTGAGCCTCTGAGGCAGTGCGGGCCGTTGTGGAGAATGAAAGCCCGGTGCATGGCGGCAGTGGCAGCCTTCATTCCTGCCACTGCAGGACCAAGGCAGTTTGGGAGTAGCCATTATTTCTTTTAACGTGTCCCAGAGTGGATGGTTTTGTCTCGGTGCCTGGAATCCCGTGCTGGGTGACCGTGTTTGAGAGGCTTTTGCAGGTCAGCTAACTCTCGTAGAGTCCAATGGGGTACTCTCGGTGAGACTTTCTAGAAGATGTAACTTACGCCCAAAGAGTGGAGTACTCACTGATGACACTCTCAAAAAGCTTGGGAATAGGACCTCACTCTTCCTGGTTTTTTTTTTTTTTTTTTAATGGAAAAAAAATGAACTCCTGAAGGAAGTTTATGAGTTATGACAAAAAAGCCATGAAAACCAGCCATTGCTTTAGACCATTGTGTGGCATTTTCCTTCTGATATTTTTTACTTCTGAGACTGAGAATCCTTAAGAGCTGATGTGTTGTCTGAGTGGGGATGTAGCCAGAAGGTCCAAGTTAGCCATGTCCGCCCTCTGCAGCGGTGCTGGGCCCAGGTCAGCCAAGCCCCTCTCCTCCCATCGGCCTGAGATTCCTTATAGACAAGGAGGGATACTGATCTGATGACGTAAGGTATTCTGTATGTGCATCCTGTCAGATGCGAAGCCCTGCGGGAGAGAAACACAGGAAGATGATTCAAATGCCAAGGACCCGGTTTGTGGAAGAAAATGGTTTGAACAAAAATATTTATCAGCGGGACATAAGATGTTGGGCACTACTGCGGATAGTCAGAATGCAAGTGTGGACAGGCCTGCACTCCGCTGACTGGTTGAGAACAGCTTGTGAGCAGGGCGTGGCCTCTCGATGATTCCAGGACCTCATCACTTTACTGCCGTTATTCTTTCTCATTCTGCCCCGGGTGTCAGCACTGTTCTGGGTGCTTGGGATTCCACCTGCGTGCTCGCCTACTAAAGGGAGAGGATAGCATAGCACACAGTAACTAAGTTAGGTAGTTTGGTGGAAGGTAGTAAGTGCTGAGAGAGAGAGAGATCTTAGTGAGCTGGTCAAGAGTAATTTAGTGTGATGTGGTTCTGTTTTTAGTATGTAAATCAAGTAGTTAACCATGTTGTAATCAACAAAACCATGTTGATGAGATTTATGCAGAAATATTTAAAAGGGATGGAGAAAGCTGTGTGGGTATCTGTTGAAGGAACTGCCACCGGGCAAAAACACAAGGAGAAAAAAAAATGTACCAACATACCTCCCCAGGTGGGTGGGGATAGAAGTGGGAGCAAGCAGAGACCAGGTGTAGCCGAAAGAGCCCTGAGGTGTAAACCAGATCAGGCCCATGTTCACCATGAAACTTAGAAAATTGCTCAAAAGGTTTATTAGCCTTTATTTGCCATATTTGGATAGCATATTTGAAGAAACTTCTTATAGATGGAGAGGAAGGAACTTAAGATGCTTTAAGACCAACCTGCTCCCTGGAAATTGAGGCCGCAGGTGGCTCTGTGTACCTTTGACCTCTTGGCAGCAGCGCTTCCCGGGAACTCTGTCTGCCTTGCTGCCCCGGAGTGGCCTTGAACTCCTAGCATGTGCCAGGTTCTGGAGGGATTCTCTGTATGTGAGCTGAGATGGTCCTTAAAGCAAATCTGTGACCCCCTGAGGTCACCGCCTCCGTGTTCACTGTAAGATCCAGATGTCTCCAATGCCTGCCTCCCTCACGTCTGCTCCTTTAGCTCTTGCTCTGCTTCGCTAACGTCTTTAAATTGACCGGAAAGAGGATTACATATATGGTGGCTTGAAAAGCGCATTGAGAAGCGAGTTGGGTTCTGGAAGCCTAAGGTCACCCTAAGGCCACAGTGTTCCCAGCAGCTCTAAAGTTGCCATTCACTTGTCTCCACACAGGCCCAGCACGAAAAGATCATGGCTCAGCACCAGGCGGTCATCCTAGCCACGCAGTCTGCGCAGGTACTGCTTGAGAAACAGGGCCACTACCTGTCACCCGAAGAAAGGGAGAAGCTGCAGGCGAACATGCAGGAGCTGAAAGCGCATTATGAGACTGCGCTGGCCCAGTCCGAGAAGAAGGTGAAGCTGACGCATTCCCTGCAGGAGGAGCTGGAGAAGTTTGACGCTGACTGTAGCGAGTTCGAGCATTGGCTCCAGCAGTCGGAACAAGAGCTGGAGAACCTGGAGGCGGGTGCCGACGACCTCAGTGGGCTAACGGACAAGCTGGCCAGGCAGAAGAGTTTCTCCGAAGACGTCATCTCACACAAAGGTGACTTGAGGTACATCACCATTTCCGGAAACAGGGTGTTAGAAGCCGCCAAGTCTTGCGGCAAGAGAGACGGCCACAGGGACGACAGGGACAGCGTGGACACTTCCGCAACCCACAGAGAGGTTCAGACCAAACTCGACCAGGCTACACAGCGCTTCCGGTCTCTCTACTCTAAGGTAATTTTATTTTCCTTTTGTTTTTTGAGTAGAGGTCAGTGTGTGATGTATTTTCAATCTGCCCTCTTCGCTTTTGCTTTGGGTTTAGAAGTAATATGTAATATATATATATATATATATATATATATATATATATATATATATATACACACACACACACACACACACACACACATATATATACATATATATATGTATATATATATATACACAGACATGGGGGAAAATAGTAGTTTTATTCATCTCCTTTACTTCTGGAAAATGTCTCTTAAAGATGAGCAACTTCAAGTTACTTAATTTTGAGAGAGGTTTACCAGAAGTGAGGTTTACCAGAAGTTTTTGGTCCTGCGATTACGCAGTACCAAATGTGACCACCAGAGGGAGTATATGAACTAAGCAGAAAGGGGCTCAACCTCTAGTCTTGCCAACTGAAGTTTTCTTGTAGGCTAGATAATTCCCTTCCCGTATATTACAGAACTGTTTGTCATACAGATGTATCTGATCGGTATGTGCTCATTATTAATAACTAATGTTTATTAATGATGAATGTTCTGTGTTGTTTCGTTTATTACTCTGGAAAATAAAGAGTCTTATTAAAAACGAAGACTGTAAGCCAGGAGTGGTGGCGCATGCTCCAGAAGCTAAGGAAGGAGAGTGAATTTGGGTCAGCCTGTCTCAAAATAGGGAGGAGGGGACACAAGAACCTATTTCCCTGCTTGCTACATAGGCTTCTCAGATTTAACCCACCTGTATAAATGATTTGAAAGGCACCTTTGAGGCTTGGATTTTGTTTCCTTTTAATGTAAGTTATTTGATTTCATTGTGTTAATCTTGTGCAACATGTAGAAATGATTTATAAGGCACCGTAAAACTATTTTCATTAAATTTCTCTCTCTATATTGTCTGAAAGCCCAGGAGATGGGCCCTGGTAAATATGCCTCGTCCGGTGATTCATTCTCGTTTAAGAGCAGCCACCAGTATGCTGCTTTTTAATAATTAAAAGTCTAGAAACAGCCGGGCAGTGGTGGCGCACGCCTTTAATCCCAGCACTCGGGAGGCAGAGCCAGGCAGATCTCTGTGAGTTCGAGGCCAGCCTGGGCTACCAAGTGAGTTCCAGGAAAAGGCGCAAAGCTACACAGAGAAACCCTGTCTCGAAAAACCAAAAAAAAAAAAAAAAAGTCTAGAAACATCTCCTTATTTCTGTGGTTCCCTTTTGACTTCTCCACACGAAGGAAAAAACTCAGCTTTGGTTGAAGTCTGTTCTTTCCCTGAGTCTCACGGCTCCTACATCTTGCGATTACGTGACGTGTAATAAACCAACGGGTTTCAGTCTCCTTCCCCGTCTCTTCTTTGGCTTTTTTAGTGCAACGTTCTCGGGAATAACCTGAAAGATCTGGTGGATAAATACCAACACTACGAAGACGCTTCATGTGGGCTTCTTTCTGGGCTGCAGGCCTGCGAGGCCAAAGCGAGCAAACATCTGCTGGAGCCCATTGCTGTGGACCCCAAAAACCTGCAGAGGCAGTTAGAAGAGACCAAGGTAAGGAAAGGGGGGGGGGGAGAAACAGCCCCCCAGTAGTCCCGTCGAAGGCCTTCCGTTCTCTGCACCTGTGTGGTAGTTTTACTTGGGGCCCACAAAACATGTGGAAAGCATTCTGTCCACCAGGGGGGTTCCAACCAGACCCACACCGTTTGTCCACTCTTCCTGAACTGGTCTGACGTTGCTGTTACTGCCTGCATTGACTGCACCCACCTCCTGCCCCCAACAAGGCCTGGGCCTCTTATTTACTGTTATGTTTCTTAATTGTTCTCCCCTTTCCGTTAGAATTCAGCTCTGTGAAGGCGGGTGTTTGTGTCTGTGTTGTTCAGGGCTGTGTTCCCAGTGGCTAGACCAGTAGTTCTCAACCTGTGGGTCGCGACCCCTTTGGAGGTCGAACAGCCTTTTCACAGAGTCTCCTAAGACCATCTGCAGATCAGATTTTTACATTATGATTCATAGCAGTAGCAAAGTTATAGTCTTGAAGTAGTAATGAAATAATTGGGGGTCACTGCAACATGAGGCGCTGTATTAAAAGGTCACAGTATTAGGGAGGTCAAGAAGCACTGACCTAGAGGATTACCTGGCCCAGATGCACAATGAGTGTTTGTTCAAGAATGGACAGTGTAGAAGAATGTTACTGTAGTGTTCAGTGTCTCAGAGTCAGTGTTGGAGATCCTATTATGTTCCTTCACGGTGGAGAGAGATGCAAACTTCAGGTATTATTAATGCCTCATTACAGAACATCTTCCTGCCTTCTCAGAAATGCAGGTTTGACATCATCCTAAGTGTGGGATTACCAGCTCTCGGTCTGACAGCTGTCAAGTTAGTCTCTGTTCTAGCTTTTTTAATACAAAGCATATTTAAACACTTTTTGAAGGCAAGGATAGATAGTTTTTAAAATTCTTCATTCTTACTAGGTATGATAAAATAAAAATGTGAGTTTAAAAGTTTGATTGATCTAGAAATGGCTTCTTTTAGCAGGTGCGGCTACTCACTGGTGTTGCTAGGGTCAGAGCCTGAGCCCTGGCAGCCTTAAAAAGCTAGGCTTGGCTACCACCTTCAGTAGGCCAGTCATAGAACCAAGTGACGGTGAAAGCAGAGATGTGTTCAGTGTGGCTTCGTTGCGAAGGGAAACAGAGGCCCGTCTTCGGGGTCTTGACCTGAGGTTTCAAGTTTAATGGAAGGCAAGAGATACTCGCAGCTAAGCCGCCCGGTCAGGGTGTGGTCTCCCCATCGCTGGCCCATCCTTGTCTTAGCTTCAGTCTCAGGTGGTCTGACAAGCTATGGGAACTGTGTGAGATCTCGTTCTAGGAAACAAGCTCACTCTTGGGCTTGCCTCTTGACCCTAGCCTCTTCCTTCTCCCAGCATGAGATTCCTGGGGAAATTCCCATGCTTGGGGGCCCATTGTGTGAATGGTCTCAGAACTGAAAGGAGAGCCACAGACGTCTCTAGAACATCTCCATCCCTGCCAAGACAGTACAGGTGTCATTAGTTTACCACAAAGGCTCTCTCAGGGTCAGCAGCCAAGGACAGTGAGAGGGAAGAAGTCTGGAAGTGCAGAGCAGGGTAGGCACAGTCTCCCGGAGCTGGAGCATTGCTGGCCACCACTCTAGTGGGCACCAGGGCTAGGCCAGCATCCCCAGCTTCATTCCACTGCCTGCCTTCCTGTGTGCACTTTCGGCTCTGTTATTAATTTATTTCCTTTTGTTTTCTTTATTCTCTTCCTGTCTTATTAGGTGTTTAGTTCCTCTTGGTTAGGCATTCAGAGACAGACTACGTGGTGATATCAGAGGAGATACTGTGACATTTAGGGCCATGATTTTGCTAAGAAATGCCAGGAGTTTAAAATAATTATTAAGATTGACTTACATGTAATTAGGAAGTGAAATATTTTAATTACAGGAAAATAAAACATGTCAAGTTTGATCTGTGTAAATGTGCTGCATCCTATATAGATAAATTTTTAGGAACTAGAGCAAAAATAGAGGGGAAGGAAACTTGAAAGAACCCTGTGGCTTTTAATTAAACTGATACAGGGATGGGTTTTGGAACAGCAAAGCTTACCTGGTAAGTGCTGCAGAAGAAACCCGTGATGCAAAGGCAGAGACAGCTCAGGGAATGAACTCAAGCTCAGCCATAGTGTAACGAAAGAGTAAATCTCAGATTAGCGTGTCCCTGGATATGAGATGATCTCTGTACGCAATAAGGTACTTCTGTGACGATTTAGGTAGCCTTCATTTTTTCCTTTTTATTAAATTGTTTAACAGTTACTAAGCTGGAAGTGGTGGCACCCACCTGTAGTCCTAGAACTGGGGAGGCAGAAGCAGGAAGATTGGTGGGAATTTGAGACCAGCCTGCTGTATAGTGAGTTCCAGGCAAGCTTGAGCTATAGGATAAGACCCTATCTCAAATTCCTTTATTTTAATAATGTAAACATATAACTCGGCATTCTCTTCATTAACTTTTTACCTTGCAGTTGTATTTTGTTGTCATAAATGAATTTCTAATTAGTGCATTTAGGACATTTGTGTCCAGTGGCTGAGTGTTAGCACGAATTGTTCAAATATTCACCAGCTGTGCTGCTGACCATCTGGTGTGAGTGGGCCATAAGGACGCCACAGGGAGTCACAGGTTACACAAGACTTCCGCCTCATAAGAGACACAGAAGAAGGGTGTGTGTGCCCAGCCTGGAGGCCTGGGTTTGGAGCCAGCTCTGAATCGCACTGTCTGATGGTGTGGACCTCTGAAGGCTTGTGCTGGTCTCCAGGATGGTGCAAAGTCAGGAAACTTCAATGCACTGAATAAAAGCCCATCGCCATAGAGACTCTACCCTTTCCTGGTGCAGCTAAGGAGACCAGGGTCACAATCTTGGAATATTCCTCGAACCACACTTCCTTCCCACTTGAGTTTAATTGAAGTCTACTCAAAAGAGTATACTTTTCAAAAGGCTACTTTTGAACAGTTTATGTATTTGCCTCAAAGTTGGATAGATTATCACTATCATTCAATGATAATGATGTCATTATAACTATAGCTCTCTTGGGTATAATTATAGAGAGCAAAGCATAGAATTCCTTAAGGAGAATGCTTATTTCATAATCCATTCCTAGGCCTTAACAGTCAGAGACATATGTGATACAAGGTATTTTATAGGCTTATTCTAAGTTTTACATGTAAACAGCCAGGGCCTATTGTTAGGTTTTGTAACTCTGTTCTCAGGAAACTCGTGATTTAAAGGAAGAAAAAAATAGGTGTGGGGTACCCTTAACTTTATTTCATCTCTTGTGATGTGCATAAGCTGTCCTGGACTTTTCAGTCTGTGGGCAGAGTTCACATCCTGGAGGATTCCTTCAGGTTTCTGTAACTAACTGATCCACTCTGATGCAGCCGTGTGTGGGAGCATCTGTAGGATGCCGTTCAGGTCGTGGACCTCGTGCTAGCCGCTGGGCCTTCCAGTCTATCCCTGTGCTTCCTGTGCAGAGTCACAGTTGCTGATCACAGTCAAGGAAATACTTGCCATCAACTTTAGGCATTTGTTTTCAGTAACAATAACAAGTAAAGCTGACATGGGAAGGGCTCCATTCTGCTGTTTCTCCTGACATCCTCACTTATTACTCACTTGCTTATTCATTGCAGAAACTTTCATCAAGGCCAACTGTATGCTCAAACACTGAGCAAGCCATGAAAAGTAGAAGGCTGAGTAGGAAGGACCCCAAGTGGGCAAGAAGAGAAACTGATGAAAGAGACAGGTGGATGAACACTATCCACAGGGTATTTATTTATAGACACCCAAGGGTAGTGCTTCACACGGCTAGATGAGGAGAATGGTACAGAGACTTCCCAGGTAGATGTACAGGCTAAGTAGGAGCTAGCCTGAAGGCAGCATGTGAAGGTTGTATGTAGAGATCGGAAGGCACTGGGTTCAGCAGACAGCAAGGAGTAGGTGTGCTGTTGGCCATTTCTATGATAGAAAGTGGAGAACAGTGAGACCAAAGATGGAGATTTCATTGGCCCCTCTATGGCGTGTTCTAGTCTTAGCCCTTGGTTTCAGCAGAAGCAAGGGTCTGCAGTCATGCATGTGTTCTAGGTAAAACAAGTGAGTGGGTGTGTGACAAGCTGTTGGAAGCCAGGCTTTCAGGTGGGAGTCTTTTTTCAGAATATCATGTGCTCTGAAATACAGAGCAGAGTTTGATTTAAAAAAGTAAAAGCTTTAAGTGGGGAAAGTGGCAGGGTTGTTGGTTATTTTGACATGTGGAGAAGAATCAGGAGCATCTCGAATCTATGAGGAGCCTCGGGCTTAGGACTCAGAGACTCAGATGTAAGCCCCAGAGGAAGCACCAGTGTGGAGAATGAGGTTTCAGACTTTGCTGTTTTGAGTTTTAAGGTCACTATTTCCACTCAGGTGAAACATTCAAAGAGCATTTAAAAACTGTGGCCCAAGGTCAGGGGTGCATTCTTCTGTGTTTAGGATGTGGTGTTTTGTGTGTGTGTGTGGTGTGTATATATGTGTATGTGTGTATTTACATGTGTACCAGGCTTTTTCTTTGGGCCTCCAACCAGCTCCCAAATCATGACATGGAGACTTATTAGTTATGAATGCTTGGCTAGCTTAGGCTCATTTCTGGCTAGCTCTTTTAACTTAAGTTAACCTGTTGCTCTTTATCGATGTTTTGCCTCAGGGCTTTTTACTTTCATTCTTTCTGTATTTCTTACTTTCCTGTTGTCTCCACGGCTGGCTGGCAGCTGCCTGACTTCTGGCCCTGAGCGTGTCGTGTTCCCCTCCCGCCTCCCCACCCCCTCCTCCTCTTCTCTCTTCTTCTTCCTCTCTTTCTCCTATTTATTCTCTCTGCCCACCTTGCCTATCCCTCTCCTGTCTAGCTATTGACCATTCAGCTTTTTATTAGACCAGTCAGGTGCCTTAGGCAGGCAAGGTGAAATAGCAACAGTATCTTTTCATAATCAAACAAACACAGCATAAGCAAGTGTAACACATCCTCACATCCTTAAACAAACACAGCCGAAACAAATGTAACACGCCCTTACACAGTTAAAGTAATACTCCACAGCACAAACTCATGTAACATCTTTTCATAGCTAAATATTCCACAGCATACGTGAGTGCAGGTGTTCGTTCTTTTGTGTGCATCTGGATGCCAGCGGTTGATGTCAGGTGTCTCCCTGGATTGCTGTCTGCCTTTCTGAGGTCCGGTTATGGGCTGACAAATTCAATTAGACGGCACAGCCAGTTTGCCCTGAGGATCCAGTCCTTGCTCTGCAAATGCTAGGATTACAGAAGGGTCACCACCATACCAACCCAGCCTCAAGGTGGGTCCTGGGGATCTGAGCTCCGCCGTCCTGCTTGCAGCAAGCACCTTCTCCATTGAGTCCTCTCCCCAGCCCAGACATGTGAGTCTCAGATATAGACTTATAAGCAGCGTTATAAGGAGAGCTGTGGTACCTCTGTGAGCTTGAAATCATTGTCAAACCTGTGAGGCTGGGACAAGTCTACATGGGCAGAAATACCTGGGGTGCTAGGAATTGCAGCCTCCAACCCCCTCTTTTTACCTCACTCCCAGTGTGGAGCTGCACCCGTTCACCCCGAGATCTGTAGGAGCCTCCCCCACCCCAGGGCTTGTTAGTTTACACTATCGTGTGAGTCACCTATCACACTTAACTCTTGCCTGGTCTCCCCTCTTTCAGCTCTGGGTACAGAATTCTTCTGGGCTGTTTTTACCGCCGTGATCACGTTATTTCTCTCTCCCTTCCCCATCGCAGTGTCAACCTCTTCCATGCATTTTCCTTCTCTGAGGTTGCTGCTCTGTCTGCAGTTGCCGTTTCCTCCTACGGTTGCAGTTCTTTCTGCAAAGTTCCGTTTGTATAGTCCCGTCCATCGCCAGCTTGCCGGTTCCTTCCTGTGCACTGTTCTAAGAGCATGCACGCCCAAACCACGTCTTCTGCACTCTGAAGTCTGCTCGCACCTGAGTTGATACATTCTGGTAGTTACCCGAGCTCAGCAGAACCCAGCCTGTTTGTTTCCTTTTATCTCCGTGCACCCTTTGTGCCTGCCCTCTGTGATGACTAGCCTTTCTGTCCTGGGCTCTGTCCAGCAGCATAGCCTTCGTCACTGAAGAACCGTGGCTGATACAGCTGAGGCATTAAGTTTTTTCACTTTATTTGATTCTAGTGTAAAATTCCCGTGTAGTAGGTCATACTGTATTAGGTGTTATGGCTTTGATAATGTGAACAAGTCCTCTAGGTCATACTGTATTAGGTGTTATGGCTTTGATAATGTGAACAAGTCCTCTAGGTCATACTGTATTAGGTGTTATGGCTTTGATAATGTGAACAAGTCCTCTTGACTCTTCTCATCCCTGTACCATACTGTACTTGGTGGTCCAGACAGTCTGAGTAGAGGAAGTGGCCTCAGACCTTGGTAAAGTCCTGGCTGCCTTGTTCTGACTTAAGTTACTCCCAACTAGGCTTTTCATTTCTTTCTCACTATTTTTTTTCCTATATCGCTATATGCATGCCCTTAGCACGTCCTTCAAAGCCTGTCTTCAGTAATTCTCCATTGCTAACAGACAGAATGTCAAGCCTAACATTTGGGGCCTTTGCAGCCATATTTATTCATTCATTATCATATCCCACCCCCCCCCCCCCTCTGCTGTGTCTGTGCTTTCTGTCCGCTCTGTGGAGAAAGATTCTGCTTTTCCATTTCTACAGTTTATTCAGGGCCCAGCATCATCACCGCTGACAATGGTCCTCACGTCCCTGCTGCTCCTCCTCTAGCTCTCCGTCCACTAGCATCTCCTCTGGCCTTCAGGATGTCGCCCTTCTTGTATCTATTTTTTTTTCTATAGAATGTAGCAAAGCTTTTTGAATTTTTAGATGCTCAGTCACTTATTGACTTACACAGATGACACAATACGAAGCCAAGGACCTGGAGTCAGAAATAGTCCCGGGGCTTCTCTGGTTTTTAGTTTTGTTGCTGTGTTGGGGTTTGGGATTTGGAGGCAGGGGTGTTGTACAAAACATCCAAGTGGAAATTAGGGGAAAACAGCAATGGGTCCAAGTCTCGAGAAGGAAGACTGTTAAGAGCCTACACTCGTGTGTCAGAGCTCGCCGTCTGGACCGGTCGGTTGCTGCTCTCTTTCTCTCCAATCACTTTCTTCTCAGAAGTCCAGAAGAAACTCAACGATGAAAGTTTGCACGTTGTATAGTTTATTCTATCCTAGTTAATTTATCTGTTTGTCTTACTGGGAATCTGGTAGTCCTGCTGAATCTAATTGACAACGACTTAATCCCACAGGCTTTGCAAGGACAGATATCAAGTCAGCAGGTGGCCGTGGAGAAGCTGAAAAAAACGGCAGAAGTACTCTTGGATGCCAAGGACTCGCTCCTTCCCGCCAAGAACGACATCCAGAAGACACTGGGTAAGGTCTTAGCTCGTTTCCTGTCTCACGGGTACGTTTGAAATGGAGGTATTTTATAGATAAGGAGAAAAAGTGTTCACGGATGTATGTTGTATGATTTTGATCTCTGCATGTGTGAACAGAAAAAAAAAAATCTTCCAGGTGACTATTCATGTTTCCCCCAAACAGAGCTCAATTAAAATCTGTGTAAAGTTTTCTGTGGGGAGAAAGCCACTGGATACAAAGTGAACTCTTCTCTATTCTTAGAGACATGCAAGTGTTCTTGATCATCTACCTTGATCGATAAGTCATTTCAAGGCACATGTATTTATGAATTACATGTGCATTTTATTATATTATCATATCTGATTATAAAACACGAAACTACAAAACTTCAAAGCATAGGAAGAAAGTATGAATGGAGGTCCTAAGGCAGTGGTTCTCAGCCTTCCTAACGCTGTGACCCTTTAATGCAGTTCCTCATGTGGTGAACCCAACCATAAAATTATTTTCGTTGCTACTTCGAAACTGTCAATTTGCTACTGTTATGAATAATAATGTAAATATCTGTTTTACAGTGGTCTTAGGTGGCCCCTGTAAAAGGGTCATTCGACCCCCCCCCCAGAGGGTTGCAACCCACAAGTTGAGAAGTGCTGTTCTAAGATTTTGTTCTTCTGTTCTGATAGACCATCATATAAGCCCATGTTAGAGACCATCACCATAGGAACCTGAGTCTGGAAGTGTGAAGCAGAAAGACTGTCTTCACTGTGGTTCTGTCATTGGAAGAGGCATTTTTGATGTTTTCCATGTTTTTTTTTAATATTTGTTTTTTGTTTGTTTGTTTGTTTGTCTTTTTAAGACAAGATCTTGGCTCTATAGCCCAGGTAGGCTTGAGAATCACTGTGTAGCCCAGGCTGGTCTTGACCTCAAGACAGTCCTCCCGTGTTATCCTCCTGAAGGCCAAACTCCAGGCATGAGCTGCCATGCCGGGCTTTCCCTAATATTAAATGCCTGTTATTTCATGTATTCCTTCTATGCTTCAGATCGTGGCACCATTTTCTAGGAATGTGTGAAACAATTTATGATATTTCCATACGATCTTTTTTTTTATTTCTAAGAAAAACAATAGCTTTTAAAAATATATATATATTGGGCTGTTTGTTGATTTAAAAAAAAAAACAAAAAAAAAACAAAAGCTTGCTGTGTATCCCAGGCTAGCCTTGAACTCATGAAGGATTTACTAAACACTTAAAAACTCTGTGTGAGGAACTAGGGCCAAAGGACAAATACCACAACAAAGATTTTTCTAGTACTTTTACTGCTTAGGAAATTACAAAAGATTAAAATTGTACACAGGGAACTGATCAAACCATACACATGCATGCACTCGGAATTCCAAAGTCCTCTCCAGATTCCACCATTTTAAGCCTTAGACCTAAATAAAAGGCGGGTGGGGGGTGCAGGGGGTCAAGGGTCACAGACATGCAGTCCATAGCAAACAGTCACACCCACAGTGTATTACAGTTTTGAAAGCAGCTCATTGATTTGGCATGGGAAGTTACGTGTCATAGCTGAGCAGGTCACCGATACCACCATATCACTCATCATGCTGATGTATAAGCACTGCCCCCTGAGGAACAGCTCCACTGCCAGTCACAAGCTGGGATTTAAAGCAGTGCCTCTGGGGACTTTTAGAGAGAGGTCGCACTGGAATGTGGCACTTGACTCCTTCTCTCCATTAAGCCGTCTCTCCAGCCTCATTGTATTTGAGCAACAGGGCCCCGATTGTCTCAGCCATGTAAACTTTCCAATTCAGTGAGAATTTGTCAAGCTGTTTTCTCATACTGTAGCATTACAGCAACTTAAAAGAAATTGTTTTGCTATTGAATCCTGCGCCCTAGGCCAAACACAAGCTTATAGAACACAGTCCTATGTTCTACTAAAACATTCAGAAAGAACTGAAATGCTTTTTTGAGTCTTTGTATAATAAATGAGTTCTTAAAATCATGATTAAAAAAAACCCAACAACAAGAAGTTGTGTTCCAAAGAGAGAGGCAGAAATTTAGTAGCCCTGTTCTTTGAACCTGTCGCTGGCCCACAGTATAGAATGCCAAATGTCAAAATGGAGAATTTTGTATTCAAGAGAAAACTAGGCAGGAAGGTAACATTTTTCTTTTTTTCTTTATTTTCACCTTAAATCGTTAGAATGGGAAGTTAAGTTATATCATGGGAGATAAGCTGTCCTGCTAAACACATTGTTTGCCTTTCGTCTGTTATTAAACTTGTAGGTGAATTCTGTTGCTTACATGGTAGAAGCACGGTCATGGCTTTAAGTGGATTTACTCTGTTATCCTGTTTTCTTAATGCATTTGAGTCTTCTGTGCATTTGAAGCCTCTCTCCGACTATGACAAAAGCTGAGCATGAGTATGTATGTGGCAGAGTATTGTCTCTTGAGAGTAGTTGTCCGGGATTGCCACTCACCACCCCCAAATAGATATCAGTACGTATTGACGTACCAGTCAGACACAAGAGCGATTGCATGGCCCACTCTTTAGACCATGCTTCCATCTCTCTGAGACACTCACTGCACATGATGGGCATCTAAATGACTCTGCTTCACTGTCTCGTTTTTCACTGTCTGTGTCTTCATAAAAAGTTATACATGATCTGATTATTCATTGGAAACGCATCATTTAAACTTTTTTATATGAAAACCTAATGTTAACCTTGGAGTGCATTTGAAAAGGAAAAGGGTAGACAGAACTTGGTGCTTACTGGTCCCCTCTCTGTGTGGAGCAGATGATATTGTTGGGAGATACAACGACCTGTCCAAGTCTGTGAATGAACGGAATGAGAAGCTTCAGATAACACTGACCCGCTCTCTGAGTGTGCAGGATGGCTTGGATGAGATGCTGGACTGGATGGGAAGTGTGGAGAGCTCACTGGTCAAACAAGGTCAAGTGCCCTTAAACTCCACAGCTCTTCAGGATCTCATCAGTAAAAACATCGTGAGTGCCCTTTTTTAAAGGAAGGAATGCCACTTGCAGTTAAAAAACAAGTTATTTGCCTTCAGGAATAGGTAGGCTTAAAGACAGAGAAAAGAGATGCTTCTGAATACAACCAAGTAGCAAGCAGCGCTTGTACAAACGAATGTGGAAATGATTTTTGTGATGTCACTGAGAAAGGGATTTGTGCTCTTTTTAAACCTACACTGTATTTTATCTCATTTATCATTACTTCAGCCAGCTGCTCATGGGGTTCATCAGATCAATCATGTTCTTGCCAAGCCTTTTAAAAATTAAGAGCATGGCTAATCCCCGGGCTGCATTAGATCCCAGGGGTTACTGGGTAGCAACAAACCCCCTGGGTTCTTCAAGCAGCCAGCCAGCTGTTCCCCACACTCCCTTAAAGAGCTTTGGAATTGGCTTCCTCGAGGGAAAAATCAAACACGTCACTCATTTCCAACTGTTAGCCTTTAGTCACAGGTTGTTCAAGCTTATGTTGCTGTGAAGAATCATTTTCAAAACTCTGTGGCATTATTTGTAGACATTGTTAGAAAATACATACAATGATGGCTGTGTTTCAGATGTTGGAACAGGACATTGCAGGTCGTCAGAGCAGCGTGAATGCCATGAATGAAAAAGTGAAGATGTTTGTGGAGACGACAGACCCATCCACTGCCTCCTCACTGCAAGCGAAGATGAAGGACCTGTCTGCTCGGTTTTCCGAAGCGAGTCAGAAACATAAAGAAAAGCTTGCCAAGATGGTGGAGCTGAAGGCCAAAGTAGAGCAGTTTGAAAAACTCTCCGAAAAGCTGCAAGTGTTTCTGGAGACCCAGAGCCAGGCACTCACTGAGGTGGACATGCCGGGAAAAGATGTTCCGGAGCTGTCTCAGCATATGCAGGTGTGTATTCCTCGTTAGCCACAATGCCAAGCATGGAGACTGGTTAAGACAAGCTCATGCATTTATCAACAGTCTACCTACCAGTCATCATTCTAACTGATTCATACTTGTTTCTCCTTGAAGCATTTTTCTTTTGAATAGAAATAAAACATTTGCCACACATATCATAGCTGTTACAGTATCACTGCGCATGCCCAAACCACAGAGAAGCAAAAATACAGTGCATTTTAAAGTGTGATGTTCACTGCATCCTACCTGTACATTGATAATCAGTCTCTTTACTAGATGTACTCCATGCAACCCCAGCTGGAGGTATTCTGCTCTTACACACACCTCTGCTGGAATGTGATTCTGAGATCTAGCAACATTCATACTGACCGATCTCAATGCTTTGCAGGAATCCACTACTAAATTCTTAGAACACAAGAAAGATCTCGAAGCTTTGCACAGCCTCCTGAAAGAGATATCCAGCCATGGCTTACCAGGGGACAAAGCTCTGGTGTTTGAAAAAACAAATAATTTGTCAAAGAAATTCAAAGAACTGGAGGATACTATCCAAGAAAAGTAAGCACCTCATTCAGAATGTATTTTATTCCACTTGGTGGTACTCAATAGCTAAGTTGCTTTTATTTATGTAAGTATATGACTGAGGTGATTTCCAAAATGTGGAGTCTTGGACTGTTGCCGAATTTGTGTGTCTTAAATATACTCAGGAGGCTGAAGCGGGACTATAGTTTGAGGCCCTAATCTGGGCTGTAGTAAGACCCTGTCTTAAGAAGCAAAACACAACAACAAAAACATCAAGTTACTATTTATTAAAATATTGAGGTGGGAAACTGAACATTGCTTGTGTAAAAGTGGGAAGCATTTTCTAAGCACAGTGGTGCTGGTCAACTATTACTGAAATGATTAAGCTCACCAAGGCCTATGGTTTCTTTGGCAAACATTGCCTTTCTATTTGCAAACACAGAAATAACCTTGAAAAGCAATGGTTCTTGCCTTGGGGACTCAGTTCAGAAGCTACGCATAATTTCAGTATGGTTCTTAGTAACCCTTCTAATATAACAGCTCACTGCTCTCATGAGTGGATGAGGCACAAATCTATAAAGAACAGGGCACTGGGCCCGGTTGGACCTCTGAGTCTATGTGGGAATGAGCCCTGGGGCGGCATCTTCTCATTTTCTATCTCATGTTTAGAACACACATCCCATTTTTATGATGTTTATATGGAAGAGCCCCAAAAAGATGTTTTAGAATGGTCATTTCTCTTTCATCTAGTTTTATTTCCTCAGAATTCTCTACCTAAAACTTCTGGGTTCTGTTTCTGAACCTCTCATAGCAGAAATATTCTTGGCTTTCTTACATAATCTAGGTTAACTGTTCCAATTTTAACTTTAGGTAATATCTAGTCCATTAAAACATTAAAGCCATATAGTCATCCGTAATTAGTCCAGCCGTAATACATCTTTATCTCCAGCATCCGAAGTCATATGTGCACATAAGTCATCCACGTATGTACCATCCAGTGTAATGGCACTCATAAGTCATGTGCTTGGCATATAGAAAGGTCCATAGAGTTTACAATGGAGCTACCTGTGCGCTGGGGTGGAAGAGCACCTGTTAAAACTCCCCAGTCACTGGGTTACATCTCTCTGGAGAGGTAGAAACGCCATCAGTCCAAAGTGCTAGGTTAAGTCGTCTACTCACTAACGTGACCTATGTTCTCCTCAGGTCAGCAGTTATACATGTTTGTTGGGGTTTTGTTTTGTTTTGTTTTGTTTTTCTGGGTCTTTGCTGGCTGACATTAAACATTATATAAAATGGATCAATCAAAGCTCCTAGAATTTATGTAGCATTATAGAGTATTGTTATGTATGGGTTACAGGTTTTTTTGACTGTTTCCTCTCTTTGTCTATGAGCTTTGCTTAAAGAATCAACAAGTAGTTTCTCAGCTGATTGCATTTGCCACACAAGCAAACTTCAGCCTGGTATTGAAGAGTTGCTCAGTGCACCAAAGGTGGTTGTTAAAGTTGAGCCAAGTTTGGGAATAATGACCATTGGTTAATAATTGGCTTTTTGGAGCATCTGGATTTGCAGCTTAACTTTTGGTTTGCCTTTGTTCATTAGAAAAGAAGCTATAAGTTCTTGTCAGGAGCAGCTGAGTGCTTTCCGAGACCTTGCTCAGTCGCTGAAGTCCTGGATAAATGAAACAGCAAAGCAGGTTCCCGTCGTGAAGCCTTCCTTGGGTGCAGAGGCCTTGGGGAAATCTCTGGAAGAAACCAAGGTGGCTCATTAGACCTGATACTAAGCTCTGCTTGCCTGTGTTAGTAATGAGCATCGAACCCTTTAGTCTAAAGTCATGTAAGCTCGTCTCAGAAATGCCCTGTAGGATCTGTGCAAATCAGTAATGGGATTAACTGATCTTTTCAAGGAAGGACATAATCTCTTTGTTAATTTGATTTATAAAAAAGATGTGTTAGTGAGCCATTAGCCCCCCTAAATATTGAAGTTTCCTTCTTCATCAAATCACAACTTAATTTCTATTTTTTTATTATCCCTTCCCTCCACGTAGTAAGAGAGAGACCCTTTTCTTCATGTGCTTGGTAACCAGTGTTGGAAGACAAGTTCTTTGAATCTCTTGCATAAATAGTATATATGTAGTTTATTGTCTGACTTAAGTCATAAAAGTTATGACTAATTGTGTCAGATTTTCTTAGAGTGAAGTCACTGTCTTTACAACTTCACTGAAATTTTGGTAGTTAAAACTCAGTGTGAGTTGGAATTTTGTATGCCCTTGTTTATTTTTATTGTCCTGTTACATACCTAATGATGTGCCTGCACCTGATACAGTCCTACAGACTTACAGTTGGCAGTTACTCTGGAACATTCCCGTAGCACCAGGACACAGCCTGGCTTCCACTGTGGCTGGGGGCAGAACACAGAATGGGCATTGCCCCGGTCTCCGCCAACAGTGTTAACAGTCACCTGGGCCCACAGTCATTGTTGCTTTGAAATATGCTTAAGAAGTTCAGTTATAATGTACAGCTTTGAAGATCCTCAGAAGACTGAAGGATAATGTGTTTTTGTGTTTAAAGAAACTACAAGAAAAGTGGAGTTTGAAAGCACCCGAGATTCAGAGAGCCACCAACAGTGGGGTCTCACTATGTAACCTGATAAGTGCAGTGACCACCCCTGCCAAGGCCATCACAGCAGTCAAATCAGGTATGTGCTTCGTTTCCGTGACCAGTCGGTAAGAATCAGAGCTCTCCTGTTGATTCTGTCTATTTTTAATTCATAAAATAAAAAGGCACCTCAGCAATACAAAGTCAAAGAGGCAAGACAAATGACTTTTAAAAGCACATTGAAATCCGTCACGGAGAGATGGGGAGATGGCTCAGTGGATAAACTGTGAGCAGGCATGAGGATGGGAGTTCAAGTCCCCAGCACACACACACACACACACCTGTGTTTTATACGTGTCGCGGCACTCAGGAGGCAGAGACAGGGAACCCTCAGAGCAGGCTGACCAGCTGGACTCACTGAACCCTTGACCTCTGGCTTTGATGAGTGACCCTGCCTCAGAAAAATAAAGGAGAAAGCGGTTGTGGAAGATACCAAACATCTGCTGTGTGCCTCCACAGACACGTTCATGTACACCTGCACATGTGCACGTACAAACGTAGGAGCACGTATACACACACACACACACACACACACACACACACACACACAAATCCGTCATGGAAAAATACCTGTTCTAATCCAGTTTTAAATCCCATGTTTGGCTTTTATTAACTACTCCGTATGGAACATAACCACACTGGCATGTAAGGATAAGAAGGTGATACTGAGGAAGGGGGCCGGCCGGGTTCCAGTCTGTTTGCCTTTTACTGTCATTACATGGGGATACGGAAATTCTCTCTGTGCTGTTTCTAGTCTCGTTATACTAGGTAGTAAAGACATGAATTTGGCTTCCTGAAAAAGAACTGAGGCAGGGGTGGGGGTGGGGGGCTCTTCTCTCTCTCTCTCTCTCTCTCTCTCTCTCTCTCTCTCTCTCTCTCTCTCTCTCTCTTCCTGTCTGCTTGTCTGCGCATTGCTCCCAAAGCCGTCGGTTCTGCAGCCTGTTCACCTGCACGCGTGCATTTCAGCCTGAGTCCTGGCTGACCCCACCCTCCTGGGCCAGAGAAGGGAGTTGTATACAAATGGCGATTCCCAAGCTGATTTAATACGAGTATAGTGTTTAGGGAAAGCATGCTGTACTGAGGTGTGTTTTGTTCCTTTGTTGGCTGTGTTTTCTTTTAAGTTGGAGACTAGACAGAAGGCTGGTCTCATGTCTCCGTTGTGGGTTTCTGAGTGTCCTCTGGTTTATCTGGTCTGACCAGGCCTCCAGCTGTCCCTATTGTGAGTGACACCATGTTCCAGCTGCACTTTTCTCCACCAGCCATTTATTCCACTCTATTAATCCCTTTGCAGGGGATGCCCACTTATATATGCTGCAGTGATCTCTCCTTCCCCACCCCCAGTCAGATTTCCTGAGATGCCAAGTTGTTTTTTCTTAAGAAGAGGAGTTCTGTTGTCTTTAATTTATCTTAGTTCCTCCAGTCTTCTTATTTATAATAAAATCTGTACTCTGCTTGGTTTTCTTTGCTTGACTTTTAAGAATTAGTTTGGAGACTCTCGGATGCTTTCACTTCCATGTAAAATGCCTTGCATGGTGTGTGTGTGTGTATGTGTGTGTGTGTGTATATGAGAAAGAGAGAGAGAGAGCAATATTCAGATGTTTAAATGTTCTGTTGATTGTGCTTATATGGGCATATCTCTGCTGTGATAGACAGCCAGTGGCTGCTAGCATGAGAAAGTTGGATTTCATTAACTGTGTGGTTATGGAAACATGCCAATACCAGATGGATATGATAATAAAAGACAAGTAGCTATTATGACCCACTAAGGAGTTTCTGCTTGATAGGCAATTGGTTACCTATCTGTGGTCCCCATGGTGCTCTTACAGGTTAGCTACCTTGGTACCCATCAGCTTTATTTATTAGTTCATCTAGGCACACAGCAAAGAATTAGTAGAGCTGACATTTAAATTCAGGAGTCCTACCCCAGGCCCAGCACTACCACCACTGTGTCCTCTGTTTCAACATATGTGGATTTAGCTTGTTTCAGCTTAACTTTCAGAAGTTTCCTTCTTGTCTCTTTAAATCACTGTGCCTTCATTAAGCTTCTAATAACATTGTGTAAACAGACAGTTTTCAGTCATCAGGTAAAGCAGACGGTCTCTTCTCGGTTACTTTGGTTTATTTAGTATATGCATACTGGGACCTTCTAAACTTCAGTGGCTTAATCATTAAAATGACTTTAGCATAAAACAACTTAGCTACAATATTTAGGAATTAACTTTGATTAACAGATAAGCAGAAGAAAGTAAGACACCGCTCACTAAGAATGAACAATGGCATTCTTCAATGACCACCCCGCGACGGTTTGTGTAATGCCTTCTACAGTTAGCGGGCAGAAACACTAAGGCAGACTAAGGTTACTTCATTGCTTGTTTGTGTTTATTTGTTTTTTGCAGGAGGAGTAATACTAAATGGTGAAGGGACAGACACAAATACTCAGGATTTCTTGGCAAATAAAGGTGAATAGTAACTTTACCTGGTCCATGATTAATGGAATTTGCTGTTTTTGAGGAACTCCTTTTAGAGGGCAGTAGTTATATTGAAATCTTAAACTTGAATTGAGTGGACACAGTCTCCATGGATATATTGGTGCAATATCCTGTAAACACTGTCCATCTGAGATTAATAAAGCTTTAATGTTTCACTCTGGTACTCGGTTTTACTTCCCTCTTGTTAATTTAAGATACATATCTACTTGGGATAGCATTTGGTCTATCAATCTATTGTTTGGTACCCAAGAACTATATTATAATCTTTAAGCTTATAATTCCATTATGCTACCTCTTACATTTTACTATTATATAGTGTTCCTGAGTTATTTGTCATTAACCAGCAGTATGACCTCATCTTCATTCCTAAAAGAGTCTGTGATTTATTGTAGCTTAATAGTGACATAGTAGAAGGACATACTATGTAGTATAAATTTAATTCTATAACTTCTCCAAAGCCCTCAGCATGCGTTGGTACACTTTTCTTCCCGCTCGTAGGTTTAACATCTATTAAAAAGGACATGACTGACATAAGCCACAGTTATGAAGACCTTGGCCTCTTACTCAAGGATAAAATAGCTGAACTGAACACGAAACTCTCCAAGTTGCAAAAGGCCCAGGAAGAATCAAGCGCGATGATGCAGTGGCTACAGAAAATGAACAAAACTGCAGACAAATGGCACCAGACACCAACACCTACAGACACCGAATCTGTGAAGATACAAGTCGAGCAGAATAAGGTGGGCTGGGTGTAGGGTGAAAAGGGCCAGTGAAAGAATTCTCTGGCCTAAGACCAGAGCCAAAGAAACATGCCTCGCCCCTAACCAATTCAGGAATTGAAAAACCAGTCAGTCCCTGAGCAAGAAATCCTGCCAGTCCCCATCCTGAAAAACCTCCACCTTGAAAATGAAATCCTAAAGAAATCCTAAGACAGCCAAGGATTACCCATGCCTCAGAAGGCAAATGTATTCCAACACAAGTGTTACAGCTCTGTTCCAGTGGGGGACAGTTTCCCCATCAAAGTGTTACCGTCCTGGCTCTGGGAAAGGTTTCCCTAACGCAAGTGTAGTACCTCTGCTCCAGCAGGGGAGGGTTCCCCTAGGAAGGTTGCCACAGCTCTGCCCCACTCTGCTCCTGCAGAGAAATATTATAGCTCTGCTCAGCTTCCTGGAGAGTAACACTTGGCTTCCGCCTACCAGGATACCTTTCCCTTCAGAGCTGTAATGCTTGCACTAGGCACACAGAAGGAAGACATCAGAGAGAATGGACTCAAGTTCAGAAGTAGCCCTGGTGGTCATGGGCTCTGTTCTGTTTTCTACCTAGACCCTTCAGCAAAGGACTTGAGAGTTTTAACATCTGTCTTTCTGTAGAGTGGGGCCATTGATAGTCACTTTTCCTGCCCTCTGACATTATAAAAAGTACTGAACAGTATAAAAAGTAACTTTGCCATTGCTAAATCCACTTCAGTCTGGGATATCAACTAGTTAACTTTTGGGGATTTAGTTAAGGGCTAACTATATTAAGGGCCTTTTTTGTCTATTATAAAATGGGTTAGCTAATGCCATCCTCTTCTTTGATGGACGGGTATTTCTGTAGCTGTCAAAATTGGGAAAGTAGTTTTCCATGGTGGCATTGTGATGGCAAAAATGTATGCAAATCATCAACCTGTGTTTGACTTCCACCATGTGCTTATTCCCAAGGCCTCCCAATTCTGGAGGCCTTGACCAAGGCTGATTTGCCTGGAGTTACAGTCTCACTGAGAACAACCTGCATTTCTCCCTAGCAGTTCGAAAGTAGAAAATTCCCTTCAGGAACAGAGTCGGTCATTACCTCCATAGTCAGAGTGTTCCTCTGAGGGTTTTCTGGATCTCACAGTTGAAGATGGGCAAAGAAATAACGAGAATTATCAGCTGCATAATCCAGGTCCTCACCCACCCACCCCAGCATTTAACTTAGGATTTTTTCCTCTCTGGGTCTTCCCAGAGGGGAGGAAATGTTATATCATAACTGTGCTCTCTGTCTTTGATGTCATAGTTTGGTGCAGTTAATGATGGTTTTTGTTCCTTCTTGTCAGTCATTTGAGGCAGAACTGAAGCAGAATGTAAACAAGGTCCAAGAGCTGAAAGACACGTTGACAGAGCTGCTGAAGGAAAACTCAGAGGCCCCCGAGGCCCCCACCTGGAAACAGACGCTGACAGAGATGGGTGAGTGTATCCTTGTGCCGCAGCTCACAGATGTCTGAGTGCTTTTCAGAGAACATCCAGTCATCTCCTTTGCTCTTGGATTATCTTTAAATGGTTCCGCATCTGTTTTTTGAATATTTAAAACTGTGACTTCCAAGTCCATTGTTCTGAGAACCGGCATTCAGTTGTTTTTATGAAAAGGTGGCTTGGATGGTTGATAATAAAATGGTATGCACTGAGGAGCGTTTTCACCAATGCTTATTTTCTTTATATTGGCTTTGTGCTCATGGTTGGTATCCCTTGTTAGGTTTTCTTTCCTTCATTCACCTGGAAAAGGCAGGCTCCCTTCTCCTCCGGGAGGCCCTCCGTGAGGACTCCTCCAGCCCTGTCTCGTAGCTCTTCTTTCTCTCAAGCCAGTGTTGAAGGAACACTGTGTGACCCTCCCAGCCTGTCTTTGTATAAACTGCTGGTCGGAACAGACTTCTCTTCAAAACTGAGAAGACTAAGAAGGAAAATTTTCTCCCTTGATTCTGTTGTTCAGAGGTTTCCTTAAGTTAAGGTCTGTCTCTCTGGGAGCCACACGTGTGAAGCGTGCGCCGTGGATCCTAGGGGTGACTTGACTTGCCGTCATTCTGCTAGGTTGATTTCAGACCTTCCTTTCTTCAGTGTCGGTCGTCACGAGCTCAGAAACATAGTGCTCTTAATGTGCAGAGGTAGACAGGATCCGGCTCTCAAGACTCCCTCTGCGTCATAGTTCCTCCCAAGTCGGTGGCCGTCCTTGGATATCCAGTTGACTTGAGCAGGATGTTGCCAGGCATTTTAGAATAGAGGTGGGAGTGGGGAGTGTGCGTTTCCTAAAATGCCTCCTGATGCTTGTGGTGATTGTCCACCCTGTCTGCTTTTGCTAACAGTCTCCCTAGTCAGATTATATTGGATTAGAACTTGCCATATAGAGGGGTGCCATTAAATAAAAGTCACCTACTGTGTTCTATTCAAGTTTGTTTTTTAGTATATTGTGCCAACAACCAAAAAAAAAAAAAAAAAATCTCTTGAGGCTAGTGGAAACAGCTCGGTCAATAAAGTGCTTGCTGACATATGAGCTTGAGGACAGTTCAGTGCCCAGAACCCATGTCAAAGCACCAGAGTGGTAGCACAAGCTTGTAATCCTGGTGCTGAGGAGGCAGAAACACATAGATCCTTGGGACTGCCCGGACAGCCTAGTCTACTGGGCAAGGACCAGGCCAGTGAGAGACCCTGTCTCATAGAGAAAAACCCAAAGCAAACAAAGGTCACAGCTCCAGGAACGGAGGCGATGGTTGTCCTCAACTTCCACACACGTATACATATGTGTCATGTGTACCCACACAAACACATTAGAAACAACAACACCTGAAATAAACTGATCACACCACGTAGTTATTGTTTATGGAGTGATAGATGGGTTTAAGTGCTTGACTTGGTGCTCTGATAACTAATGCTTCACCTCAAGAGGTATGCTCTGTAGAAACTAGGAGAGCAAGAAGGCTCTCTGGCTGAGGTAAGAGCCTGTGGGACTGGGAATGATGGACAGGAATAGGAGATGTTGCAAGGAAATGCCCAGGTATGGCTTATGTGAGCATGAGCTGCTTTGGTGAGAACATTCAGATTATAAGGGCTAGATCAGAGGATTCATGTCAATATAAACACAAGATGAGTGTTCCAGGGTCAAGTTGTGTGTGACAGGCCCTGAATTTTGGACACATGTCTTCAGATTTTTTCACCTAAATGATGAAAAGTTATTGATTGAAGGATTTGAGTAGGGAAGTGATATATTTAAAAAATGGTAGTTTTCGAGGGAAGGTATTTTAGAATTAAATGGCTTGTAGCTGAGAGTAGCAGGGATATGAGTTACGTGAGTGCTAAGCTCTGTCTGTAGTTTCAGAGTGTGCCCTTTGCATCCACATACACCTCTGCACTTGCACTTGGGAACTAGTGAGACATTTGAACTTTCGGATCCCCCACTCCAGACCTATTGCATCAGGCCCCTGTGGGTTAACAGTCCCTCCAGGTGGTTCTGTAGCAACTGAGTTTGGGAAGCACTGGGGTCTAGGAAAAGTATGGTGTAGACCATGGCAGAATACAGCACTGAGCATGTCCACGAGGGGCTTGAGGCTGTGATGGCATAGCAGGAGAGGTCAGAGGGCATCAGAAGTCATTGTGGAGCATCGGGGGTTACGAGTACAGACTGCTCTTGCAGAGGACCTGAGTTCAGAGTTCTTAGCACCATATCAGGCAGCTCCAACCACCTGTAACTCCAACTCTAGAGGATCCAGCACTTCTGGCCTCTGAGGGCACCTGCACTTGCACATAACACACACACACACACACACACACACACACACACACACACACACACATAATTAAAAATAAGATGTTTTTAAAAGTCATTATGAATTACTGCATCTCAGTGGAAAGGAAGAGAGGATGGCCTTTGAAAGAAATACAAGAACAGGAACAAGCATCAGTTTTTAGAGGGACATAATTAATGGTCCCTGTGATGGCTATGAATGCAGTACAACCCAAAATCATGATGAGGGTTTTTTTTCTGTGTTTCTTTGCCAGTTCATTGTCCTGTCCTCAAGTGTGAACTTCTTAGAAGTCAGTGTCATGCCACAGTCATGGGGTTAGACTGGCCTTCACAGGACTGCTGAGATCTCGTACTGTACCTTTGTAGCAGCTGGTTGATACTGAGTGAATTTACTAGAATGCTTGAGGGTAAATATGCAAGTCTGGAAGCCATTTGCCTAGAAATACTTGAGGACCTTTTTTTTTTTTTTTTTTTTTTTTTAAAGATTTGGGGTTGTGGTGTGGCTCAGGAATAAGAGAACTTGAGATTCTCTCTCTCTCTCTCTCTCTCTCTCTCTCTCTTTATTGACTGTATAGGACTTTTAGAAAGAATGAGAGATCACAGGAACCTGATTGTTTTGAGGAATTTTAATATTTTTACCTTCTAAAATAAGTTCAAGTTGTTTTACTTATACTGGACTTAATACACAATTACTCGATACATAATGTTATAACAAAGACTAAAACAGTAGGTGTGGTTGGTTTGTGGAGAAGGAAGCTGAGACCTGTTATCATTTAGAGTGAACATTATTAGGAAAGAGAGCCTCGGGACCATGGAGACCACGATCAGGCCTTGATGTGGGGGAGAGCATTAGAGGGAATTGAACATCACAACAGATGGGAAGAACCCACATGACATGGCAGGACCTTGAGATGACAGAGCGTTATAGGCATTCTCAGAGCTGCTGTGGACGACATGAAGGAGAATCCGGCCTTCAGACAAAAAGCCCCTGTAGAAAGGAGATGTTTTGACTGTTACAGTTTGGGGCGCTATGGCTTGCTCCCCCACATCCCCTCCAGGCCAACCTGTTGAGGTCTGTGTGATCCCAGCAGGGGCTGTCAGTCCTTGTCTCAAGGCAGAAACTGCAGGTGGTTATGGCTGATGTCTCCAGACTTCATCTCACAGTGACCAGCTTCCTAGAATGGCAGGCTCAGGGTCTAATACGGAATAGCTGTGTGGTCTCACACACTTAGAACTAATGTGAAGGAGAGTTACAAGATGTGGGCAAGGACTGGAGATGTAGTTTCCTGGGAATGTACTTGCCTAATATTAAGGCCCTGGGTCTAAATCCTAATACCAAAGAGGGGAAAAAGGAATGACATCTGTTACATATCATTTTGAATCGCATGATTACAGTTTTCCAGTGGTGACATTAAATGTACAAAAACCAAATGCCACTGTCATCCTTTTTCTTTCAGATACCAAGTGGCAAGAGCTCAACCAGTTAGCAGTTGATAGGCAGCAAAAGCTGGAAGAATCCTCCAATAATCTAACCCAGTTCCAGACCACAGAGGCCCAGTTAAAACAGTGGCTTGTGGAGAAAGAGTTGATGGTCAGTGTTCTTGGACCCTTATCCATTGACCCAAATATGTTGAACACACAGAGGCAGCAGGTGCAGGTGAGTGCGATCTGGGAACAGCTGGGGTGCAGCCCCTTGACTTAGCAAGGCAAATGTTTTCAGTGTAAATACATCAGTGTGGCCAGTGTGTATCTTCCTGCTGTGGGGTATATACATCAGGGAGACAGCCACAATATTTCCCCTGAGCCAGCATGTGGGGCAGATCCTCCGCCCACTATTTGGTCATATTGTTGTTGCAGACCCACTAAACATCAGGGGTCTCTGAAGGGTGAACATGATTGCCTGAGTGATGGTGATGCTGATAGATGTTTTGTATTGTTCATAAAATTATCCTTTGAGGCTGCATTCATTTTGGTGGAAACTTGAAAGCTCATGCAGTAAGGTCCTGAGCAGGAGACAGAGCAAAGTGGGGACAAGGACAGAGACTGTGGGGACAGAGAGAACCTCAGGACCTAAGAGTCTTAGTCATTCACAGATAAACCCAGAGGGGAAAAAAAAACATAACATTTAAGTCAGACAGAAGAGCACAAGGTCTGCTGTGTTTCCTGTTGTGTTTTCATGGGTGTGAGCGGTGGTCTCAGAGCAAAGAGGAGGAGGAGGAGGAGGGTGACCTCAGAGCAGGGGGCCGGTGGTCTCAGAGAAGGGAGAGGGAGGGGTGGCCTCAGAGCAGGGGGGAGGAGGAGGAGGAGTGTCTTTAAGCCAGATGTGTCGCCAGGTCTCAGGGGGTTAGAGTTATGTGTTCTAGTTCATAACTGTTCATAATATAAAGAAAACAAAAAGATAAAAGGAAAATATCTGGAGAAATACTTGCTTGTCATCTTAGCGGTCTGAAAAGAATAAATAAATATAAACATAGATTAAAAATATTAAATAATAAAAGATTAAGTACACCCCAAGGAAGGCATTTGGGGGTCATTTCTAATGACAGTCACGATGAGCCTCTGCATTCTGAGCAATAAAATTTTATCTCTAAAGCTTTAATGATAAAGATTATAAATGTCAGTAAGTCCACTATTGAAAAAAAAACTTTCATAAGCCAAGAGCCCTTGAGCATAATAAGCAGTTAACATTGCATTTTCTTCAATGTAGAATGCTAGGAAGTATTAAGCTAGCAAAAAAGAAAAGATGATTCAGGCAAGATAAACATGGTGTTGGTAATGTGAACCCAGTAGCAATGCCTCCTGTGTATCTGGAAAGTGTGAATGAGCATTTATTTGTTCATTTGCTGATGCTACAGTTTATGTCATTCTTTTTACTCTTATTTTAAACACATTGCTCACTGTGAAGTACCGTGGCTCTTTAAATTGGTTTCGGATAATCGCACTGTCCTCAAAAACATTAAACAAAATTCAAAACAAACTAAAGTTAGGACCATATCTGGGTGTTTGGATGCTTAAATTTTTGTTTTCTCTAACTAATTATACAACCCTTTGTTTATTTTCTACGGTTAACCTAGATTCTGCTTCAAGAATTCGACACTCGGAAACCTCAATATGAACAGCTCAGAGCAGCCGGCCGGGGCATCCTGAGCAGACCCGGGGAAGACCCTTCTTTACACGGAATTGTGAACGAGCAACTGGTAGCTGTGACCCAGAAGTGGGACAACCTGACGGAACAACTGAGGGACAGGTGTGACTGGATTGACCAGGCTATTGTCAAAAGCACACAGTACCAGGGCCTCCTGAGAAGTCTTTCCACTACCCTGAGTGAGCTGGATGACAGGCTCAGCAGCAGCCTCACTGTGGGCACGCTGCCTGATGCTGTGAACCAGCAGCTGGAGGCGGCCCAGAAACTGAAGCAGGAAATAGAGCAGCAAACCCCACAGCTCAGGGCAGCCCAGGCACTCTGTGAGGACCTCTCAGCGCTGGTCAAAGAAAGCTACTTGAAAGCAGAACTGAGCAGGCAACTGGAAGGCGTCATGAAATCGTTTAAGGATATTGAACAAAAAACAGGTTTGTCCCTCTTTGTATATACCTGTTTCCTGGTCAGAAATTGGTACCTTGAATTGCTGTTCCCGAGCTCTTGGTGATAATTCATGACTGGGAATGGACCCGGCTCCCCTGGGTACAGGTGCACAAAAAGAGTTCCATGGAAGTTCCGCACACATCAGAGAGATGTTCTGCACACAGTCCACACACAGCAAATGCTCTAGCTCTGGGTGTTCCCAGTTGATCTTTTAAATACATAGCCACTTCTACTGTGTTATATTGTCTTACTTCATCAGAAAAGTAGATGAATAGTTATTTGAAAGGCTTTGTTGAAGCACAATCCTAATTTAGTCTTAACAATAAAAAAAACCCAGAGTCAGATATTAGTGTAAAAGGTGAAAGATCAGAGAAGCAGAGCAGCCAGATACTTCTTACCTCTTTGAAATCTCAGACAGAATGGAGATTCTGTCTCTACGAATCCTCAGACTGAATGGGGCAGCCAGATCCTGTCCACCTGCCTTATAATCCTGTCTCCACCTCCCTAGTGCTGGGATTAAAGGCGTGTACCACCACTGCCCTACTCTTTTAGACTGGTTCAATCTTATGTAGCCCAGGATGGCCTTGAACTCCTGATCTTCCTGCTTCTTCCTCCCAAGTGCTGGGATTAAAGGTGTCTGTCACCACTGCCTGGCCTCTATAGTTAACTAGTAGCTGGCTCTGCCCTCTGATCTCCAAGCAAGCTTTATTTGTCAGAACACAAACAAGATACCATACAACACTTTATGTCTTTAGCTCATCTGTTATTAATTTGTATGATGCTGTCATAGAAAGCTTTTCTAGAGAAATGTGTGGATTTCTCTATTTTCCTCACTCACCTGTAGCAATAATTCTGTGACAGACTTCTGGCCACTTACTAGGCAAAGTGGAGTTCATGAAGGTCCTGCCAAAGGACAAGATTCACTGGTTTGTTCTCTTCCAGAAGTCCACTAGTTTCTAGGCCTTGCCTCTAGTCGGATCTGACTTGTCTTTTAATTGGTTCGGTTTTGTTATTGATTATAGCAACCATTTCAGACTTCTTTTACACACAGACAGCATAGGATAGTAGATAGAATCTGCATGTCTTGGTGTCCTGGCTCGATCTCAGAACTGAAGTACCTGGCAAAGAGTTGAAACCCAAGAATGTGGAAAAGTCAGAGAAATGGGGGAAAGTTGTATTTGATATGAAACAGTTTATTGATAGCACACACAAGACCTGCAGAGGTTGAAACCAGACAAAAGCCCAGTGCTGAGAAGGGGATGTGTACACACAGTCCTCCCCTCACCAAGAAGCTGTTTGCAAATGATGCGTTTTCTACCACGGAGTATTACTGGGTAAATCAACCACATTCCAGGGCAGGGCCCATGCCTGGATGTAGTTGTCTACAAAAAACAGTCAATGAATGTGTGTGTGTGTGGTGGTGGTGGTGGGGGGGGTGTCTTACTGATTTTCTTTTTTCCTGGGTGGTTTATTATTGTTGTTGTTATTATTTTAGAGAGAGTAAGAAGAACTTGAAGTTGTGTGGGTAGAGAGGTGGGGAGGATCTGGAAGGAGTTAGGAAAGGGGAAATATAATCCAAATATATTTATGGGGAAAAGGTGTTTTAAATAATATTAAAAAAAAAAAAAAAGAAGTGAGTGATTAAGACATCCAGAGCTGTACCATTGTCGATCTGTCTCACGCTGACATGGAGAAGGCATTCCGAGAACAGGCCTGGTGTGTCATGTCCACGCCTTGTACCTTCATTTTTACTATCCCATGGCTTTTGCTTTCACCCAATAGCTGCCTTCCCTCCCTAGTTGCCTCATACTATGTTTGTCTCTCCTTTTCCCTCTCGATCAGTAGCTCAAGTTCACTTACAGTTCCTAGAGTCAGTGCTAAAGTCTGCTTTAGGATAATTGCATACCATCACTTGGAGATTTTCGTTGACTTTTTAGAGATAATGTTAAGAATGTCATGTAAAATAATACATTTGTGGTTTCCCTTTCAGAGAATCATGTTCAGCACCTTCAATCAGCCTGTGCAAGCTCTCACCAATTTCAGCAAATGTCTAAGGATTTTCAGGCTTGGCTTGACACAAAGAAGGAAGAACAAAGAAACTCTCCCCCAATATCAGCCAAATTTGATGTCTTGGAGTCATTACTTAAAGCTCAGAAAGACTTCAGCAAAACTTTCACTGAGCAGTCTAACATTTACGAAAAAACCATTGCGGAAGGTGAAAACCTGTTATTAAAAACACAGGGGGCGGAGAAAGCAGCCTTACAGTTACAGCTTAACACGATTAAAACCAACTGGGACCGATTCAGAAAACAGGTGAACGAGAGGGAAGACAAGTTGAAAGACTCACTGGAAAAAGCCCTCAAGTACAGAGAGCAGGTGGAAACTCTGCAGCCGTGGGTAGACAAATGTCACCAGAGTCTGGACAAAGTCAAGTTCTGCCTGGATCCTGCTGAGACAGAGAACTCCATTGCCGAGTTAAAGTCTCTGCAGAAGGAAATGGACCACCACTTTGGTATGGTGGAGCTACTCAACAACACAGTCAATAGCCTACTCAGTGTCTGTGAGGTAGATAAAGAGGTGGTTACAGATGAGAATAAGGCATTGATCCAGAAGGTAGACAGGGTCACCGAACAGCTTCAGAGTAAGAAAGTCTCCCTGGAGAACATGGCCCAGAAGTTTAAAGACTTCCAGGAAGTCTCCAAAGAAGCCAAAAGGCAGCTCCTGTGTGCAAAAGAACAGCTGGATGCCCATCACTCCCTAGGGCCCCAGGCCTACAGTAACAAGCACCTGACCATGCTCCAGACTCAGCAGAAGTCACTCCAGACCCTGAAGCATCAGGTAGACTTGGCAAAAAGGCTCGCCCAGGACCTCGTGATAGAAGCTGCAGCCTCAAAGGGAACCGCTGATGTTCTGTTTCAAGCAGAAACATTAGCTGAAGAGCATGAAAGACTAAGCCAACAAGTGGACGAGAAGTGTTCTTTCCTGGAAACCAAGCTGCAGGGTATTGGCCACTTCCAGAATACCATCCGAGAGATGTTTTCTCAGTTTACAGAGTTTGACGATGAGCTGGATAGCATGGCTCCAGTGGCGAGAGAGAGAGAAACCCTGAAAAAGCAAAAGGCAGCCATACAGACCTTCCTGAAGAAACTGGAAGCCCTCATAGCAAACAACGGCAATGCCAACAAAACCTGCAAGATGATGCTGGCCACAGAAGAAACCTCTCCTGACCTCATTGGAATCAAAAGGGACTTAGAAGCCTTGAGCAAACAGTGCAACAAGTTGCTGGACCGAGCAAAAGCCAGAGAAGAGCAGGTGGAAGGTGCCACTGAGCGGCTTGAGGAGTTCTACCGCAGACTGGAAGAGTTCTCCACTCTGCTCGGGAAGGCCGAAGAACACGAAGAGTCACAAGGTCCCGTGGGGACGGAAACAGAGACAATTAACCAGCAGCTTGACGTGTTTAAGGTAGGGAAGTTTACGTTTTTTTCCCTGAATGTTTTTATTATTAAAGGAAGCTTCTAATTAGTATGGCAAGGCAATTTTCTGGGTTTGTTGTTGTTGTTATTTTAACCTTCTAGAATGACTGGCATATAGTATAGAAGCCTGGATGAGTATATATGATTATAATCAGATATTGCAGGATGGTCCCAAGGCCTAGATGGTATCACTAAGTCAAAGAGAACTTGAAGAAGTTCCAGGCAAGCTTGACCTGACCTCAGTGGAGTCATTTCTGATGCCATTTATAGCTGACATCTGTAGTGACCAGAGCTGTGTTTTGAATTAGGCTTCAGATGTTTGTCTCCCAGAATTTTCTCTAGTGATTTATTGCAGTCTTTTCCCATTCTTTCTCTTTTAAATGAGTCTTCTCATCCCTCTTAATTTAATTTCTTCTTTAAACTTTTTTTTCTTGTAGGAGTTTATATTTTTAAAGGCAGTGTGGTATTTCATGTTGTAATCCTAGTTTTATACAGATCTGAGGCTCATGCCTGATGTGATTAGAAGTAAATTGTTTTTGATTGGACCAAGTCATGTCTGCCACGTCATAGCCTCAATGATACGTAATAAATGGAATCCTACATTAAAACACTGACTATTTCAGTGTCTTTGGACTTGGGTCCATTTATGTCAATGAAAGCAGAAGCATGGTACAAGGATAGGTTCATTTCTGGAAACAGGGATGTCAAGCATCCTTAACAAACTATCAAGCATGTGCTGTTTGTGTGCCACAAACCTTTTGAAGTTGTCATGGGTCTTGTTCTGTTTATGAGATGTGTTTTACTTTCTGTCAAAGACTAGTACAGGGATTTTGCACCATTATCCTCTATGATAAAGGAAGACCAGACAGAACCAAGATATGTAAAACTATAGGGTGGGCTCTCAATGTACAGCATATGAGAGACCTTGTGTTCAATGCTCAGGTTCAGTTGTTTCCCATGGAAAGAATAGAAATTAAGTGGACTTCCCAACTTTGTTGTTGTTGTTACATCTGATATACTGTTACCTTTGCTTGTCTTTAGTAATGGGGCTTAAGTGAGTGAACTCTGAAGATAACTTTGAATATCTATAACCACTACTTGCTGTTTATTGTTGGCAGACATTTTTGTCCTACCAGCAGCTCCCAAATAAACACAATGAGGCTCATATTAATTACAAATGCTCGGCCAGTAGCTTGGGCTTGTTACTAGCTAACTCTTACATTTATGTTAACCCATGTTTCTTATCTATGCTTTGTCATGTGGCTTGATACCTTTTCTCAGTACAGCATGCACATTTTACTTCTCTGCGTCTGCTGGCAACTCTCTGACTCCGCCCTTCTTCCCCCACAGCATTCTCAGTTTGGCTCTCCCATCTAACCCTGTTCTGTTCAGCTCTTGGCCAGTCAGCTCTTTATTAAACTAATCACAGTGGCATATATTCACACAGTGTAAAGGACTATTCCACAGTTTATTACATGCCTTGGGAGCGCAGTCCGCTTGGGATTTAAAAATCTGTAATTCTAAAAACTGAGAAGACACAGACATAGATGTCATTTGTTTGTGTGTACCCTAAAAAAGTAATAATTGACAGCAAGTAGTAGGTGTGTGTGTACCTTAGGTTTGGTCTGTGTCAAATACATTGCAGTATCAGTCATGCAAAGTAGATGCTGTTCATCCCTAATTATTATACAGGCCAATGGATGCTGGTGATTTGCACAGAGTCACACAGGTGATAATATCACAGCCTGGGTATTTTGGTGAAAGTCGTACAATGCCATATGTCAGCTGTATTCTTTGTGTTTTAGACCTGATTTTCCTCTGGAAAATTTTCATATTGGCTTTGTTGTAGCCTAAGTTATGAACCTGAGTAATAAGCCACCGTTACCGTTCATTTTGGTCCAAAACATCAGGAACCCCACTTAAGAACAGTGTGAACTCAGTGTGTGTGAAGCTGGCGTGGTGTCCACACTGTGAGGGCTGTGATAATGAGCATCCCAGTGAATGTGCTGGGGGTGAGGTGGATCCAGACAGCTTGTCCCCTTAGTGTTTATCTCTGTCTCTATTAAAGTGGCAAAGGACCCTGCCTGTAATGCAGATCTTAATTTAGCTTCTGTTGGGTCGTAGTCTTTTGTGGAATTATTTTCAATATATTTCTTGAAAATTTAAAAACCAATTAAGTAGAATAATTTACATTGCGTGAAAAGCCAGTCATTATAATGTCTAAGAATGAAACAGAAAAGCACTGAGGGGCTGGGCCTATTTTCATTATGAACTTTCAAATATAATCCAGTTTGACATTAATCCACCAAGTGGCTTTCCTTCCCCCTGATGTCACGGATAAAATCCTGTGATGGTTTTTCTCAGCACACAGTGCACTGCTTGAGAGCAGGACGGAAACTTAGTGGTCATTAATTACCACATGACTTGCCGGTGGGGAGCCCGACATTCACCTCATGTAATGTAGACTGAAGTACAGAGCTCCCTGCCCCCTCCCCTCAAGTAGAGCTGAAGAATTACTGTTAATTTGACTTTGTTTTTAAAAAGGCAAAATTTATTTATGGTAAAAATATCAACTCAACTATAATGACTTAAAACTTGTTATTCTAAATCAAACATTCCAGTCCACTCTCAATCAAAAGAAGATTCAAAAAAAAAATTGACAAGAGACTGATGCCTCTTTAGTTAGTGCCAATTTTTAAACTATCTATTTGATTTCTTGGGCCTCCTGCTTACAGAGCCCTAACTCGGGATTATTTTCAAATGAAAGCTATGTTAAGTAATATAGATGCACGTGTGTGTGTGTGTGTGTGTGTGTGTGTGTGTGTGTGTGTGTGTGTATAATTTATTTACTTATCTATTTGAGACAAGGTCTCACTGTCATCCTGGCTGGTCTGGAGTTCGCTTTATAGACCAGTCTGGCCTCCAGCTCACAGAGATCTGCCTGCCTCTGTTTCCTGAGTGCTGGTGTTAAAGGTGTGTGCCACCTCTGCCCAGCATTCACATTTTTGTTTAATGAAACAGTTATGTAACTGGCTACAGTATGTACAGTGGTCCCTGTGATGTCATTAGCAGTCAGTCAGATCCTCTCATCATCATAATCAGTATCACCACATGAACTGTTAATTTCACATTGATTTCAGTGAAGATCAAAGACACTGAACAATTAATATGTAGTGTCCCATCTTAGCTAACTCTGGACCCCTACCTCTCTCTAGTCCATGGCAAAATGATATAAAACAAAATACACCTAGACCCTACTTCCTGTTCATTCTGGCTGCTCTTGCTGCCTCCTTTGTAATTCATTTTTTCCACACAAGTGTCTCTGGTACAAGTGGATATGAACTGGCAATTCTGTTTTCAAAATGGAAATAACATTTCATAGAACAGAGAATTTTTAAGTCAAGTTGAAGTCAGAGACATAGACCAGAACATGCAATTATGCTATAATAACTTTAGTCTGGTCCAGGTGTAGGCATTATCTAACCCAGGCAGTATTTGAATATTGGATAAATAAAATGCAAAATATCATGGCACTGGAGACACCAGGAAGTTTGCACACAGATTTCTTAAAATACTGGTTCAATGGTCCCCATATAACTACTGTGATGTCACCATTATTTTTAAAGGCAAAATTAAAATGTCCAGAAAGTGTGTTTTAATAGTAGTATTCACATTGTTAGTAGAGATCAGAGATGAATAATCTACCCATTTGTGTTGAGAACAAGGGAAACTAGATAACTCTGGTTTAGGAGAGGTTTGGGGTAAGGGACATGTCTTGATAGACTGGTTTCTGTTATAGACCGTCAGCCAGCAGGCTGTGTGCCTTCCTTCAGTATTTACAAAGGTGAAAACATTTTCACAATGGAAACTACCCAGAAGAACGGGCTTACAGGAAGATCCCATTCTTTAGCCACATCAAAGCAGCCTTTAGGATTTTAGGATGAAAGAACACCACATCTGGTGGGCAAGACGGAAGCTCCTAGTCCCCATGCGGAGATCACGCTTTCACGTCTAAGCTGATGAAGTCTTGCCAAACTCCATGTTCTGATCCACCCTAAGTGGGCCTAACACGTGGCTGCCCTCTTCCCCCCACCACATAAGGAACACCCAGGACAAACCGTCAAAGGGAGCTTGATGGCTGGCAAGATGGCTGCTCTGGGAAAGGCCTTTGCCACCAAGGCCTGGTGTCCCAAGTTTCACGTGGTGAAGGAAAGAACCAACTCTCATGGGGTAACCTCTGACCTCTGTGTGCATGCTGAATCACATATTCTCCCCCCCCCCCCTTCCCCATGCCCGTGCGGGCACACACACACACACAACGTAATTTTGTTTAAGGAGCTTGGCAGGGAGGGGCCTCCTTCTGGGTTTACTGATGATGCTGTGATTGTGCACATGGCTCTCTTCTGTCAGTTCATTAAAGATGAAGGGAAAAAGCAGCTTTTTTTCGAGACAGTTTCAGACAGGGTTTTCCAGAACAGGATTTAGTTTTCATTTTGCTGTTTTTGTTCTTAAGTGAATTATCTGTTCCAACTTTAAAGTGATCATAAAAACCACCCACTACAGTCACTATAGTCCTTCCTTAAATAAAAAGAGAGCTCCATAAGTATTTAAAGTGGGAAGGTGCTTAAGTCTGAGTGTGTGTATCCAAGTGTGCAAAGGAGAACAAGAGACAAGAAAATATGCTTTTGCTTTTTTAATATGGAATTATTATATATCTGCTTCTTGATAAGAAATTTTGATGGGCAAACTTTTTAAAAATTTTTATCATGTGGTTGGGTACGGTGTCTCAAGCTAGGTTAGCCCTGTACTCCTGACCTAGGTTCCAGCCTTCTAATCACTGAGTAAATATTAATAGATGATATGCAAATGAGCAGAAAAGAACCTAGCATGTCAGCTGAAAATGTCTGGACCGACTCTCTCTCTCTCTCTCTCTCTCTCTCTCTCTCTCTCTCTCTCTCTCTCACACACACACACACACACACACACACACACACACACACACACACACATCTGTAATCGTCTGAAGGGCAAGATTACATTGTTTCTCTTATCCTGGTTTTGATAGGGAAAGTGTTTTCAGATTTTGCGTGGCTCTTGCTCTCTGAAGGAAGTTGAATAAGGTTATTAATGTGCGTGCTGGTTTTGCTTGCTTGACGGCCTTTGAAAACATCAGCTTTTAGATATTTCATGTGTTTATTTCAATTAGTAAGATTTATGTATAGATGACTGTCTTCTGTGCAGGATATTTTTAAGCACCTAGGAACCTCACTGAAGGTGGGACAGATGTGTGCTGTTAGTGCTGCAGTGGTTATGGGAAGGATGATGGGTGTTTGTTAAAGAGGCTGTGGACAGTTTGCATCAGATCAGACACCAAACATTTAGTGCTTTGCAACGTCCTCCTCTGCGCTGCTTCCTAATAACCGTGAATTGCCTTCCAAGGAAGAAATGGCTGCTGCGTACTTGGAGGACTGTGCTCAAGCACTGCCGTCATTTGTGTGGCGGTTTTGAGTTTAGGAACTGGAGGGTACTCACAGCTTCCTTCAGCTAGTGGCTTGTCTACTTCAGAAAGAACAATACAAAATTGTTGCTCTCCCCATGCCTGTTTCATAACTACAGCACAAAACTCCTATTTCTCATTTGGTTTCTCAACCAGATTTCAGGAACTGTTGGGCCAAGAGAGAATTTGGTCAGTTTTTCTAGATAATATAGTGTGTATTTACATATTTTCCACTTCGTGGTATAGTAAACATAATGTCTCCAGTCTCTCAGGTCTAAAATTTCCATGTTTTAAGTTTATAAAATTAGCCTTTAATGACTTCCCTTAAAGTGATTTGTGGCACTTGGTAATAAGATTACTTGCGAGACTTTCCCTTGAAAGGATTTTACTTGAGAAGTATGAAGAGACAGCAGGGTGCTGTTTGGCTTATGGTTCAGTTAGCGCTGATTGTAGACGTGTCTGAGTAGACAGCAGGGAATTTAGCTTGGTCGTCTCGAGACGTAACGTGGCTACGTTCCATCTTGAAAGCGGCACTGTGATTTTGTGTGTGAGCTATCAGTGTTGACTGTTTAGAAAAGCCCTCTTACCCAGTGTATTTTTCTCTCATGAAAATGTGAGTGCCCTAACGATTCATGATTGGTATGTAGCACAGCATAACATGTCCTGATCTCATCAGCAGTGGGGACTATCACTTTTGAAGCAGCTACATAGAACAAAGAGAAGGTGAAAGACGAGCCCGTGTTTGACCTTTGTTAGTCTACATGTAGCTTTCCATTGATCTCAAGTAACACATACATGTGAATTATTGCTAGACATCTCAAAACACTGCAAATGATACAGTGACTAACTGGAACCAGAATACAATAAGCTGAAATCACTAAGGTGATAAGAATTCACGCTTACACATAATCTGCTAGAGCACATTTTCCCGAGGTGCTTCCTGCTCCCAGACTGTGCTGTGCCCATTGTATTGTCTTTATTTCCCATTACGCTTTAAGATGGGGACAGGCCGTGATGACATGACGTCATTTCCCCAGCGCTTGCTTTGAATGCTTGAATTTAGCGATGAATTATCTATGAAGTTTTTACAATGCACTGCCTGTCTCAAAGGCAAATTTATATGTTTCGCTTAGCCTTTCACAAGGATGGGTTAATACTGTGCTAATGACTCAGCCTAAGGTGGGCTGAGTTAGGACCATTCTTTATGAAAAGTTGATAAGGACCTTACAGTGTGGAGAAAGGTACTGTCCCGGATTTCATGGAAATGATCCCTACTTCTTTGGGTAGATAGCATTCTATGCTTCTAAGGTGGTGGGAGTTTGAGAACAAGGCCCTTGATTTCTACTCGCTTCCAGCCTTGGAGTCAGTGCGGTGTTCCAGCATGGTAGCTGTGGACACATTTTTCCTTTCTCTATGCTTGGACACCACAGAGTCATGTGCTGGTTGAAACCTTTCAGTTCCGGACCAGGACATCAATGTCGGTCGGGGTGTTGATGGGCATTTTAGACCTGATTGATTTTTCTGTATGAATGTCTGCATAAATGTGCTTTTCACCTTAAAATGATAACCACATCCTGAGCTGCATCTAGTAATTGTTAGCTGTGAGTTCTAGTTGTGAAGATATTTTAATTCAACTTACAGGCTTATGAAATATTTTTGGGATACCTAAGGTACAGAAGTTCCCCCCACCCAGCATTTCTGTAAAAATTCCAGAGATATACCACAACTGCTTTCTTCATTTGGGGTCAGCACCGTTTTGTTCGTGAATGATTATTTTATGAGATTTTTTTTTTTTAAGAGTCTGCCTGCCTTTGTAGCTAGGTAGTTTTCTGGCAGCGTGGCTTATTTCATACAAGAATGGATAGAGTTTATTAAATAATTCTTGTCATTTCTGCCAAAAAGGCTAAGGTTTGGCTTGCTGAACAGTATTTTTGTAAGAACATTTGTTGAACAGATAAAAATCTGTAGATGTGATTTTATTAAGTAACCAGTCAGTTTCTAGGCTCCCTGTGTGCCTGGGCCTTGCGTTAATCTCAAGAGATTTGTGTGTGGATATTAGTAACTACAAATATTCATGTCAGCAGTGCTGGGGCGAGGTGCCCTCAGGGGTCCATGACTGCGGAGAACAGTCAGTTTTGAACTTGGGCTTTAAAGAGGAATGATAAAAAAAAAAAAACACGCGACTTCAAAGTGGGACTGTTGGTCCTGCTTCAGTAACTGATTCGTCACCGCAGGAGAGCAGCGGTTTCAGCTGAAGGACAGGGACCTGGCCGCCCCCACCCACTCCACTCCCCAGCCCACCCCCCAACTTTCATTTAGCCGTGAGCCAGCGGTGGGAATGACTGTCCCTGAGCCACCGCCGGTGTCAGGTTCTGCCGCCGCCGCTGCCCTTCGGGTCCCTCCGGGACTTGAAGCCGGGAGGGGTTTCGGGATATCTGAACCCGGCTGCCCTCTCCCAGCTGCAGAACCCGGCCGGCTCCCCGCTGATGTCACCAAGCTGTTGCCTTGCAGCCTCTAGGCCTGGAGATTCCTCCCCCTGAAACCGCTCTGGGCTGGGGAAGAAGCCGAGTGGGCAGGATGACTGCGAAGTTAAGTCACGGGAGGGCGTAGCGGGGAGCGGAGCGGCCGCCTGGGACTCGCGCCCTGGACCGGATCAGATCGATGCCGCCGGGGCTGGGTGTGCTGCGAGGCCCCGCTGCCCTGACGCTGCCCGAGCCCCGGCGGGAGCGGCCGCAGCCTGCCCTGGCAGAGGGCAGCGGCTGGGGCTTCGGCTGCCTACGAACTGCCTCTGCCTGGGAGGAAGCCCGGAGCTCGAGCTGCAGCCGCCTCAGGTGGAAGAAGCCTTCTTCAGGAAGACCAGATAAGAGTCCCGGGGGAAATTTTTTTAAAGAGAAGCTTTGGACATGCTTCTTGACGGTTTAATGGTTGCTGGATTTTACTGCCCTGACCTTTTTTCTTTTGGGTAATTCTGGATAACCTCAAAGAAGCTTAATATGGGAAGAAAGACTGCCTGTTGGGTCGAGTTTATTTATATATGGCTCCCCCTCCCATTTAAAAGAAAAATTTAACTTTTTTACAACATCAAACTTAACTTATTTTTCTCGGAGAATCTGTTCTGTGCCTTCCAATCTGAACAATACATGGCTCTTGTGTTTGTCTGTTTCTGAAGTTTGTCTGTAAAGGACATGGAGTTTTGCAAGCCATCTTTTAAGTGGATTACAGTCAACCAGAGTTCTGCCGAAGTTAACGTTCAGCCTGTTAAAATGCTTGCTCGTTTGGAAACTTTAATCTGGAAACCTCACGCAAAATTAGACTGAAAGGAGAAATGGACTCAGAGTGGAATGTTCTGAGTGTTTAAGCCACCATTAGCTGTGTGCTTGTTTTTATGGGCTTGGGAGTGAGTGAAGGGAGCTTTGATAGAGTTGCAGAAGGTGGCAGGAGCTAAACTCTGGGTCTTGTTGCACTTTACTTCTTAGAAGCAGGTTTCACAGGGATGCACTGGTGATGACCGTGAACACCTCAGTCACTATGCCTTGTTATTTATGCCTTTATGCTGGACGCACCACAGCTCTATTCACAAGTAGACCTTTTCGGAAAACGTTTTACTGTATTTCTTCCTTCGGGTGTCAGAAGCTGCAATATTTGTTTTGACTCTCTGGAAAATGGGGAAGCCACTCAGCAGACCAGACTGTTTACGCCAGAATCCTCCATGTGTCAGGAAGGGTGAGGAGGAAGAGGACCTGAATATTGAGGACTGTTACGTCCCCCAGCGGTCGATCTATGACACAGTTAGACTAAATGAACAGATAGACTCAGGTTCCAAAGGGAGCCTGTCATCCAGGCATTTTACAGAGCGGACTTTGCCCTACAGTCACCGGACACTGGATGGTAGCTCTTTGTGCTCCAATGGTGCCCTTTCCTCTTCCAGTATATTCGAGCTGAGAGGTCGGGAAGCTAACAAACTAGATGAAAAGGCGATCTTTGATGCCCTCAAACTCAATAGTGACGTCATCCGAAACACCGGTCCGCCCAAACCCAAGTCTCAAGCAGAAAAGCGAGAGCACAGGAGGTCATGGCGGATGTTTGTTCCAGCCAATTTTATGGATCAGGCAAACAAAAGTGAAAGTCCTTTTGTTGATCCTACTGATGTGCCAGATGCTGTCACCAAGGCCGGCAAGGGCAGATGGGGGCACCAATTCTCAGACCTCAGAGGAAGAAGACTCCGGTTTGTGTAGTCCCCCCGCAGAGAAAGAAGAAAAACAGGGCACTTTAAGTGGAGACCGGCCACAGATTAGAAGCCTGTCTTCTGCTGAAGATATTCGTATATCAGAGCAATATAGGCCACTTTTTTCTGCTAACTCTATCAGTGAGCAGAAGATCCCCCTGCTTTCATGTCGAAGTCCCCACCCCGATGACAATGTCCAGGTGATTCTGCAGGATGTTTCTTCACTCCAGGGGAACAAATGTGTGAATGGTCCAAGGGCGCTCCATGGTGAAGATGGTTGTGTGCAGAGCCAGTTGAGAGAGAATACAAAGTGCAAGGCATTAGTCGTGCCGAGAGGTGGAGAACACGAGTGGACTTCCCACTCTGAAGAAGAGGAGACAACTTTCAGACAAGGGGAGTCCCAAATCACCGCACACAGTAGGGAATGTAGGAAGGAACCCCTTCAGGGTTTAGAACTCTCTCCCGCAGACCTAGCAGAGCGGCATGTAGACTTTGGTAACACAGGTTTGCTAGAAAATGTGATACTGTCGACCCAATATGATTCAGCCGAATGCAACATGGCATCCAGGGGTGACGTAGAAGCCCCCTTTTCTGCCCAGGAGATGGCGGTGACCCAGAAGAAAGGCTCCCGCCAGCTCATGCCAGTAAAAAAGAAAACAGGGCCCAGAAAAACGGGGGTCCAGGCAGGAACGTTGGACCCAGTCTGCAATGGCCTCCAGTTGGCCCAGGTAATTAATGGAATTGGAAAACCACAGCGGCAGCTGCCTGTGGTTCTGTTTCAGACTGGTCAAGAATGATTGTAATAATGATCAGATTCGGTCACTCATTTGAGGGCTTTGATTAGCACCCTGCCAGATGCCAGCAACTGATAAATCCATTGGTGTAACAAATTAATTAGGGATCGTTGGGGAATGATCATTCCCAGATGTTGGGGGTGGGGGGCTGTGGGGATACAGACAGTGGCTGTTGCAGTCCATTCAGAGTTCCCCGACTGTTAATTTAGGTTAATGTTCGGTTTCTGCACAAATTGCGGGTTCAAATAGTGCCGTTTAAGGGCAGTTGTTTTGAGGCTATTAAGCAGCAACAGGCTTAGTCATAAAGGTACAAGCACAGTAGTACATTGTTGTGGTCTGCAGAGCACTCCACCCACCAGCTTCCAGGGGCCCTGTGTGGGAGGGGAGAAGAGCTGGTGTGTTTGCTCAGGCCTCCTAGACCCTCACTCTTAAGGGCAGCAGATGAGGTAAGACAGTAGAGAGTGCAGCCTTGTAATAAGTGGAGCTTGTCCATCAAGCCTGTAATTTTTGTCTTCCCACTCAAGATTCAAGCTGGCTATTTTGGTGCTTCCCCTAAGCTCTGCTGGTAAACTTGGCCTCGGAGTTAACTTCATTTTATTTTAGGGCTCTCTGTGTTTGTGTGCTATGAGTGGGGAGGGGGTGGGGTGGGGGGTGGGAGGGGCAGGTCTTTATGGGTATTTGTTAGCACTCAGAGATAAGGAATCTAAACATACCAGAAGCACTGTGTGTTCCGTGCCCCACTGTCCACACCTTTCCTTGAGCCTGCAGCAACTGCTCTGCTCATTTAAAGGTTTAGCAAAAGACCTTTTCCCTATAAAGGATTTCATAGCTGATGCGTGAAGTTGGGCTTTTCCCCCTAACTCAGCTGTTGGTGCGGTCATCTTGAAGAGTATTGGAGAATGATCACAGACTCATGGAGACCTGCTGTGATAACAAACCCTTGCTTTAACCAAGATCAGGGTTGCAGACGGTTTACTAGAACATTGTATCAATAAGGTCATGAAAACTGAGATAGAAATAAAAGTTTTCCCCTGAAACATTTTATAACATTCAAGAGTGCATCCTTTTCTTGACCCTGTGAGTATATTTTTGTCGATTGTTGAACATCCCCTTACTTAGCTTCTGGAAGTGCTAAGTAATTTAGAATGTTCCATAGAAAAGAAGCAGAATCGCAGTGCCCTGTTGCAGCTTTCTGTTGACATACTTAGCGAGGAGTCACACCTTTTTTGAGGCTTAGGAGAACGTAACGTTTTCTCCACACTGATTGGGTATCTGCTGCTGTCTGCAGTATGTGTTTCTTAAAGCTGCTAATTGACATAGAACTCCTTAGCCAGCACAGAAGTGTCTCTCTGCATTTTCAGTGGAAAAAGCAGCTTGAACTTTTTGTTACCGGGGACATCCAGAGGAAACAATGGCTCGTTTGTTTGCTGATGCCCATACACTCGCTCTTACAGTTAACACAGAAGTATCCTGTGGGCTCAGCACCGGGCCAGGGCTGGGGAATTGTCTCCTTGGCCTCAACATCCTTCACAGTTATTTCTCACACTCTGTCTATAATTTTCTCCTGAAGTGCTCTTTTAATGTATCTGCCTTTCTTATGTTTCCATATGTTATGTTTATCCAGCCATTAATTACTTTTTTGGCTTCCTTCAGTGTAATGACTCAGAATCCCAAACCTTATTCTTCCTTAATATCTGTGTAAAATTTTCATCAATGAGTTAAAAATAATTGATTTTTTTTTCTCATAGCATTCTCCAAGCCCGACACTATAAATATTAATATTACCTGTTTAAAAAAAATGGTTTGTTACCTGGAAAGGGGTTGATTGCACCCACCCAAGATAGGTGTATCTTTTCTGTGTTGATACCCATTTGGCAAATAACTCTTGAGTACATATTTCTGTCTAGGTACCCTTGCAGGCCCAGGGTATAGAACTGTTATACGCAAAACAGTAATTTCCGTTTCTGTGAATTTGCATTTTAATCTAATATAGTACATCTTTTATAAGCCACAAGCAACTGCGGGGTCGACCGTATGTTGGATAGGATGGACAGTAGGGAGAGAGTGCTAGGAAACTGTTGACAGCAGATTGATGGATAGTATCGAACAGAGAGAAAACCATAGCCAGTGTGTGGGTCCAGATCCAGGGATGAGGGGCCGTGGGGGGGGGCATCATTTCAGTCATGCCTGTCTTGACAATCTTTCCTGTGCCTTTGGTGTAGAGCTCTCCTCCTCAGTCTCCACTGTCATGAGAAGACTTGGTCTTTTCATGGTGTCCCAAGGCTTTCTCATGTTCAGTCGTTGACTTCTATTGAATGATTAATTCCTCCACCTTGTCCTCAGGAACTCCTACTCTGTCTTCTGCATGTTCCATTCTGTGAGCAAGGCTTCCCACTAAGATTTCTTAATTTGGCTTTTTGATTTGTTTGTTTTTTTCCTAGCATCATTTCAATTTGAGTTTTCTGCGGCAATTCTATGGCTCTGTTAGATTCTGTTATCAGATTTTGGAAATGTTCTTTTTTTCATTCGGATCTTTGTTTTTGTACTTTTGGGGTAAATCATATCCTCTTTGAGTTGTTTGAACGTAGTTTCACCGTTCTTTCAAATTCTCTGACTGTGGGTTCTTCCAGGCTATTCCAATTGGAAGCATTGCATACGGATTGGCAGTCTTGGGAAGAGACGTGTTATCCTGGTTTTTCACATTGTCCTTGTTTCTGCACCAGAACTTGTGCACCTGAAGTTATCTGGCGAACTGAGTTTTCCTTTCGTATTTTATGATTAAAATTCAAGTACCCCTTCTTTCAATGGAGATGTTTACAATGTTCAGGAGAGGACTATGTCATAGTAGGCATGAGGTCTAATTTTCCTCTGGGCAACTGAGATTCAAGGCCAGAGGCTCTAACCCTACCCTTTCTCTTAGGGTCAGGTTCAGGGTCAGCTCTAGCCTTCTCTCTGCCACTGGCAGCGATGAAACACCCTGTGCCTATGGGTCTTACCATGTCACCTTGGGCGCTCCCCTGCGGTAGTTGTGGAACCCCGTGTACCCTGTGTCCACATGCCTCTGCCTTCTCTGCTCGCTGCTCTTGTATTTGGGCCCTTTGGGTCGGCATGGCCTTGGCCTCTTGACCTACTTTGCTGTCTTGCCAGTGAGTCTCTCCCCTTGTAACTTGAGTCTCAAGCTTCAGTTGCCCCCATGAGGATTCCTTGACTCCAAAGGAGCATCTTATCCTTTGCTCCTTAGCATTTTTTTATCTATTTTTTTTTTCATAGAGTTAAATTGTGCTGATAGGAAATTCCATTATACTTATCTTGGTTTTGTAAGTGACCTTATGAAATGTATGTAAGATATATTGTTAGGTGTCACAAGTTTGTATTTCATGCTCACAAAGTAATAGTAAACCATGTCTCGGTAACAGTGGTTCCCTTCACTTGAGTGACACTTGCTAGCTTCTACTAAGTAATGAGTAAGAACATGGTCTTTATACATTTGGTGGTTGTTGGGTAATGTAATTCTTACAGTATGGTTCTCCCAACCTGCAGGTGTTCCAGAAAGAAGAAATTGAACCCTTGCAGGTGAAGCAGCAAGATGTGAACTGGTTAGGTCAAGGCCTCATTCAGAGTGCAGCTGCAAACACCTGCACTCAGGGTTTGGAGCGTGACCTGGATGATGTCAACGCACGGTGGAAAACTCTCAATAAGAAGGTAATTGCCCGGTCCCTTGAACCCCTCAGTACTTGTTCACTGTCATCTTTGGGGACTAGTAGTCGTATTTGTACTAGTAGCCGCACGTGCCCAAGCATGCTTCCTCTTTTCATGTTGCCATACACTGAATAGCAGTAGACAGGGAACGTGAATGACAGAAGTTGATGGGTCGAGACAGGACTTTCCCTGCCATTATCTCAACTTCAACAGAGACCTGGCTGCAGCCCCAGCAGGTGTGACTGTGGGCAGCCATGGTGGATGGCCCTGTGTTGAAAGAACATTCAAGCCTCTCCTACTGTGGTAGCTCCTTTGCCTCTCATGGCATGGTAGCTCCTTTGCCCCTGTGACTCACAGACTTGTAGGGATGCAGGATCCCTATTGTGTTAACTTCTCTTGGAGTGACGCATGTGAACATCCATTCATCCAGATAGGCATTAACAACTGACTAAAGTGGGATTCCACTGAAGTCCACCTTTTTGAGATCAACGAGTTTGAGTTTTTTTTTTTAAACAGGGTATAAGTGAGGGGTTACTTACTAGAGCATGAATAACAAACACACACATACACACACACACACACACACACACACACACACACACACACACACACCGCCGAATAGCTAAGTCACCACGAAGACCCATCCCATCATGGATGGCATTAACCTTTCACTTCTATATAGTTTAGCGTCACCCAAGATCACTTGCAGCTGGGGGTGGCATAATAGCAGGGATCCTAAGTAGGATCTCCAGGCCTCCCTAGGGAGTGTCCGTAGCTCCATTACCATTATCATAGACCTGGCTGCCACTGTATTGTTTTGCTCTGCTTACTGTGGCGACAGTGGCAAAGTCCAAGAATGGCATCTTGTTGTGAACAGAGGGGAAAGTGCCATAGGATACATATGCACACACAGGCACACACACGCACACAACAAAGAAAAGAAAGGGCTGGGAGATGGTAGGTAAAGTGCCTGCCTGAGTTTAACCTCAGCACCCACCTAAAAACAGGTGACGCTGACCTGTAGCCCAGCCCTGGGGGTTGGAGACAGGTGGAATCCTGACGGATCCCGTCTAAATGGCAAGCTGTTGGTTTGGTGAGACACTGCCTCACAAATTAAGGTGGAAAGTAATAGAAGACACACAAAGTCTGTCTCTGGCCTTGCACACACATTCACATGTGGAGAGGGAGGGAAGGGAAATGTATGTGGCCAAGTTAGGGAATAATTGTGAGAAGTAGGGTCTAGTGTGCAGATTTCTTTTTTCCTTTCGTCCTTCCTTCCTTCCTTCCTTCCTTCCTTCCTTCCTTCCTTCCTTCCTTCCTTTAATGAAGCAAGTAAATAAGTTGGAACAACTGGAACTTTGCAGGTGGCTCAGAGAGCAGCCCAGCTGCAGGAGGCCCTGCTCCACTGTGGCAGGTTCCAGGATGCCCTGGAGTCCCTGCTCAGCTGGATGGCAGACACCGAGGAACTTGTGGCCAATCAGAAGCCTCCATCAGCCGAGTTCAAAGTGGTGAAGGCCCAGATACAAGAGCAAAAGGTAAATTAGTGATGTTTTCATGTGGTTTCGTATGAAATCTTTAAAATGACAATAAGTGTACCTCCTTGTTTATGCTAATCAGAGGTCAAACTAACGGTTTCTTGTTTCTTTGGGTATTGTCCACTACTCAACCAGCACCTACTGGTCAAGGCATTGTTTGAGCTGCAGGAAATGCAGCCCTGAATGAAAACAACAAGAGTCCCTTGTTGAACGTAAAGTCTAAGGGGGAAAAAGGCTATGAAAAGCCAATACACAAAGTCAATATATCGCCTAGAAGGACTTCAAAGCAGTGATGAGGAGATGGGAATCTGGAAGTGACAGAGCCAGGGGTCAGGGCAGGAAGCCCTGGAGTAGAGGGATGCTGGGAGCCATAGCCAAGAAACCCTTCACTGACCAGGTGGCATTTGGACAGAAATATCATTGCTCTCTAATACTTAAGATTTATCCATGCGAGTTGTCCTTTTGTAGAATAAATACTAACAGGTTAGCACTTAGGATGCTAATCCTCGGTTCACACATGCTTGGGAATTGTGCTGCTGCATGTTCTGATGCTGATGGACACCGAGCTGCCTGAGACAACATGTACAGTACTGGGTTCGTCATGGTACAGTGGTCAGACATGAAGCATTTAGTGACATTTCCAGTGATGTAGCAGCTATGATTTGAAATGACACACAAGAAAAGGCATAGCATGTGGTGTATTAGTAAGGTTTCTCCTGTATAACTTTTTAAATGGGGAGTAGATTATTTGAAATTCAATTAATCGTTACATATAAAAATTTTAATCAAAACTATGTGTGAGTATGTGTGAGGTGTGCAAGTGAGTACATGAATGGAGGGGCTAGCACAGGACATCAGGTGTCTCCCTTTCATCTTCCTCACCGTGTTTCCTCTACGCAGGGTCTCTCACTGAACCAGAGTCTCGCACTTCAGCCTGGCTGGCTGGCTGGCTGGCTGGCCCGGGGTTCTTTGCTGTCTGTCCCCACCACCCACTGGGGAATGTTCAGATTGCAGGCATATGCAGTCCTGTCTGCCTTTTTATGTGTGTCCTGGGGATTCAAACTCAGGTCCTCACACTTAGAGAACAAGCACGCATACCTGCTGAGCCATCTCCCCAACCCCTTTAACCAAGTTTTAATTTATCTTTCTAGCCCTGGTTTAATTTAGTTAGCAGGCATAAATAATAATAATAATAATAATAATAATATAATGCATATTGTGTGTGTGTGTGTGTGTGTGTGTGTGTGTGTGTGTGTGTGTGTCCACGAGTTACTTGGAATTGAACCTAGGACTTAAACCATGCTAGGAAAGTGCCTTACCACTGGGCTATTGTATATTTCAAAATAAGATTTTAAATATTCTCAACACATACACAAATTGTAAGCAGAGGAAGTACTAGCTTTGTTAATTAGTTTTATTAAGTCATTCTACAATGTACACATGTACTAAAACATCATATTGTAACCTGTAGATACATACACTGTTTGCTAGATTAAACTTTTTAAAAGCCTTTACCTTGGCCCCAGATTTTTAACAATGTACCGTTTCCTTTAATTCTGTATTCTGTATCAGCTCTTTAAAAACTCTCTGAAAACTTTAGCCAATTAAAAAGTTATATGAGAAATAAAGCCAGGCCTTATGGCTCAGCCTATAATCCCAGCTGCTTGGCAGGTAGAGGTAGGAGGGTCACAGGTTCTCAGCCTGCAGGAATACAGCCTAGTGAGCAGCTCATGAGAACCTGTCTGGAAATTAAACATGAACAAGTGGCTTGGGGATATGACGTAATCATAGTGCAGTTGCCTGGGATACATGAGACACTAGTTCAGGCTCCTTACCTGACAACAGAAAAGGAGGATTAAGGAAACCTACTGGAAACCCATTGTATCTGTCTGGTTTTTAATTATATAACTGCTACTGGTAACTAATTTAAGTTATTCTCCCAGGGTTAGTTAATGATGCTTAGTCAATAAAATCCATTTGTTGACTTTGTCTTTTTGATTGCCAAAGGTTTTGCTATTTCAGTTCACCAAAAGTAACCGACTTGGGCTAGCAAGTTGACTTAGAGGATAAAGAGCTTGCCAATGAGCCAGACAACCAAAAGTCCTCAAAATCCACATGGAGGCAGTAGAGAATTGACTCCCCAAGTTGGTTGTCCCCTTGCCTCTACAAGTGCACACATGTGCGCGCACACACAGACACAGACACACACACACACACACACACACACACACACACACACACACACACGGTAAATGTAAATTTTTTTTTAAGTATCCAATTAGTTCTCCTGACTACCTAAGCCTGGTACTTCATTATTGTTTACGCTGTGTCCTGAACCGTGTCAAGAGTGTCTGTGATCCTTCTCCTTTGGAAGCATGCATTCCCCTTAATGCCCTGCTTGGTGGTCTGAATCTCATAGTGTTCTTCTATCATGTTACTTCCGGGTAACTGTTGAATTCTTATTCCTTAACTGTTTCTCAGGATCAGAGTAAGGAAGCAGAGGCCCGTCTGATGGAGCTCCTGCACCTCATTGCTGGAGCACAGTGCTTATACACACCGTTGCTCAGGGATGATTTGTTTTGATTAGTTAGGGCAAGGTGACCCTGAGTCTGGCCTTCACTTAGATTTAAACTGAATTTCCTGTTAATAGCTAAGTCTTGAAATCTTAATCTTTTTGGCAGCTCTCAAATTCCCAGTACACCCCACACCCTTCTTTTGGGGTGTCTGAGAGCTCTGCTTAAGTTTTCCTCCTCATGTGGGGTTTGAAATGCTGCTTCTGCCCCGTGGAAGGCCAGAAGCCTCCCGTGCAGCCTCTGACTTGTGGACTTGACCTGATGGTAACCTGCCTGCCTGTGATGCATTGTTCCATGTTGGAAGGCGTTTTGAAAACACTCGTGATTTATGGAACTCTTTTTATTTTGGCAGAGTTGATAACTGTTGGATGCTTAGGGCATTCCTGTGTTAGGAAAGTAAGGAGGCTGTTTTACTTTCCCCGTGGCTCGTTCTGCTTAGCCTGTGTGCTTATCCTCTGTGACGATTACAGTGGCCTTATCTGTGAGAGCTGCCTATTGTGAAAGCCACACCTCAGTGCCTGGCATTGCAGTAGCTAATCATTCAACCAAATGCTTTTCTCTTTCCTTTTTTGAAGTTTTTTATGACATTTATTTATGTATATGGTCTGCGTGTGCCGCAGCGTGCGTGTGGATGGAGGTCAGAAGACAACTTATAGGAGCTGGCTCTTCCCTTCCACCATGTGGGTCCCAGGGATCAAACTCGAGTCATCAGGCTCAGTGGCAAGCCGCCTTGACCAGCTGAACCATCTCCCTGGCCCCAAATGGATGATTTTTAAAGCCCTAATTCTCATATTTTTTTTCATGTAGACCCATACAAAATATATATTTCTTAGCAAAAGTGCATGATATATATAAGATATAAATACTTTCTACTTGTTTAAACATTCTTTGCCTCTTAAAATACTGAATGTTTTGTCTGAAGCTTCTGCAAAGACTGCTGGAAGACCGGAAGTCCACGGTGGAGGTGATCAAACGAGAAGGAGAGAAAATCGCTGCTTCGGCCGAACCTGCAGACAGAGTGAAGCTGTGCAGGCAACTGAGCCTCCTGGACAGCCGCTGGGAGGCTCTGCTTAGCCGAGCTGAAGCCAGGTACCGCCATGTTCCCTGGGAGAGCAGCGCTGCACGAGGGCAGCGGTTTCCTTCGAGCCCCTAGTCTCTACGTTTGTATGTTCGTCGTGTCTAACAAGGGTTATGGTGCACGTCTCCTCATTCTTCCGATGTCATCCCTACTCGTTCCAAAAGCATTTCCCTTGAGAGGAATGCATTCATTTGTGTATGACACAGTCACTCTCTACCTACCATGAGTCAGGCACAGGCACATATTGGGTTATGAGGGTGAGCTCGATCACCTCTGCCCCAGATGGGTGCAGACTAATAGACCCAAGCCTGTTGAAAAATGATGGCAAGTGTGATGCTTTAAAGGAAAAATGCATGGCATGATGGACGCAGGTAATAGGAGGAAGTTTGGAGACAGGGAAGTGATGGCCTTGTTTTAAGGGTGGAAGTAGTTAAGAAGGAAGCACGGGATGATGCTCTCCCTCCATGAAGACAGTAGAGCTGGAATGTGGCTCTCCTGGGCTCTTGCTCACAGCTCTTACTACAGAATCGCAACCAATGCAGCCTCTCCTGTCTGCAGTGGTGCTACTGTGCTTTCAACTGACGAGGAATGGCGACATGAAAGAGTAATCACCCAGAGTGAGCGATTGGGTTCACAGTAAAATAACTGCATCAATTCCTACTTCTTAAGAGCTAGAATAAAGGGGGACGATTTTTAAATTTTTAAATGTTGTGTGCTAACAGTTGATGATACAATGACATGCAGCCTGTATGGTGGCACACACCTTTAATCCCAACACTCTGAAGGCAGAGGCAGGTGAGTATCTGTGAGTTGGAGGCCACCTGGATCTACATAGCAGGCCGTCCGAGACTATATAATGAGATCCTGTCTCAAGAAAAGGATATGGAAATTGTCCCCGCTGCCAATTTCTCTAATTCCTCTCAGCTTCATAGGAAGTTCATTTCCCAGATAATATTATTCCTGAAAAAGTCAACGTGTTAGGAAGATAGGGCAGAAGCCAGATCTCAGCAGAGCACTGGCAGCTTGGCTGATGAGCAAAACAGCAGCAGGAGCAGAATGGGTACTTGGATGCTCCACTACAGCCATGTGCTTCTGAAAGTACTTCACCTGGTGAATAAATCCGAGGGACTCTCCTATTTTTGACATTTAAGCCCACAGAGTATTAAATGTTGCTTTTGACAAACACACTTGATGTTGCATTTTTCTAATAGCAGTCACAATTCTTCAAGTTTTAAAATCCACTTCTGACCATCTTGCCATGAATAACTTCTATTGAAATTCATATCCAGAGTGCTGATAGCAAGACCGAGCATACAGTGTGTCTCCAGTAGCGCTTCTTGTCATTGTTATTGTTGCTGCTGCCTTTAAAAATTGTTACAATTGACATGCATATTCTCAGGGAAGGTGGCTTTCACCCTTTATCATGGTCAGGTACTTGATATCTTATTTAATCTTACTTATTTAGAGCTTTTTGGTTTTTCGAGTCAGGGTTTCTCCGTGTAGTTTTGGTGCCTTTCCTGGAACTCACTCTGTAGACCAGGCTGGCCTCGAACTCACAGAGATCCGCCTGCCTCTGCCGCTGAGTGCTGGGATTAAAGGCATGTGCCACCACCGCCCGGCTATTTAGAACTCTTTTAACATGTCCTTGAAAAATCTGTGTTTTAAAGCTTAGTCTCAGTTGATTTCTTTAAAGCCACGTTTAGAATAGACTGGAGGGCGCATAACTGAAAACATTCCTTGATGATTTTACATGTACTGCCTCCCCAACTGACCTCTGTCTTGGTGAATGTCCAGGAACCGCCAGTTGGAAGGTATCTCAGTGGTAGCGCAGGAGTTCCACGAGACCTTGGAACCGCTGAATGAGTGGCTCACGGCCATCGAGAAGAGACTGGCCAACTCTGAGCCCATCGGAACCCAGGCCCCGAAGCTTGAGGAGCAGATCGCACAGCACAAAGTAAGACGTGTCACGTGTCAGTGAGGCTCCGTTTTTCATTTATTTCATGGGTTATATGTCATGTGTTTGTTATTTTAAGCATAATTGCAACACTGAATCCATTTTAAAATCATCCTTTTGGTTCTGTTTACGTTTTCATTTGTCCATTCCTTTCTGTTCTGTTTTGTTTTCCCTTTTTGAACTTTGTTTAGGCTTTAGAAGATGACATCATCAATCACAATAAACATTTACACCAGGCTATTAGCATTGGCCAGTCCTTAAAGATTTTGAGCTCCAGGGAGGATAAAGATATGGTGCAGAGTAAACTAGACTTCTCTCAAGTGTGGTACTTTGAGATTCAGGAGAAAAGCCACAGCAGGTCTGAGCTCCTCCAGCAGGCCCTGTGTAACGCTAAGATTTTTGGGGAAGATGAAGTGGAGCTGATGAACTGGCTGAACGAGGTGCATGGCAAACTGAGCAAGCTCTCAGTCCAGGATCACAGCGCTGAGGCGCTATGGAAACAGCAGTCCGAACTTCGGGTACCTTCATTTATTTCGTTTACCTTTTTTTTTTTTTCATTTCAGTTGTTGTTATTCATTTTTATTAGTTGTGTGTTATTTTATGTCCATTATGATTCATTATTCTCACAATAGACTTGTTCTTGTGTATGCAGGATGCTTTTAATGACACATTATTGAATTCATCCATTTAGCTGACATTTTCACTGCTTAGTCAGTGTGATTACTGTTGTATTTGAGGGCCCATAATGAGCCAGTACCTCAGTACCCCCACAAAGGCAATTTTTATAAGGCCCTCGGTGTCTTCTAAAAGGGGAGTGCTGCAAATCATAGTAGATGAGCCCGGGGTGTGGAACACGGGTGGGTGGAGGCGGGGGGGGGGGGGGGGGGGGGGGGGGATGGTAAACGGACATTTAAAAGTGGTCGGTGTTTCTGTAGATCTGTCCATAGAGCCAAGTGAAAGTTCTCTGAGGCTAATGAGTGCTACTGCTGATTTAAATTGGTTTTCCCCTGCTTCCGTGTAAGTGGTGCCTGTGTTTTTAGGCTCTACAAGAAGACATCCTCCTCAGGAAACAGAATGTCGATCAGGCACTGCTGAATGGTTTAGAGCTGCTTAAACAAACCACAGGTGAGATGCCCCTGGCTCGGGTTGTCCACAGACGGCATCCTACAGTGCTTCTAGGGTATTTGAAGGATGGGGGTGGGGGAAAAGACAAAATAAGTTTTACTTTTTGAGACAGCTCTAAGACTTCATTCTGCAGAATGTTCTCAAGGTCAGTCGAGACTTTAAATGTGATCTCACTTTTTTCTCATGATCTCACTTGTGTTCTTGGTGGACGCTGTGTGTATTACTCATAGCATAAAGTACTTGGCATAGGAGCTGGTCGGAGAAGCCTGCACTCCAGCCATATTAATCCTCCACTGTTGGAAGACATGAGCTTCGACAGTTTGCTTTGTTTTAGGGTAGATTGCATTGCAGTGGTGCTTGTTCACGTAGTCCACAGGTTTAATTTCTCCGTGCTTGAGCCACCAAGAAAACAGATGCATGGCTTAATACGTCCATGAGAGGCTTTTGAACAACTCAGAGAAACTAATAAGTTAGCTTAGCAATTCTCTTGGCTTAGGAAAGTCCTTATCTATTTCAGCAACGTGTGTGTGCGTGGGGCAATTATCATTCATTGTGGCTAAGGACATGCGATAAAGTATCTAGAACTTTGAATTGGAAGTCTGAAGCTTAGGGCGTAATTTATGTCTGTCTGAAAAGGAAGTAGAGGCAGATAAAGATCCCCGGGAGTGTGAAAGTGAGTAATGATGAGCAAGTACAGGAAGGTTAAATATCCTGCCTGACGTAACCCCACTCACAGGCCATGCTATCAGTGGCCTGAGTGCAGGCAAGTTTAGCCCTCACTCTTTGAAGACAGAAAGCTTTGTAAGGTACATAAAACACTGCACCTAACCGAAGTTTCTGTAGCCATTTCCATTTCTGTTTTTAGGGATAATACCATGGCTAGACATCCTGGGGAGGAAGTAAGGACATCTTTTGGGTCAGATCATCTTTAGAAAAATGTCTCCTCTTTCCCCCAAAGCATATCATCAGTAGTGCCCAAAGAAACCCTCTGCCCTCGCCTCGTGTATCCTTCTATCTGTAAGAAATCCTGTGTCTTTTGAAATTTTAGGTGATGAAGTTTTAATAATTCAGGATAAGTTGGAAGCCATTAAAGCAAGGTACAAAGACATCACCAAACTGAGTGCCGATGTAGCCAAGACTCTGGAACACGCTCTGCAGCTCGCCAGACAGTTGCAGTCCATGCACCAGGAGCTGTGCAGCTGGCTGGACAGGGTGGAGGTGGAGTTGCTCTCCTACGAGACGCAGGCCCTGAAAGGAGAAGCCTCAAGCCAAGTCCAAGAGAGACAGAAAGTACGCCTCTGTGCATCTCAAATGCATCGGCTACCCATGGGGGGAGGATGTGTGAGGATTCCAGTTATAGTTGTCTTGGTGGGTGGGCCCTGGTGGAAACAGGCAGTGAGGTGACTGTTCAGACAGAGTGTGGAGTTCGCTGTCACACTCATGTGACTGGAAATATAGTTTCCTGCCCAAGATAGAATGATGAGGAAGGAAAAACAGAAAAAGAAGATGGTCCTTGTTTCAGAGATTTGTAATTTGGTTGGAAAAGCATTTCTATCAGAGATGGGTAGCCCGGGTGGGTTTTCTGGCAACATCACAAAAATTCACTGCCTCTCCAAGCATTCTTTTCAGATCCCACAGGGGTGGAAGGGACTCAGTGAGGCTGCAGTGGTGGACACCAGCACACGTCCTCACTGCAAGCAACGGCTTTCTTGTTTTGTTTTTGTTACCTGATCACTTACATAATAACTTGTTTGGGTTTGTTTTTCCAAACTGTAAATATTTATTTTCCATTTCAAAGATACAATCTTGCCATGTTGACAAATGAGCTGTTCTCTAAACTTCTCTGGAAACACTTTCATTTTTGCAAAATAGCTACAAATCATGGAAGTTTATTTAGCTCAGATGAACTAGCCAGGCCAAGTACAGCTTTGTCAGCCAGCAGAGGACCCCCAAGAACAGAGGAGAGCCTGCCCAAACGTTTAAGTACAGCTGTGTCAGCCAGCAGAGGACCCCCAAGAACAGAGGAGAGCCTGCCCAAATGTTTACCCGTATGTGCGTATGTTTTCAAGGAACTGAAGAAAGAAGTTAAGAGCAACAAAGCCTTACTGGATTCTCTTAATGAAGTGAGCGGCGCTTTGTTGGAACTGGTACCCTGGAGGGCAAGAGAAGGACTCGAGAAAATGGTAGCTGAGGACAATGAGCGCTACCGATTGGTGAGCGACACCATCACTCAGAAAGTGGAAGAGATCGATGCTGCCATTCTGCGGTCTCAGCAGGTAGGACCCCAGTACCCTGTTTTCTGGGCCACAGACATTCTCCAACTGCCCAGGGTCTCTACCTGAACAAGCATGTCTAGTGCTGCGTTTCCATTCTGATCACTGTGCTTCAGAAATGAACTCAGGGATTTTAATATAATTTTGCTGGGCTACGTCTGAGCACGAGGGCACTGCTAATCTGCATATGACCAATAACCATCTGCCCCCATTACGTCATAGACAGCACTCTGCCACACACAGGAAAGCCCTGCTTTCCAAACCGAATGCTTTGTATCTGTGTATGTGCATGTGGCTCATACTAGCGTTGTGCCTAGACTTAACCTGATGTATCTGTAAGTTAATAGTTTGAATTAGTATGTAGGTCCGTATTAACTGTTTGCTGGTATGCTGCTACAGCAAGAAAAAGTCTTTGTTTTTTGAAAGGAAAGAGTTTTCTTGGTGACGTAGAATTTTCTTCCAAAGATGACTAAAAGGGAAAAAATGATAATTTCTGACCTGCCTGTGGCTTACGCAGTTTCTACTCCCAAGTTTTAGAGAATTCTGCTGTTAGCCACAGCCCTGTGGGAAATGGCGGGCCGTGAAGTGGGCTTAGAAGTTGATTGTGCATAGTTAAGCCTCTGTTGAAATCTTTGTGGCTATTTACATTAAGTCATCAGGTTTGGATGGCAAACTTTGTATGGGGCTATATGATTTGGTAGGATACCTCAAGCGGGAGATGGGTGACTAACCTCTTCAGTCACACCAGGCAGAAGCAGGAAGCACAGACAGACTGCGGGAGAGAGTCTCCAAAGCTGGTTTTCTAGCATTGTGTAACTGTAATTTGTAGGTTCTAAAGCTCCATGCTCTGCCCTTACTTTCATAGTCGAGGATCACAAAGGCTGACAGCAGACCGCTATAGCAAGGCCCTGCCTAGGAAGTTTCTGTGAGGGGCATTCATGCCTGAGGAATGTGTTGGCCTGCCTAGTTTACAGTTTTCAGGGATGTGTATGCCTCATTGTTGTAGGAAAGTGGGTATATTTATTTGTGAAGTTTATTCAGCTATTTTAAAATACTGACTTTTTTTTTTTCCATTAAAATTTATCTGAACATCTCCGGGCCGGCACCAAAGCCTTCTCTGAGTAACAAGACAAATATTCTGTCCTTTGGGTGCACTGTTTTCTTGAGCAGTTGACTGTTCAGTTAGTTGAGTGATATGAAGCAGATACAGGATGAATTACAAGTTGAGTTCATATTAGTTAGCATGCATTGAAGCTTAATCAGGTTAATGTCATTGTTCTTAAACCTAAACTATTAAAATATCCATCCTTAAAGAAAACAGTATTGACCAGGCATGGTGGCCTACACCCTTAATCCCAGCACTCCGGAGGCAGGGGCAGATGAATCTTCCTAGTTTTTATATGGATTTACACTTTGATTTCATCTGCCTGTACCCGTTTTCAGTGTGGCAGAAGTGACTGGGAGTGCGGCCAGGGAGGTGAAAGCTCAGGTTCCCTCAGGCTCTAGGGCACATGTCTCATTTTTGTCGTGTGGGACTGGTCATTCCCCTCTCTGCACCGTGAGGGAGGCCATAATGGCCTAACACAGAGTGGTGAGGAGAACTCTGTCTCTTCACTTGGTCTGTTATGACGCCACCAGAGTGGAGCAAAGGAGAGTGCCTCATCACTGCCTGACAGTGACTCCAGACTCCACAGTACCATCCTCCCTTTACACTGTAGGAGGGAACTTAGTTTTGAGTCAATGGGGATAAAACTTGGGCTCCTGCTTAACCTCATCCTGAAGGGGATATTAGGAACAATGTCACAGACTCAAGAGCGAAATCCTCGGCTCCTCATGCTGCTTCTCTTGGCATGAGTGACCGGGGCTGCCATTTCGCTCCTGGGCATTCGATTGACTTGGAGGGAGTATTGTCTGTTTACTGCCTTGCTAGGCTGCCCCTCCCCTGCCTGTGTCCTCTGGCTAGGGAGAACAGGACTCTCCCGGGGCTGCGTCTGTATCCATTGGTGTGTGGGGGCTGCTTGTTCTGTGCTTCATCTTGGGTAGGTGAGGCACAAAGAAATACACCCTTGGGGTGTTGATCCCCGGGACCCAAGGTCCAAGGTGCTCTGCTTCCCTCCTCATGTTGCAGGAGCACTCTATATGTCATGCCGGCATTCTACTTGCCTTGGAATGAGGAAAGTTGATCCGTTCCATTTTCCCATGTGTTTACATTGTGACAATGTAGACTCTTTAAAGTAGAATTATTTTCTGACTTACTTTTCAGCCCCACCCTTCTCTTTTCTTACCTAATTGTCCTCTTCTGCTCCCACTTTGGGAAGTAGGACACTCGGGCAGGGCTGGATTCCACCAGCTGAAGTGTCCATCCTGTCCATTCCTCCAGCTGAGGAAGTGTCCATCCTGTCCATTCCTCTAGCTGAAGAGGTGTCCATCCTGTCCATTCCTCCAGCTGAGGAGGTGTCCATCCCATCCGTTCCTCCAGCTGAAGCTCTCGCGCTTCGCATCTCTCTGTGGGGGTGACAGTATCACTCACCCACCTTTTGATCCCTGCTCAGTTCAGAACAGCACTGAGAGTTTATCTGATGCAAGATACTAAGAATGCGCCGGGCGGTGGTGGCGCACGCCTTTAATCCCAGCACTCGGGAGGCAGAGCCAGGCGGATCTCTGTGAGTTCGAGGCCAGCCTGGGCTACCAAGTGAGTCCCAGGAAAGGCGCAAAGCTACACAGAGAAACCCTGTCTCAAAAAACCAAAAAAAAAAAAAAAAAAAAAAAAAGATACTGAGAATGCTTGTGCTCTTTGACAACACAAAGGGACAAAAACGAAATGTGGGGAATATTCCTAATAAATGAGAAAAACTGGATATGGAGTGTCCATATGGTATTTTACAAGTCTGACTTTCCCAGCCACTTAATTGCCAACAATATGAACTCTGGATTTTAATTTTCTTCTGTTTATTTTTCCATGCTTTGAAATTTTCTGCCATGCCTATGATTTAATGTTACGACGAGGAAAATAAACTGGAACATTTCGGAATGATCTTGTGCATGTTTAAAGTCCAGCATTAAATGAGATGTTTACATGAATTGTTTGAGTGTATTCTTCATACACAGATATAACTATTTGCACATGCATTTATATATGCATATATATATATGTATATGCACATACAATAAAGAAATGGGAATCTTTCATTCTTTTATCAGGAGCCAGGGACTTTGATGGCACAGTGCTACCTGCCCATCTGAGAATTGAAGTCACAGGAAAAAATAACTTAAAAATGGTATCTTATTATCAGCTTTTAAAACAGTTATGTTTGGATACTGAGACGCCTGAACAGAAGGCCACAGAGCCAACTGTCCTTACCTCTGTGCTCTGTCTGTTAACCATACAGCAGGGCATAAGGGCTTTGTCTGTTAACCATACAGCAGGGCATAAGGACTGGTGGACAGAGTTCTCTCTATCACTCAGTCACTCATGATTTATTTTAGCATGCTATGAAAAGAGAAACTGAGCGTCTCCAATTAGGAAAGGGAGTATTTAGAAGCAACGTAAATAGGTAATTTTTCTGGCACCAGCCACAGGAACTTGCTGACCTAATTATTATCTTTTGTTTAGTTTGAGCAAGCGGCAGAGGCTGAGTTATCCTGGATTACTGAAATAGAGAAGAAGTTAATGTCTCTGGGTGACATCAGGCTTGAGCAAGACCAGACCTCTGCTCAGCTGCAGGTTCAAAAGGTGAGGAAATACATTTTCAGTTGTCGTCCAAGATATGCGTCGCCAGGCTCCGTCCGAGTCTAGAAAATACATTCACGTGGTTTTGCTTCCCAAGACTCTGTCAGGGTAACTTGCTATTTTCAACTTTGTATTTTGTCTTTGTTTGGTAAATCACAGGCATTCACCATGGATATTTTGAGACACAAGGATATTGTTGATGAACTTGTTAAATCTGGACATAAAATCATGACCACATCTAGCGAAGAGGAAAAGCAGTCAATGAAGGTACCACCTTGTCCGTATGCTAGGCAGTGAGCCTCCAATGAATAGCATCCACTGAGCACTGAATTCCGGAAGGGCACCTTCGCTGTATCTGCAGCTTCTGTTTAAGCGACAGAATCCTTACATTTAAATCAGGACAGTCTATGTTAATGCATCTGAGCTATTAAAAGTTTCCTTGATTAACTGACACAGACACACATTGAGCATTCAATCGATCCAATCAATATTAGCTGTATTACTCTTATGATGCTTAGGAGATTCGTCAGCTATGGGCCGTACACTTCAGGAACATTTGCAACTTTTAAGCTGAAATAAAATCCAAAACACATAGATCTTCATTCTGTCTAAAGTTACTCTAAGCCAATAGGAACAGTGATCTAATGGCTAAGGAAGAAATGGGTATATGTAGTTTTAGTAATTCTTCAGATTGGTAGAAAACCATCCACAGGTAGAAGTTAGTTCAACCTTAATGGACATCTGAGTACCTTAAAGAAATGACTGAGTGTTAATACCTCCAGCTAAGTGTGTGACCCCAAATAATGATATACAGACATCCATGCCTTAAATTGCATTTTAGATAAAATACATTCCTTTTCAGGTAGACCACAGGTAAAATTACAGATTATATGATATAATGATACTTTTTCTTTTCCATTTGTACAAGGGCAGGTTATTAGTCTATAACTAAGTATTATTTTTCAAGAACTCAGAAATAGAAAATGCAGGTCACCATGAAAGAATTTCCGTTTCGACTTGTAGTTTCTCAGGCTGTTATCCTTTCTCCTCCTCGTATTTTATTGTGAGCTCACATTGCACTCTCAGATAACTGTACCTCACAACACTAGTGTATAGCACAGTGGCCTACGTTGATTCCCATGCATGTGATTGATTTTTATTTTTAATTGATTTTTGTCCTTATGATTTCATTTGTAAAAGATGGTCTTCCTTTTCCCCCCAGATAATAATGTCAATGCTGGTAGACTTGTATGAAACTTACTTTCTAACCCTGAGAACAGTGTAAGAGTACTGGAGAATTCTGCTTCTTGTGTCTGCAGAATTCAGTGATACTTGTGTAACAATTCGAGTGCCCTCTTTAATTTAACATGGATGTGTGCACAGAAACAGTTAATATGAAAGGTTCCTTTTATTTATTTATCTCGTATACATTTGTTGTGTCCCTACTCTGTGCCACACATTCAGAACTAGTCAAAGCATTCTGAACTACAACGTCCAACCCAGCAAACATGCTTCCTCATCTCGTTTTCTAGAAAAAACTGGATAAGATATTGAAGAACTATGATGCCATCTGCCAGATAAACTCAGAGAGGCACCTGCAGCTGGAGCGGGCACAGTCCCTCGTTAGCCAGTTCTGGGAGACGTACGAGGAACTCTGGCCGTGGCTGACAGAAACACAAAGAATCATCGCCCAGCTGCCTGCCCCAGCCCTGGAATATGAAACTCTGAGACGGCAGCAGGAAGAGCACCGGGTGAGAGCTGGAGAGAGAGCCATTAACCAGGGTAGTGGTGTTGATGGTGTGTGTAAAGAGCCGTTAGACACGTACAGAATCAGGGCGTTTTGATGATGATGATGATGATGATGATGTCTGCACTCCCTCACAGCTGGTGAGCTGCCACACACTGCATACATCACAACTTTCATACAGTAGTGTGTACTACAGCCTGTCTGGGTGGAAAAATAATACCATTTGAAAATGTTAGCAACATAAGCTTTTGAGGTGCTTTCAGTTACATATGTTGAATCGTGTTCCATGTACGTATGTTGAAAACGTTCTGTGCTTTATATGTAGTGACCAGAGCCATCAAAAATATTAAAAAATAGCCGGGCGGTGGTGGCGCACGCCTTTAATCCCAGGACTCGGGAGGCAGAGCCAGGCGGATCACTGTGAGTTCGAGGTCAGCCTGGTCTACAGAGCGAGTTCCAGGAAAGGCGCAAAACTACACAGAGAAACCCTGTCTCAAAAAACCAAAAAAAAAAAAAAAAAAAAATTAAAAAATAGAGTGGAGGTGTACAGAAGAGCCATTATACATACACAGCCATTGAGTTTGGAGGAAACGTACAAGGGCATGCATCTGTCGACACGGCAGTGTCACGAAAGCTATGAGACGGAAACTGGCTGAGGTATCAACACAGGTTGGTGGCTAGGAGGCATGGCCAGCGAGTCCATGCTAGGGCCATCACCACTTCCACTATGTAAGACAGTGACGAGGTGACCTAATCATATGAAGTGGAAGTGGAACTCTGGCATTATGAAACCATGCCTCTAGCTGTCACTTAACTTTTGATATCACTTGACACAAGAGTTTGGTTGAGAGAGGGTTCGAGTCTCAGGAAAAGATCTGGAGTTCTTCATGTTTGCGGGCTTGAGAACCCAGTTGTCCTTGATCTGTACACGATGAATTCAGAGACTGATCAGGAGAGGGCGGGAATCAACCCAGGATGTGCTACAACATCTTGTAGAAGATATGATGAACTTAGTACTTTTTTAGAGATTTGCTTACTTTTATTCTGTATATTTGGGTCTGTTGCCTGCACCACGTGTGTACGGCGCCCCAAGGCCAGAAGAGGGTATTGTATCCTCTGGTTCTGGAGTTCTAAACAGTTGTGAGCTGCCATGTGGGTGCTGAGAATCAAAACCAGGTCCTCACAATAGCAGCAAATGCTCTTATGCACAGACAGAGTCACTTCCCCGGCTCCTGCCCGTTGATCTTGTTCCTTTACCTCTTTAACACATGGGCATGGAAGACTGTCTGTAGCTGAAACACTTATTCAGATGAGAGCTTAGAAAAACAGTTTAAAGCCAAACTAAATTTTTGCAGTCTCATCTAAACCATTCAACTAGCAAAAGACTTACAAATGGTGTCGAATTGAATTCAGTTCCAGTATAAAGGTGTGTTGTCTCAGAATCCTGGTCGTTGTTCATTGAATGACTCAGTATAAAATGGACCATAAACATCTCTATCATAGGTGATTTAAATAACTGCTTTTAGAATAACACCTAATGGTAAGAAATGGTTAATTAGCTAAAATCTTAAAAATAGAGTGATTTTTCTCTTTTGCGTAATCTCTGAACTTGTAAAGCAAACATATGGTTATATATATCAAGGGAAAGACAAAGCTTTTATAGCCTTATATGTCTCCAAACTGTTCATACTGAATAGTTTTTTGCAGCCCTCAAAAAGCATTTCTTTTCTAAGTCCAAATCTACTGATTAGGGGGAAGACCTGTCTAGAAATGAAAACGGCCTCCAGAGGCTGTGTTATCAAGTGTTATAGGCCTGTAAGTCATGTGAGATTTCTCCAGCATCATGACCTCAAGAATTATTTGGTCACATGTGAGGCAAAGGCATGTGGTTTCCACACTCCCCACCCCTCACCCCTGAGAGAAGTTCTCCCTATGTAATCCAGACTGGCCTTAGATTCACCATCCTCCTGCCTCAGCCTCCTGACTGCTGGAATTACAGGTGTGTAATACCACATCCAGGCAAAGGCTGTTTGCTCGTACACACACACACACGTCCAAGTAGGCACCTAGTAAATGTTCTCTGGCCTGTCACAGGATGCCATATAAAAGGCTCATCGCACTGCCCCCAGGTTAAGTCACCTCAGCAGCACCACACAGACAAGCTGGCCAGGCAGTTCAAGAAACCTCAGCTGGGGCCTTGCATTTCCCTTGAGAGTCTTGGCTATTGAGTTTAGAGTTATTTTCCAAGCATTGCCTTCTGCAATACAAGAGTAGAACATACATGTAACTTCGTCAGCTCTCTTTACCGTGTGATTTCGTTTTGGCTGATGGAGCCATTACCACCTCCAGTCTGTGATTCAGCACAAGGAATATGGAATGAAAATAAGATCTAGACCAGAACACACATGAGGTAGATTGCCACTGTGGCTCGCCCATGCTCTCCCATGCAGCATGTTAGCTGAGACATACCACACACAGACTTTTATAATTGACTTTGTGTGTAGGAATATTTTCAGTAGGCTTTCAGAACAACTTCAAAGCAGCAAAACACCTGTACCTTGTCTCTAGACTGCCTTTCCTGAGTGTCAGCCCTCTCAGAAGCTCCTTCTAGAGGCTGTGCGCACACGGACTGGGGAAACACTAGGGAAGGACAAGGGCCTGCTGATGAGGGCCAAGTGGAAGCCCTCCACTTAGAGGCTGGCCTGAGAGACTCTTAAAGAAAGGGTTCCCGTGGGAATGGTTCTGGAGTGGCCCCAGGAAGCACTGCTCCTCAGAGGTCCCAGCTTTGTTCTGGCTCCCAGCACCTCAGCCGATTTACAGTTGTGACTCCACTTAAATTCAACAATTCACTTGAATTACACTGCTCTACTCCACAGTGTAAACAGCGGGTCTCTCTCAATTAAGCGACATTTCTTAGGATACACATTTTCTTTAACTATACCTTATAATAATGCTCAACATATGGTTGTGTGTTTGATAAATCCATTACATTTGAAACGTTTACAGTTTACAGTAACAAGCAGGGGGCTGGAGAGATGGCTTGGCTGTTAAGAGCACTTGCTGCTCCGAGAGAGATCTGGTTTACGTTCTCAGCACCCACATGGCAGCTCACCACCTTACCTGTAACTACACGTACACACACAAATAAATGTAATAAATTAACTAATGGAAATGAATTGATACATTTAGTGTCTGTATGTCATGTATATATGGAATAGTTTCTAATATACATACGTCATATAATGTAACATATATGAGCATCCATCTGATACTGGTTCACAGGTGTGTGAATGGAGTGCCTGTGGGCTCAGGTCACTGTCATACCTCTCTTGAGATTTTTAAAATCCTGGTATTGTGTCTTTCTTCCCCACTGACGGTCTTCCTAGTCTCGACGTCCCCTCCCCCAGTCATTTCCGTATGTATTACGAATGTGCAGAAAGTAGCACCCTAACCTAAGCCATGGCCCCGCCAAGGAGCTCAGACTCCTCTGCTGCAGCTGATGATGCTCTCGTGAAAATGGGCAGCTCTTGCTGTGGCGTGCACAGTCACCGTTTCCTTTAGTGCCGTTTCCTCTGTGTCCCGAAAGGCACGTGACTGGACAGTTGTCCGGTCCCGTGTTGGGGTTTCTCCTCCTTGCAGAGACGTGGATACGTGCCCTGCAGCGGGCAGAGCATTGTTTAGCGTTTCTTGTCAGCTGCATGCGTTGGAGGTGGGATCGGTTGTAACATGGAGGTGTGACTCTGAGATACTGAGAAGCTGTTTGGTTTATTATAGCAACTGCGAGAACTGATAGCCGAACACAAGCCTCACATAGATAAGATGAACAAGACCGGGCCGCAGTTACTGGAATTGAGCCCAAAGGAAGGCGTCTATATCCAAGAAAAGTATGTGGCAGCCGACACCCTTTACAGCCAAATTAAAGAAGATGTCAAAAAGCGAGCCGTGGTACTCGACGAAGCCATTTCCCAGTCAACTCAGGTAACCCTTTACACCAGGAAAATATTAATTTCTTCCCCACAGCCAAGCACACAAAGCATTTTCCTGGACCCTGTGATTGAATTTCATCTTCAGTGATGTATTGACTATATTGCCTCTGAGTATAGTGCCTTTTCTCTCAGAAATGGTGTTTGCTGGCAGCCAACGCTTGGGTTCCTCTGCCTGCCTCAGGGTACAATAAAAAAGAAATTTCAGCGAGTAGGAAACCTACCTGCAGCAATGGTCAGATGCTTGCTCCCATGTCCATCATAAGTGGAACACAGTCTTTGACATTGGGGAGAGAAAAGAAAGTATTTCAGTCATTATTAGTAAAATATTTCCAAGAAGGCATTTAGAGGAAGTCCTGAGCAATAAGCCAGATAAATAAAGATAAGAATATTAAGTAGGCAACAGTTTTTGTAAATAGCACTTTTTAAGAAATTGACTCTTTGAATACCTATAGGGTTTTGGTTTTTGTCATTAGATCCTGGCGTTGGGGGGTGGCATTTTCTGTCATCCTGTTGTGTGTTCTAGTGCCCCCTCTGATGCCACAGGAAATCACTCTGGTCAGAAGCAGCACAGGGGAGGAGTGGGTTTGTTTCATCTTCTACTTCCGGGTCACAGTCCCTCTTTGTGGGATGGCAGGGCAGGAGCTTAGCAGGACTGGAAACAGAACCCATGGAGGAACACGGCTTGGCGGCTACTCAGAGGCCCTGCTTAGCTAGCTTTCCTGCAGCCCTGCACCATCTGCTTGGGAATGGTGTCACACACAATGAACTGGGCCCTCCTTCATCAATTACCTATGAAGCCTGTCCTCCATAGACATGCCCACAGGCCATCTGATCTGGGAAGTCCCTCAAGTGAGACTTCCTTCTCAGATGACTCTAGGATGTGTCAGTTGACAGTTCAAACTACCTGGGACAGTGTTGGCTCACCCAACTTTGAGGCTAGTAGAGAATGTAACAGTAAACACGGTTTTATGACATTGTGGATGATGCTTTTACAAATATAAAATTAAAATTAATTGTTTCCTATCTCTAATTGTATTTTGGCCATGAATTAGATACAAACTTTGGATACAACCTTGGGCATATTTTTATTTTGTTTAATTTTACATTTTTTTTAATTCAAGAAATATATAACTCAAGGAATCCCTTGAATCTAATCAAAACCACCTATGAATTTTGCATACACTTGTATAATGTTTGAGGATTTCAAAATGATCTTTTTAAATGATCAGTTTTGACAGCCAAATGTGCATCTTACCACCACCACCACCACCCCAAAAAAAAAGTTGAAATGTAAAATTAGGCAACAGGTTAAAATTCATATTGCTGCCAAGGAACGATACTTAATGAATACATTCAATTATAGATGGGAAACTCGGTATTCTATTCATAAGTATGTCACACAGAAGTGCACAGAGGTCATGACCTTAGGCTTCATACACCAGCTGGATGTAACTTTGCATGGAATTGTTGGCAAAGGGTCTTTAGTCTTTAACTGAAGGAAATTTTACAGGAGACGTTACAATGACCCCATTGGGTTTTTTGTGTTTGTTTGTTTGTTTTTTGTTTTTGTTTTTGTTTTTAGTTTCATGACAAGATCAACCAGATCCTCGAGAGCCTGGAGCGTATCATGGAGCGTCTGAGGCAGCCACCGTCCATCTCCGCAGAGGTTGAAAAGATCAAGGAACAGATTGGTGAAAATAAGAGCGTGTCTGTGGACATGGAGAAGCTGCAGCCACTGTATGAGACGCTGAGGCAGCGGGGAGAGGAGATGATTGCCAGGTCTGAGGGCACCGAGAAAGACATATCTGCTAAAGGTAGTCATTCTGGAGTGATGGAGGAAACTCAGCTTTCCTTTATTTGGTTGGTTGGTTGGTTTGATTTTTTTTTTTTTTTTTTTTTTTTTTTTTTTTTTTTTGACATAGGGTCTCACCCTATGTAGCACTGACTGGCCTGGAACTCTCTATGTAGGCCAGACTGGCCTCAAACTTACAGAAACCCATCTGCCTCTACCTCCCAAGTGCTGGGATTGAGGGCACGCCACCTCACCCGGCCTCAACATGACTTTTAAAACAGCTCTAGATTTGTACGCTGTTCACTGCCCACGTGACTGCGTAACAGACTGCCAGGTCTCCGAAGAGTTTGCACGGCCGTGTGTCCCTGTACAAAAGTCCTTTGATGGCTTCCTCAGTTTGTGAGGTCACTTGGCTGAAGACAAAACGTGGTTATATGGAGACCATGTGTCCTCTGAGCCTCTTGGGCTCTCAGACCAAGTTAATGCTAATCAGCCAAGGCTGGGGATACAGTTTTAGTATCGTATCTAGCATGCCTACTCTATTCCATAACCACCAGAATGGTAACCATAGCCATCCATATTAGAGTTGTGCTCTGTGAGTCAAAGGAAGGGTGTGTAGACAGCAGAAATAAGAGTATTCCAGAGGCAAGTCAGAAGTACAAATCCTTGTCCTATTCCTGAGACTGAACAAGCAAATTCATCCTTGGAGAGCATAAGAAAATATGTCTTAGGTTAACTACTTACTGCCTTTGGGATTAAGGCCAGCTTCATGAACTTAAAACTTGGAAAACTTGGGTCTTCTTGAGCCCATGTAGCCTTAAGCATTGACTTTGGTAAGGAAAAGTCTTGATTCAGCCAGAGCAGACCCCTAGATTTTGCACTGTGATAGGTGTTGGCCCAGTGGTAACGCATAGACTACAGTTGGTGAAAACCGGGTCCCTGGTTCTGTGTATTCAGCAAATCAAGTAACTGCTCGCTGTATGAGCTCCAGTTTTGCTTTTGCTGAAAAGACGATAACCAGCATCTTTGCTGACATGGTTTTGCTGTGTAGCCGTGCAGGACAAGCTGGACCAAATGGTTTTCATTTGGGAAAACATACACATGCTGGTAGAAGAAAGGGAGGCCAGATTGCTGGATGTTATGGAACTGGCAGAGAAATTCTGGTGTGACCACATGTCATTGATTGTTACCACAAAAGACACTCAAGATTTCATCCGGGACCTGGAAGATCCCGGGATTGATCCCTCAGTAGTAAAACAGCAACAGGAAGCAGCAGAGGTAAGATAGCACCGATTCTGTACGTGACTGAAAAATTATGCCATTGAAATTTGTATTCGGTTCTGAACGTGGGATTCGCCGTGAGTACCAGAATATAATGGACATGCAGATTCCACCTGGAGATTGTTCTTAAGACCACTTCTCTGCATCCACACTGCTCATGCTTGACCCAGGCCCTCCCATGTAACCTGGAGCACAGGACGTCTGCCGTCGCCAGGCTCTGACCGTGTTCCTGTCTCTGTCCTGCTGCATAAGGCCCCTCAGATGCCCCCACTGTCCGCTGGGTAAAGAGCCCTGACTTGGCAGGGCAGGTGTGTGGCTTTGTACACACCAGATGGTCCCCGTGTGGCCATAGGCACCGTTCTGCTCTTCCTTCTCCTCTGTGCTCTTCTGAGTGTCCACGGTGCCTTACAGTCTTTCTCCTTACCTCAGCATGTCTTTTCTGCCACGGCTGTGATACACTTCAGGGTTTGGTTCGATTGTTACCCACCCCAGACACCTACTGTCTTGTGTGTTTACCTGAGCTACCTGCTGGGCTGTGGGTCCCTGGAGAAGGCTAGGCCGATATTTCCATGTCTAGTGTCTGGTTTAGGGCTTTATTCGTGCTTATTAAATATTCACTGCTGAGTGGGTGTGTTTAACCGTGACAGTGAAAAGCAAGGTAGGCCACCACTTCATTTCTTTTGTGCTATACCAGCAGCTGGCCAGGTGATAACTAAGGTGATGACATACAAGGAACTCCAGAGCTCGCTTATCATGAGTTTTCCAGCAGATACATCACTTTGCATAAAAATCTTTGTGCTCATATTTTACTGGTGTCTATTTTGAAAACATACAGGCAAACTAGCGGTGAAAAACAGTGTCTTTCGGTGCTTTACCGTATTTGGGGTATTTTTTAAACTTCTCTGGTATTTTGTCTTTATTAGTGAAGATTTGGCATTAGAGGGTATTATTTTCTCTAAAGTATTTTTTTTGTTTTCTTGTTGAGAAGATGACTATAGGAACTTGAGAAATGAGAGAAAATGAAATGATGCTGATTTCACCTAGGAATCCCTATGCCAGCTCTGTGTGATATCTTTTCTTGGATTTGGTTTGGTTTTACATGGTGTTCTGAGGCTCTGTTTTGAATTCTAGGCAATAAGAGAGGAATTTGATGGCCTGCAAGAGGAGCTAGACCTGGTCACCACACTGGGCTCTGAGCTGATCGCTGCCTGTGGGGACCCTGATAAGCCCATTGTCAAGAAAAGCATAGACGAGGTACTGATGACTTGTTTTCCACTTTCATAAGAATACCTTTCTCAAGACTTAGCAGCTAACATCTGTGTGTTACAAATAGTTTAAATTATAAATTTGACACTCAAAGGATTGGACCATTTGTTTTATAGTTAAATTCAGCCTGGGATTCTCTAAATAAAGCTTGGAAAGACCGGGTTGACAAACTGGAAGAGGCCATGCAGGCTGCCGTTCAGTACCAAGATGGATTGCAGGTAAGGTGGTTGCCACGTCCTCTCGTCTTAGCTGGAGACAGGAATCTTGCTTATTGATGTACATTGACGCTTTGGGACCATCCCAATCCTGTGACTCTATGTGTGGTTGCAGACAAATCTGTTCCTGTAATGCCACAGCTAGTTTGACTCAATCTTTTCAGAAGGTATTTCTTACCTATCAGACATACGGATTTATAAGCACATGTAAACATGGATTTGTGCACACGTCAGTGGTATTTACTTTGCAAAGAAGTAGTCTGATTTTTTTTTCTTTAAGTGAAAGTAAATATTCCCACACAGTATTTTTCAAAAACAGTTGAGCACCAGGCAGTGAAGTAACATGGAACAGAGTCTGAGTTCTCTTCTAAAGTGAAATAAAATGAAAGAAATAAACACGGGCTAAAAATACCACCAAGTTTAACTGAAGTCAGAATTAAGAGACCTGACGTGAAGCCAGTGTTTTCTCTGTGTACTAAAATAGATTTTTATTTTATTGGCTCATAACTGGGTGTATCAAGGTGCTTTCTTTCTTTTTTCCATATATGTGATTGTTAAAACAGTTGTTCCTTGCGTCTCTTCAAGGTTCTCATTCAGTTCATTAGCCAGATAGAAACTGTTCTTTTAATATTAGGGTTCTCTTGAGGCCAGCTCAGGGGAATTTCTTCCCTTCCTCCCTCCTTGTCCTATTTCCTAACAGGTTGGCAGGAGTTTAATCTCCCAGACTTCTTACCGCATGGAAAAACCTCTCTTAAGTATTTCCATAACACTTAAGTGAATATTATTTTTTGAAGCTCATATGAGAACATTTTTTCCTTTTTCATTATGCCGTTTCGCCCTATATTTGTAAAAATAAATGTCACCAGCCAGGCTTTATCTCAGCAGAAAGGGTTTTAAACTTTGGAAATGCATGAAATTTTTCGTGATATAAAACACCTTATTATAACTCCTGTACATGTGTATACACTTGCACACACACCCCACCCTAAGCAAAGTAACGATTTCTTGCTTAAATAACCAATGGCCAATGATAGCCACTTGGGGCTCCCATCTTTGTGTGTAAGGCTGCGTCAGAATGGCAAGTCTTCTGGGTAGCATTGTCTTCCATGGCTAGAGATGGTACTGCTACTATGTGAGGTCATTTGGGAGCCATGGGCAAGACACCGTGATTTGACACACACTCCTCACCAACAGCAAGAGACATAAGGTCCATCATAGGTCCTGTTGGTCATGAATGGCAACTTGGGTTACTAAATGGCTGTAGCTATAATTATAATGTGGTGCTAGGTACTCCATAAGGGTCAAGGCTTGATTAAAAGATAAGATGCATTTTCTTCCCAAGTTGCTGCTTAAGTAATTAGGTTTGGTTAATGGTTATATAAATATATCAGATAGTTTATAAGTTTTCTCTTCTTCCGTCATCTTCATTAAAATGTGAAATAATTTGGTTATACCTTTAATTCGGTTCATTACCTTTAAAAAAAAAAAATGTGTGCTTTGTAGAATGAGTAGAAACCTAGAAAGAATATACAAACTAGTGGACTCTGAAGTCTGTCTCAGTTCACGGTAATGATAGTCACATGTGTGTGCAGGATTTTAATGGTAACCTGAGTAGAATAGAAAGGTTAGGTGACCCGCAGTGACCTTCTTGGTTATTTGAATAAGTCGATACATTTGGATCTTCTCCTTTTAGGATCTTTTTATATAAGCAAATGGGAATTTTCACTTCTGTGACTGAATATATAAACTTTTTCAAATGAACTTTTCTCGGAAAGTGCTTGATAGTTTAAGAATAGGGTTCTTTGGCCAGCTTTGGTGCAGAATTGGAGGTGACATTTACTTGGCATTTGAAGAGCTGGCTTATATTAAAGCTTTTATTCAGGTGAACTATCTTAGTTTTATAAAGTAGGCGCCTTTTGTAATTTCTTCTAGTTATTGCCTTTCCCCATAACACCAGAACCACGGCCATTTCAGAGCTACTGTTATAACACAGGGGAAATGTATCTTTCAGGCAATATTTGACTGGGTTGATATCGCAGGCAATAAATTAGCCTCAATGACTCCAATTGGAACGGATCTTGAGACCGTCAAGCAACAGATTGAAGAGCTGAAGGTATGTTTGGGGCTCCTGGTTGGTATAGGCCTGCCTATATTTTTAAGTTACTGATCCACCAAATTTCTCACTTACATTTGTTCAATTTACATAATTAAAACATTATATATTGGCTTCAAAATTATATTATTTATTTCTATGCCATGTATTTATTTATTTGTTTGTGTGTTTGCACGCAAGTGTGCCACACATGTAAGGAGGACAGAGAACAGCTTGTGGTCGTCGGCTGCCCTCTCCTCCCACCACGTGGGTCCCGAGGATCAAGCTCAGGTCATCAGACTTGGTAGCAAATACCTTCTTCCCCACCGAGCTATTTCACAGGCCCTACAACTGTTTCAGAAGGATATCTACAGAAGTGTTTATTTTTAAAAACGAGAGATTGTTTTATTTTCATTAATCCTATTCTTTATAGAATGACAAATGAGCAAAAACGTGGGTGGGGAACAAGATTTGAAACTCACTCCGGAAGCTGTATACTTAAAAGCAACTATGCCTAGGATGTGATGTACAGCCCTTCAAATATCCCCATATCTTAAAAGGGTATGTGTGTGTAGAGGGGAGGGCCAAATTTGGATTGTGCTATTGAGATTTTTTTTTGTTTTTTCCAGACAGGGTTTCTCTGTGAAGCAGCCCTGGCTATCCAGGCTGGCCTCGAACTCACAGAGATCCGCCTGCCTCTGCCTCCCAAGTGCTGGGATTAAAGGCGTGCACCACCGCCACCTAGCACTATTGAGGCTTTTATGATGTGCTTTGTTATTCAGTAGTCCATTGTAATATTGATATATTACGCTAATATTAGCCATTAAGTAACATCAGAGATTCAAATAAATAGTTTCTATTGTTGAGAAAATGTTTGGTTGACAAAGCAAAGGTCATGAAGTGCTTGTCAGTCATACAGGAAAGACCAGGGAAAAGGGTGTTATTCTGAAGCCACTCGTGATGGCTCAGGTGTGTAGTCCCCCATACTTGTGAGGCTGAGTCGAGAAGATTGCCATGGGTTTGAGGCAAGCCTAAGCAAAATAGTGGTAAAGGGCCAACCAGAGCTACACTAGTTATTGCTAGTGGTAATAATAATAATTACAACTTATTTTGCATCAACAGTGAGACATAGAAATAATTATTAATGAATATAAAACAGCTGTAAAAACATAAAAACTATGAGGGAATGCATAGTGTGTGCTTTTTTTGAGAACAGGAATTACTAAATTTCTTAAAGTCATGTTTCATATACATTAATATAAAATCATATAAAATATTATAAGAAGTTTCTCCATGGGATTTTTTAAAGTTTATTGTACATAATAAAAATGAAACATCAAAATGATAACTTCATAAAACATTACATAAAGGAGAGAAACTCCTACCTCTTTTGTTTTCTGTAAGAAACGTGAAATTTAGAATATTTTGGTTTAAAGTTACTGATTTTTTTTTCAAATGTTTCTTGTTTTTTTTTTTTTATAGCAATTTAAGTCAGAGGCTTATCAACAGCAGATAGAAATGGAAAGGCTGAACCATCAAGCAGAACTTTTGCTGAAGAAAGTGACAGAGGAGGTTGACAAGCACACTGTTCAAGACCCGTTGATGGAGCTGAAACTGATATGGGATAGCCTGGATGAACGAATCGTGAGCAGACAGGTAAAGGGCAAGACTTGTGTCCAGACCTTACACGGACACTCTCAGACAGTAATGTAAAACACCCACTAAAAGTGAAATTAGCAGTTAGTATCAATAACCTTAGAGGCATCTGAATTTTCTTATTAAAATTGTTGGCACCATATTTAACCACAAGTGTGTGTGTGTGTCTGTGTCTGTGTGTGTCTGTGTGTGTGTGTGTGTGGTATCTCAAACTAGAGTTGTTGACTGATAGGACTGGATTCATGAGCCGTGAGGATGGACTTGGACAGCATTCAACAGTTGGTGATGTGCCCTTGTTTTGTAAGGGCACATCATTCATGACGGCAGAGTCTAAGTGGATTTTCTTCTTCTCTGCTTCTTGGCAGCACAAGCTGGAGGGTGCCCTCTTGGCGCTGGGTCAGTTCCAGCATGCCCTGGATGAGCTCCTGGCATGGATGACGCACACAAAGGGCTTGTTGAGTGAGCAGAAACCTGTTGGAGGAGACCCGAAAGCCATTGAAATTGAACTTGCCAAGCATCATGTACGTACTGTTAACCGCCTGTTTTTGTTATGTTTGAGTTTTTTCAAGTTTACGATTTTAACTGAGATTATTTGGCATTAAATTGCTTGACATGTGCTGCCTAAGAGAGTACAATGAAAATATTTAATCACTGTGTGGGACAACAGTTATCAAATGTAGCAAGGCTATGTTGTGATAGGGCTGCGTGGCAAACAGCAAAGATTTAAGTCCCTCATTATGCCTGTCACTGAGTTAACTTCCCATATTTTTTAAGGTGAGGAATAGCCTAAAAACTTCCAGGCTGAAAATGCTGTTGTTCTACCGTGGCCTTTAATGCCTCTGGTCCCTGACCAACAGTGGCCTGCCAGAAGGACTCTTCATAAAAACACAGTATGTTTGCTCTCATGGTGTGAGTGTATAGAAGCTTTTACGTCGTAGGAAATCTGGCAATTGTCGTAAAAGTTGCCTACATCAGTGGTCAGAACTGTGTGTAACGGGGGTGGGAACTAAGACACCCAATCCAGTTATTTAATCAGGAGATCTGTGGGAACCTTGGCACTCTGTTCGTCTGACTGGTTAGACATAGCGCTTTGGCCTGTTTGCCCTTCGTTTTTGAAAGATCGATATGTAGTGACTAGGGATTGCCCAAACCAACGCTGACAGAAACTTTCTACCCTCTGCTTGGGGTCTCTCCCTGCCTCTGAGCATTAGAGGAAGGAATCTTGTACAATTGTCCAGTAAACGTCGACACTGGCAGTGTTTAACTCTCGGGCCTTGAGGAAGTGTTTCCTGATGTTACCATGTCAAAGTGCGTGCTTTCTAGAATGTGACTCCTCATTCAGTTGGGCTTGTGCCTTTGGAAAACACTGACTCATCGGATACCTCAGAAACGGATTGAATAGTCAGAAAGGCAGTATTCCAGGGGCTGTCTCCCTTATCTGGAAAGCCTCCCGGGTCTGGACTCCCCTCCAGATGTATGATGTCTTGCATAGGATAAGAGATGACATTCTTTTCTTTATTACTGCCAAGCATACATCAGTGAGTGGTAGGGAAGGGCTCTAATGACCTCCTAACTAACATAAGGGAAAGGACTCCTTTCAAATTAGTAGTTCTAGCCTCCCTTCAATGAGAGAATAAAGGAATATATTTCTTCTTTCAAAACAGTTATTATGAAATATATGTCTTAAGTATGTGATAATTTTATATTTGGAAAATGAATATATGGGAGTAAAAATATCCCTTAAAACATTAAAATTAAATTAAAATGGACTTGAATCACTGAAAATGTTTTAATCATCTAATTATAATCGCTACGAAAGTATGTAGTGCATCAATGACAAGGTCATTCTAGTGAGTGACACACAGCGTTTGTACAGTCTCTGTGGGGCTGCTGGGGTATCTAACTAAAGGTCCGTCTGTCTAGGAAGCCCCAAAGTTGAAGGAAAGGAAGTCTGTCACTTTAAAACTTGCTATTGAAACTTTGTTATGAGGTTTTTGTTTCAGACTGTTTCACAACCAGAAGATAAAGCAAGTCCGATGGACTAGAGGTGTGGTTCAGTTGGTAGGGTCCTTACCTAGTATGCGTGAAGAGTAGATTTGATCCCTCGGCGGTGCCTCAAACTCAATGTGGTATTCCACGCCTGTATTCCCCGCACTTGGGAGGTGGAAAAAGGGTTAGAAGTCCGAAGTCATCCTTTGCTATGTGTTGAGTTCAAGGTTTGATTGGGATACACGAGACCCTCTCCCCACCCCACCCCACACCCTAAAAAGAAAAAGGAAAGCAAGCATTATAAGTACCGTTACTGTGCTTCCAGCTAACGATCCTGTTAACATTTACAGGTGCTCCAAAACGACGTGTTAGCCCACCAGTCCACCGTGGAAGCAGTCAACAAAGCAGGAAATGATCTCATTGCGTCGAGTGCGGGAGAAGAAGCAAGCAACCTCCAGTACAAGCTCAAAATTTTAAATCAACGCTGGCAGGATATTTTGGAAAAAACCGATCGAAGGAAGCAGCAGTTGGATAGTGCCTTGCGCCAGGTGAATGAAGAGAATGAGCCCTGGGCTCGTTCTGGTGCTCAAGTCCAAAGTCTTGTGGACCTGCTTCGTTAATTCACAGATGGGGCTTTCATGTTGATACTTTAAAGAGAGGAATAAAACTAAGTGGGATAAAGAATAGAGCCGATAAGAAGATACCGCTCCAGTTCTTAGCATAATACTCTTTTAGGTCCTGAGCTTCCTTGTTGGAGTGCTCAGGTCGTGAGCCTCTGGTCCTGGTACCTGGCTTTCTTACTCCATACAGAGAGAGGCTTAGCAGGCTGGGGCCATTTTGACCTTGTGATAGTGATAGTTCTTGTGACACAAACTTAAAACTGCCAATCACTGCAGGCCAAAGGGTTCCATGGTGAGATTGAAGATTTGCAACAGTGGCTGACTGACACAGAGCGCCATCTCTTGGCATCCAAACCCCTGGGAGGCTTGCCAGAAACAGCCAAGGAGCAGCTTAACGCACATATGGTATGTACAGTATTTTCTACAGCTCTCTTCCTGGTAATACATGAATAGTAACGGAAGAAGATACGGTTAAAAGATTAGGTTTTGTGGCAGAAATCACTTGTGTGTAAATGCCAGAAACAGCACTGTTTAGCAGTAAAAAAAAAAGTTTTAAAAAAGTCTAGCAGTTTTGAGTAGCACACACTCACTTTCTCTCTCTCTCTCTCTCTCTCTCTCTCTCTCTCTCTCTCTCTCTCTCTCTCACACACACACACACACACACACACACACACACACACACACACACACACCCCAAGTTATAAGCAGTATGAAGAGACATCTCTAAAATGATCAGACTAGACTTGGCATATGCCTGTGACCCTATGGTTTGGTTTTGCTCCTTGCGACTGGGCGAGACCCATTTGCTAGATGACAAAGCCCTTGTCTTGCCTACTGATTCGTAACCTAAGATTGCTCATCTTTGTGAAACCATGAGTGACTTTCAATAGCTCAGCTAACTCAAGTAATTCATTGCTTCCCTGAAAATGCTTACAGAGCTTTCACACAGTTCATAACTTATTAACTAATTAATAATTAATCCTATCTTCAGAGTGTTACAGTTAAAAAAAATAAGCACTTGAAAGCAGAGAGCTCATCTTAAGAACTTTCAGAAAACTGCTGTGTATAAAATACTTAGTCTGGGTAGGATATACAAAATGAACTCCGTATCACCACCCTATATGATTCCCTCGACTACAATCTGAAGAAGGCCTAGAAAGATAAGCCAGCAGTAAAGACTGTTTGCCGTTCTCTCAGGGTTCATGTCTCAGCACCTGCATGACCGCTCACAACCACCTGTAGCCCTAGTTCCGGGCTTTCAGATATCACCTTCTGGCCTCCTCAGCCGCCTGCGCTCACGTGGTGCACGTGCACCCACACGTGGACACGTAAATTTAAAAATTAAGCTGGGCACGGTGGCACACGCTTTTAATCCCAGCACTAGGGAGGAAGAGGCAGGAGGATATCTATGAGTTCAAGGCCAGCCAGCCTGGTCTACAACAGAGAAATTCTGTCTCGAAAAACCAAGTAAATAAATAAATAAGCGATCTTTCCTGGCAGGTGCTGAAGCTGCAGTGCCGTGGCAGTAGTTTTCTTTCCTTCTGGCTGTGCTAGCAGTGAAGATGAGAAAATGTGGAGTAGCCACATCCTGGGGCTGCTTCGGGATGTGATGCTCCTGTAAAAATGAAACTGTCAACGTGTTCAGGGACGAAGGAATATGAAAACGTAGTTAGTGAGCATTGTAACTATACTCAGATCACTAAATAGTCTACTTCAAATGGTTAATTTTATAAAACTAGCTCGATTTTTAAAAAAAATCCTAAGCTGAAAATATCAGTAAGATGTGGAGTGTGTAACTTTCTATGAGAACTGTGATTCAACCCACGTTATAATTCAATCAGTGTGCTGAAAATTGAGTTCTTTAATTTTTAACGAATTATAACTATTGCTTCATTGGTTTTATACTTCGAATTTTAGCAGTATTTTCCTGTATTCACCATAGAGGATATACACAACATTCTAATCGGCAACTTTTAAGAATTTATAAATGAAAATGGTATCTCAAACGTGGCTCCAGTAATCTGGGAATCTTTATATCAACGTGCGCATCTTTCTGTACTGACTCTTTTTTTCTGTCCATTACATGTTTCCCGAGTACAGGATTAGACTGTACCAGTAACTTTTTTTTCAGTTGTTATATCATGGCAAAAAGGACACAGAAGTTTGCCCCCGTTTCCAGAGGAGGAAATACTCAGAGAAGTGAAATTGCTGGCCCAGCATCTCGGATCTCACTTGTTAGTGTGCAGCAAGACCCCTCTTGACAGCATGCCAGTCATTGCTTGAGGCCTCAGCACGCAGCATGCAGTGATAGATTTCTCAGTAGACAGGGTGTGGCCATAAGCATACATACTATTTCAGTACTGAGTAGAGTACAGCTGTCTGTCAGGGTTGCTCTGTAAGCAGAAAGATAAACATGTGATAAGGGGCTTAGAATGAATGGACCTTAAAAAAAAAAAAAAGACTCTGAGGACTGCAGCTCAGTAGTGAAGAGCACTCATTGGTTTTATTGAGGGCCCGGGTCCATTTCCAAGCGTCTGTAACTCCAGGTCCCCGGGGGACCTAACACCCTCACTCGACCTCTTCTGACCTCCATGGGCACCAGCCATGCACGTGATGCTTGTGCGTACAGGCAGATAAAACATTCATGTGCATCACAAGTAAATCTTTTCTTAAAAAATGAAAAAAAAAAATAGATGTAACTGTTAGATTTTGTTCTTTGCCAAGTCATGTGACATGGGGGCATCTCATTTTAGGAAGTCTGCACTGCCTTTGACATCAAAGAAGAAACATACAAGAGTTTGATGCAGAAAGGGCAGCAGATGCTCGCAAGATGCCCCAAATCTGCAGAGACAAACATTGACCAAGACATAAACAACTTGAAAGAGAAATGGGAATCGGTGAAGAGCAAACTCAACGAGAAGAAAGTATGTGCCTGGATGGGTACAGCAGAGCAGAGTTTGCCTGTTGTTAGGTCTTGGGTTGGGTTTTATTCCTAGCTACCAGGAGTGGCGTTTTCATGATTCGTGTCCATATATTTGGTACACACTCGGTGTTCCATGAAGTTAAACATAGTATTCTAACCCCGGAGAACAGAGATACAGTACAGATAAAGATTTATCACAGGTCAGGTGTTACTCAGTTTGTACGCTGGCAGTTTTTAAAATATGAACCACTCAAGTTCTAGGTTACAAATAATTGTATTCTAATCACAAATTAAACGAGAGAGAGTGATAGGATTGTGCTTAGGTTTTATAATCTCTCGCATAAAACGGATGAGAATTGTATGCATTCTATCATTCTTTCAAACAATAGAAAAATAATCTAGGGAATCTCAGGAATTTTGCTTAATGCAGCAAAAACCAATTGGCTAATAGATCGTAGCCATCACTGATGGGACATATGCCATGTCCTCACAGGGCAGCGACCCCACCAGGAATGCCATTTGATTAAACTGAAACACCGCAAACCACGACGAGCACCAAATACTAAACCATCTTCCTTTACAGGCTAAATTGGAAGAGGCCCTCCACCTAGCGATGGACTTCCACAATTCCCTCCAGGACTTCATCAACTGGCTTACCCAGGCCGAACAAACCCTGAATGTGGCTTCTCGGCCAAGTCTCATCTTGGACACAATCTTGTTTCAAATCGATGAGCACAAGGTACGTGGGAACTCAGATGGGAAGCTCCTGACTTCCAGAGACCAGTCTGCCTTCCTGTCAGAAGCATCTGTTTAGGAATTGGAAAACTTTCTTTTTTGATGTATTTTTTTTTTTATTCCTTGAGAATCTCATACAGATACACAGCATATTTGATCACATTCCTATGCGCTTGCGCCCCCCCCCATTCCTCCTGGATTCACCCCTCACCCTCCCCACCTGAGAACTTCTCTTTGTCCATTACCGCAAGCATTGTGACAGTTGTACACTTTCAAAGTCAATCCATTTCCCCTTGTTTCTAATTATGTTCCTTTTTTTGTGGGGAAAGGTCTTCGCCAATGAGGTGAATTCTCACCGTGAGCAGATAATAGAGCTAGACAAAACTGGGACCCACCTGAAGTACTTCAGTCAGAAACAGGATGTGGTGCTCATCAAGAACCTGCTCATCAGTGTGCAGAGTCGGTGGGAGAAGGTGGTCCAGCGGTTAGTGGAGAGAGGAAGGTCCTTGGACGACGCGAGGAAGAGGGCCAAGCAGGTAGTAAACTTGGGTGGTGTTCTCTGACCTTGGCAGTCAGTGAGCTGAAGCTGTGAAAAATGTGCGATCGTGGGGCTTTTATTGTAACAATGAGAAGCCGTGGTGTTCGTTTCCTGGAAGGGCAATGGCCTGCCTTTGGACTCTCCACAACATCACCTTTTCGTCCTGGCAGCCACGTTGGGCCATGGGGACTCATCTTGAGAAGCTTTAAATCAATTTCATAGATGATCATCAAGGCCCATTAAGAACTTACAGATTTTTGTTTTGCAGTATGTTTATTTTTCCCCTTTCCTTTCAACCCCTAGTCTCCTATTCAGACAGGGGCACCAGACCCTCTTCTATTGCAAACTCTGGAAGCCAAGCTTCGGTCACATCAGAGCTGAGGACTAGACCTACGGCCTCCCCAGTGCCTCCTGAGGGACATACTCTTATTGATGTCCCTCTCTTCCCAAAGATTTTGGTATAGCTCCATCCCACTTGAATTATCTGAATCTCTGGGGGCTGTTTTTAGTTTAATTTAGGGACTCTCACAAACCTCACAGAGAGCTTTCCATTCTCTCTTAACCTGTCATTAACTAACATTCATCCCAACTAACCATAGACAAGAGGAAAATTACACATCTTTCTGTCCAGTGGGGATGTAGCCACCTTATTTGGCAGAGAATTTTTTAATTAATTTTTTTCCCTAGAAACGATGTAATATTGAGGCTGAATTTTGTGGTTTCTACCTTTCCCTCATCCGGCTCCTGTTGTCCGGCATTGGTAATGTTGGAGTGTGTTGTTTGGAGAGCTGAGCTTACTGGGTGATGCCAAAAGGTGTTTACAGGATTCTGGCATTTGGTGTAGCAGTATGAATTTAGAGGCTTTAGAAATGTCTTAAGCCCTTCCTGAGTGAGAAGTTTGGTCTCTGAAATAGAATCAGTCTCTAATGGTTCTGCCAGACAATGTTAATTCTGAACCTGACATATTCCTCTCCGAAGGTATTTCTGGAGTTATGAACAGCTAATTTACGAAGCCTTGTTGGATACTAGTAGCTGCTTGCCATGTCTCCCTCTAACCAATGTCAGGGCCTCCTCTTGTTGACCAGCTTTCTGTTTTCCTGCTTCCAGTGCGAATGGGTAGCCTTTGACCTATTTCTGGGGCTTAGGCATCGCTTTGGAGGTTGGGTGAGCTTCCAGTATTTACACCACTCAGCCGCTTGTTTGCACACCTGTTTTAGAGCCAAACTACCTATCACCCCATCAGGCTGTGCCTTTCATGCCTTTCCTCTTCGGAGTTTTGACTCACGTACTGATTGTAGCTCTGTGACGATCATGAGTTTGTCCTGGCTCTTTTTTTTTCCCCCCCTTCATATTTAAATTGATTGGCGCTATGTGAGGGATGTGCTGGGCAGGGAGGCCGAGTCTGTGATGAGTGCTCTCTGGTGCTCTCTTGCAGCCTGTGAGTCCATGTGACCCGTGCCACACTGAGTTAGAGTAGTTAAATTAATTGGGAGGCTATGGGAGGTGGCATTAATTCACACATCTTTGTTGTAGGTTATGCAGCTTTTGTTACTTCATTATCAGGTTTGGGTGTACGGGGATGTGATGCTTATTTAGCTTTCGTTATGTAGCTCTTTATTTAAATTTATTATAAGAAATACTGTTAACCAGTTTCATAACTGGTATCCAGAATTTGTATCTGATTGCTCTTCTGAAAGATAAGCAGAAGATAAACTGGCTGGAATCAAACATGTGCTGACCCAGGATGTTTTTGAGCTCCTAGTTGGCAAACAGAATTAAACATGGGTAGAATGCTAGCGTGGCAGTGGTTGTGTCTATCGGACCACACGGGTGCGTCAGCGCTGAGTGGGGCTCTGAGAGCAGAGGTGAGGGGTTAGTCTGCCTCCTGTATTACAAGGAGATGGCCTTTTTTGTTCTTGCCATGTTTAAAGAATAATTCACAAGTGTTGGACTTTTTTCTTTTATTTCTATTTTTTAATGTAGGAGTTTAGCACAGAAAAAATCTCAAGATATGTAAAGAGGCAGAGAAACAAAAAACAAAATAGATATTTCCTGAGAGCTTATGTTAACTGTTGAGCGAAAGGAGGCAGTATGGTGGTGGGGTTCCCAGAGCTCCTTAACTGGCTCTTTCCTGGACTCAGTAAGCTGGTGTGCTGACTGAATTACAGCCGCATGACCTCAGTCAGGCCACAGTCACGTGTCCAGTGGAGCAGGCCACTGTGCAGTTGGCTAAGGACACATTACCCAGTGTCTTGAGGGGGAAGTCTGACTTGATGATTTCTAGTATATCCATTGGTGACCGTTTCTGTCTTATAATACACTAAATTCCATCCCTTGTGTACTTCACCACTTTCTGAATAAACGCGGGTCTCTTTACCAGTTCCACGAAGCTTGGAGTAAGCTGATGGAATGGCTGGACGAGTCAGAAAAATGTTTGGATTCTGAACTGGAAATCGCCAATGACCCAGACAAGATAAAAACACAGCTGGCACAGCACAAGGTGAGCTTCTCGTTTAAAAAGCACACTCAGTGTGCGTTTCAAGACCACCGCTGATTCTTCCTTGTCCGTGCGTGCGTGCGTGCGTGCGTGCGTGTGTCCAATCCAAGACCCGCCCCCAAAACAGAAAAAAAAAAAGAAAAAAAAGACAGGCTGCAGCTGCTGAAAGAAAGAACGGAGTCAAACCTGGACGTCTCATCTACAGTCTAGGACAGTGGTTCTCAACATGTGGGTCACGGCCCCTCAAATGACCTCTTCACAAGGATTGGCTAAGACCGTCAGAAAACACGGGTGTTTACAGTATGGCTCAGAACCGCTTGAGCACCGCTGTCTCAGCTTTCTGGGGTGGCCCTCTTAACTTACCATTCTTTAATGGAGCAGTCCCACCTTAGAGAAAAATCTGGAGTTTAAGGTGTACAGAGCCAGGTGCAGAGGTGTGGATCTCTAATCCCAGCTACTTGGGAAGCTGAGGCAGGGAGCCAGGCTGAGAACAGAGCAAAGCCTTGTCTCGTAAGTCAACAGATCCTTCCAAACAGACGGGTAGGAAAAGTTGACAGTATCCAAGAATGCGTGCATGCGTGCCTGTGTATAAAACTCCATTCCTTCTCTCAAAGACTTACCAGCTTCTTTATGAGATAGAAGAATGTAGAAACAGTGTTTCAAAAAAATATTTTCCTTTTATACTCCTTCCACGAGTCATTCAAAGAGCATGTTTCTACCTCCTCTGCTCAGCTCCTTTGTGTCTGTGCCTGTGTGCTGTGAAGTGGCCACTGGTCATATGGGTGAAGGTGAGCAGCTGAGCCTCATTACTATGAATAGTTTTACAATTTCAGACCTCTACATGTAAATTACTTCTTAGAAGAACATGGTCATTTTAAAAGACTAGAAAATTGTAGGATAGTTTAAGATTTATCTTGCTCAAAAAAATCTAGACATCATCTTCACATGTGTACTGTGAATCCCGACCGAGAGGGTCGTAATCAGGGGATGAGGAGGAAACATGTGCCCTCTGGCAGATGAGACTTTATGATTGGCTTGTTTTGCTGATGGCGTCTTCCTGTGAACTTCCACAGTGACCAGCATCATACATACTCCTCTGATGGAAAAATTAGCCTTCTGCTCAAAATAAAATGCTTTACTTGAATTTATATGTGAATATTATGTAACCTTACAAAAGTGGCATTGCATTTTAAAGCTAGAGAAACCCAGAAAAAAAATATGCAGAGAATATAAGAGTTTCCATTTTACCCAACGTTATTTATTATCAGTGTCTACCATTTCTCCAAGACACATCTAAGACAGTCCATAAAAACAATTTTAAAGAAAAACTTTCTTAACCAGCATTGGAGGTCTTCTGTCATTCGAAAGCTCTAGTCTGTCTATACTCAAATAAATTGTTTAGTATGTGTCCACTGTGTGGAGACAATCCATGTCAACACCTTGATTCTAAACACAAGCATTCTGTTCAGAATAACATGGAAACACAGTCTTCACTGGTAGCAAACTGTAAAAATAGTGGGATACTATAATTGTGTTCTTTCTTAAATTTATTTGATGTGTCTACCTCCTATTATTAGACTAAATAAATAATTTGGTCATCTAAAAACATTTAAAGAGTAGCTTTTAAAATGCAATAAAAATGAACTGGTTAGTTATAACCTTGAGATTTGCTGCAGTTCTCAACTTTTGGGTCACATGATGTCTTGCATTACAGATATTTACATTATGATTGATAACAGTAGCAAAATTACAATTATGAAGTAGGAGCGAAATAATTTGATGGTTGGGGGTCACTACAACATGAAGAACTGTATTAAAGGGTCACAGCATCAGGAAGGTTGAGAACCACTGCTGTAGAGGATGGTGATACCTATTACCTAGCACTTCACAATCTGGTGTGATTCCAGTGTGCTGCCAGCATTGAAAGTCACTCTGCTGGTGTCACCTTGCTGTCCCATGAGCTTAGAAAGTGTGCACTAAGTGGACCTGTCTCTCTTTTTATTCCTGAGAGTGCATCTTCAGCAGCAGTGGTCTCATTTTTCTACTCTTTTTTGTAAATACTTACAAATACCTGCTAGCTAGGAAATGGTACTGAGAGACCCACAAACACAGTCCTGGTTCTATAAGTACTATTGAGTTGTGTGGAAAGAATATAATTCATTTCCTCATATATATACATACATACATACATACATACATACACATGAAAGCCATAACTAACAGATAAAGAGTGGTACCAAATAGATGTTACATTAGCACATGTTGTAGTTAGGGTTTCTCTTGCTGTGAAGAGACACCATGACCACAGCAACTCTTATAAGGAAAACATTTAATTGAGGTGGCTCACTTACGGTTTCAGAGGTTCAGTCCATTATCATCATGGCAGAGAGCATGGCATTCAGGCAGACGTGGTGCTGCAGAAGTAGCTGAGAATCCTACATCTTGCAAGCATCAGGAAGTCAGCTGAGACACTGAGCAGTATCCTTAGCACAGGAAACCTCACAGCCCACCCCCACAATGGCATACTTCCTCCAACAAAGCCACACCTCCTAATAGTGCCACTCCCTATGAGATTATGGGGCCAATTTCATTCAAAAGACCACAGCATGATAGCTATTTGATCCTGGAAAAGTAATCTAACACTCTTTTAAGATGGAGATAAGACTTTTTACAGCTGGAGAGAACAGATAAAGGTTTTCCAAATGGTCTAACCATCAGACCCTAGAATGGCAGTTCTGACTTACTAGCTCACAGACAAAATTACCTGTATCCTCCCAGGCGGTGGTGGCGCACGCCTTTAATCCCAGTACTCGGGAGGCAGAGCCAGGCGGATCTCTGTGAGTTCGAGGCCAGCCTGGTCTCCAAAGCGAGTTCCAGGAAAGGCGCAAAGCTACACAGAGAAACCCTATCTCGAAAAACCAAAAAAAAAAAAAAAAAAATTACCTGTATCCTCATTGTGACTATCCACATTAGGTAACAAGGATGCCTGACCAACAACATAAACCTATAGTAAATTTACATTATCTGATCTCCCTGTCCAGGCTGGACTCATGCATAGGTGGCCACATTTTCAACCTTTCAGTCATTGATTGGCAGTTCCATTTTATCACGGTTATTACAGAACTTATGGTTTATGTTTCCAAAAGTATTTGGGCTGAGGATGTAGTAACTCCATGGTCAACTACCTTGCACAAGGTCCTGGTTTTAGAAATCTCCATCTCCACAAACAAAAAGATAAAGGATTTGTTTTGCTTTGAAATTTTCTTGATAATAACAGATACTCTTAGGGTTCCTGAGCTTCTAAGAGAAAGAGCAAGCCCTGGGTTGTCAGGTTTAAGATTCCGTTCTGTCCTGGGATATCCCTGCACAGAACAATGTTGTTATCAGGCTTGATTGCCTGCTGATGTCTTCCATCGCAGGCCTCCATCTGTTAGAGATGCCTCTTTAAACGAAAGTGATTTGTCCTTTGGTTATTTCGAACATTTCTACACTGCATTCTGGTTATACTCTTATCTTCGCCTTCTCTCATGTTTCTCCCACCTCCAGTAAACCTCCCTCCTCCCACCAAGTCCCCTTCACACTTTTCTTTTTATTTTTTGCTTTGTGACCCACTGGGTTTAACAAGGGCCACCCATGAGGACATGAGTGTAGATCTAGCCAGTGGATCATGAATAACAGTTCAATCGTTACATTATTAAAGGCAGTGACTTCCTCACCCCCAATAGTGTCCCTCTCCTACCAATAACTCCCCTAGATTGGGGTAAGCTTCATGGGCCCCTCCCCTACCTGTGACTAAATATTTACATGTTGGGGTTTAGCCTTGTGCAAATCCTGTGTAAGCAACTGCAGCTGCTGTGAGTTTACGCATGCCATGGCTTTTCATACCCACAAGACAATGCTTCATGGCCCTCTTCCCCATTGTCCAGCTCATATTCTTTCTGCCCTCTCGTCCACCATTTTTTGGGGGACTTGGAGGGAGTCATATGCAGCTTGCATGCTACAATACCAACTTGCCAGGCAGAGTATGCCTACCGATGCAATAGTGGTAGGACAGGTCTGGGAGTAACCAGCAGAGTTGAGAGTTGATGTGTGAGGTCTCTTAGTAGGGATCTGGTCAAAGACACAAAAGATGAACATACTACCTTTGTTTCATTAAATGGGCATGTCACAGTGCCTCCTTAATATTTATATTTATACCCAAAGGCTACCAATGCCCTCAGCCTTGAGCAAAGAAGCTTCTCTTTGCAGTGAATGACAGTTAATGTGGAGATTCATGACTGGTCATGATGCTGGGAACAAATGACCGAATGCCCAGACTTAAAGAAGATCCTGTTCTTAACACTTTTTACCTACTGGTAAACAAATAGTTCAAGCAAAAACTTACTCTTTTCTTGTTAAATATGTAGGAGTTTCAGAAATCACTCGGAGGTAAACATTCTGTCTATGATACCACCAATCGAACTGGACGTTCCCTGAAGGAGAAAACCTCACTGGCTGATGACAACCTGAAGTTGGACAACATGCTGAGTGAACTCAGGGACAAATGGGACACCATATGTGGAAAGTCTGTGGAAAGGTAGGCTGTTCCTTCAGGCATTGGCAACTTTGTAGACCTGCCTCAGATGCACAGTAGGGGGTTTGCAGAGGTAGTTTGTAGACCTCACAGTCCTTTGGGTGAGGAATATCTGTTTTTCCTAAATACCCACTCACACAGCACCTGTACTGAAGAGGCTGTTATTTATTTTTAACTAGGTCTACTTGCTTGCTTACAGATGGCCCCATACGATAGTCTAGTGGTCTCTTAATTCACTGTGAAGCCCAGGCTAGCCTTGAACTTACACTGTTCCTCCTTTCTCAGCTTCTCAAGTGCCAGGATTGCAGGCAGTGCCACTGTGCCTGACTCCCAGAACGACTGTGTTTGCTCCTTTAGTTTCCATATAACTGTTAGAATAGTTACATTAAAATATAAGTAAGAGCCTTATCATTTCTCTTTCTCACTCCCTGTAAGAACTTGCTTTTGGATATGACATAAAACGGGCTCCGTAAGGTGGTGTGCAAGGCAGCGCTGATCTGACTCAGCATTCCCTCAGATGTCCAACCTTCCTTTGTCCCAATGACTTTTGTGAGGTCTATTTAAGAAAGTACAATAGTAGTATAAAAGTTTGAACACCCTGTGTTTCAGACTCTTCATTGATCGTTAGTTCTAGTTACTTTTGTCAGAGAAGTTGAGTATTCTTATCCAAAAAGCTTGAGATCAGAAATACTCAGATTTCCAGTGTTTTTTTTTTTCTCAGATTTTGGAATATTTGAATATATACCATGAAATGTCTTGAGGCTGAGAGTCTAGTCTAAATTTGAAATCATTTGTTTCATATATACCTTACATATATAACCTGAGGTGATTTTTTTTTATTTTTTGTATTTTTAATAAAGTACTTAATTAGGCTTATAATTCCAGAGGATTAGGGTCCATGATGGTGGGGCAAAAGTGTGTCATCAGGAACACTGAGAGCTCACATCTCAGACGACAAGCAAGAGGCAGAGAGCAGCGCACTGGGAATATCTGTTAAAGCCTCAAAGCCCACTGCCAGTGATACACCACCTCCAGCCAGGCCACACCTCCTAATCCTTCCCAAACAGTTCCGCCAACTAGGGACCAAGTATTCAAAGATAAGAGCCTATGAGCTCTGTTCTCATTCAAACCAGTACATACTGTTTGATTCTGTAGGTGAGGGAGTGAAGACTGTCTGCTTTGCTGGGCGGAACCTTTGATTTAATTCCAGGTGTCTGTTCTTGTTTTCTCTGCTTCTGAAGTCTTATCTCGGAAGTCCTCCTGTGCCAATATCCTGAAGTGTTTTATCTTGATGGCTTACTTTGGCTCCAATGTGGTTTTGCTTAGGTTTCCTGGGATACATGAAGTCTTTTGTGCTGTCATATAATTTGGAGATGTTTTCTTCTGTTATGCAAAGTTATTCTTGGTGTTAAAGTTACCTATTGTTGTAATGGGGCCTAAGTCTCCTTTTTATGTCTAGTAGTGTTTGGTTTTTAGAAAATCAGGTGCTGTTCCAACACTTGGCACATAAACTTACATCTCATTCTGATTTTCTTCTAGTAACTTTGAATGTCCTTTACTTATTTCTTCCTCTTTCCCTTGTGCATGTTACTGTATACAGGTATTACTTTCTTCCTCATTGGCACGTACCCTTCTCCTAGCGGGATTTATTCATGTTCTCAATGACAGTGTTTACTAAATTCTTTCTGTTTCTGGGTATGGGATTCCCTTAAGCATCTGGTGTACTTCTGGTCTAGTGGTTGTGAGTTCCCTTACCACAGAAGGTCCTGACGTCTCCTTTGACTTTGAAGGACAAACCTGCTGGTACAACAGTCTTGGTTGGTGGGTTATTTTCTCTCAGGACCCAAAATAAACCATGCCATGCCCTCCTGGCATTCAGAGTCCTTCTGAGAAATTCTGCAGTTAGTCTACTGTATTTATCTTTACATGTGACTAGAGGTTTCTCTCTCGCAGATTATGATATTTTTTCTTTGTCCTTTTAACAACTTAAATATAATATGTTACAGTGATGTACTTCTATGGTCATGTGTATTTAAGGTTCTAAATGCTTCTTGTACCTGGATGTCTATGTGCCAAGGTTTGGGAAGTTTTCTGCTGTCATTCTGCTGAAGTGGTTTTCTGTGTCCCCAGCCTGTAGCTCTTCCTCCTCAGGTATGCCATGACTGGAATATTTCATTTTTCCAGGGCATCCCAGAGCTCTTGCATTTTCTGTCCATGGTTTTCTACTTCTCTTTTGTTCTTTCTGTTGGACACTAACAATTCAGAAGACATGTCTTCAAGCTCTGTTATTTTTTCTTCTGCCTGATCTAATCTGTTACTGAGGCTGCCAACTAATTTTTCTTGTATTTCTCTGTTGAGAATTGTTCATCTGTTGGGATGGGTGTCTTTTATGGTGGTGTGTGACAGCCTCCTTCGTGGCTTTCTCTTGATGATGTGTTTTGGGAGGTAGCAGCCCTGGGTTTGACTCACAATGTGGAGTCACTCATTCTTGTCATAATCTCCGAGGCTAATCTTCCACCATGTTTCTTCCTCACAGGATCCCAAGGCCACAGGGCTAAAATTAGAAAGCCGATTTTTTAAGTTTTTGGTAAAAGCATATATGGTGCAGAGTTTTATTGTATGGGATTCTGTGGTATCATGTTGGTGATGAAAATTTTCAGATTTGGGGAATTTTTAGTTTTGGAGTCTGGATTATAGATTTTCAACCTGTATCAAGAGGAAATAGAATGTTCTGTTCTAGGCAGCTTCACACATACAAGTAAATAAACAAATCCTTTTGAATAAAACTTTAAAATGCATATGTTTATTTAGACTCTAGAAGGATCGGTGATTTACAGTGATGTGATTAAGGGAATTTTCCTGTAACAGATGCCAGGCATGTACTTAAAGGAATAAAAGAGAAAAGTATTTTCTAAGGGGAACAGAGGAAACAGTGAAGACCACTCACTCTTCTGCTTCAGGACCCCCAGCCATCATTGGGGAACTTCAGAAAGCTAATTTATCTCTTTTTTTCCCAGACAAAACAAACTGGAGGAGGCCCTATTATTTTCTGGACAATTCACAGATGCCCTGCAGGCCCTCATTGATTGGCTGTATCGAGTTGAGCCCCAGCTGGCAGAAGACCAGCCTGTCCATGGAGACATTGATTTAGTGATGAACCTGATTGATAATCACAAGGTATTGCAACCCAGAGCTTTCTTTTTATTTTGTTGTTTGATTATTTATTCACAGTACTGAAAAGAATACAAGCAGTTAGAGAGCCTTTTCAGACTGGGAGAGTGTCTTACTACATCACTCTCTTCCTACTGAAATGTGTGGATTGAGCAGATCCAGAAGCCATCTTTAAAAGTAATGGGGGTGGAAGCAGTCGCTTAATCAATGAAATGCTTTTCTTTTAATTACCTGATCTATGTCTCTTTTAGACTTGAAATGCAATTTCATTTCATGGCCCTTTTTAGATCTTCATTCAAACAATTATGTGATAAAATTCAAAACCATTTATTTAGTGACTTGGAAGGAAGTCATCACCTAGGTGTGCAGATCTGGGACACTCCCAAGGGGTCTTGAATAGATCCTCTTGAACTGTAGTAATACATGAATTAACAGCCTATGCTCAGAGATTTATTTATTTTAAGAAAATAGCTTTCCTTTTGATTTCCTAATGCATATGTCAAATGGTCTTGTATATTAAGGATATATTTGAGGTTTCCAGCTGGCAATAAGTATGAGGTCTTTTCTATTTTTATTTATACGTATGCGCATGTGTGTGGGTGCACCCAGAGGCCAGAGGACTGTGTCAGGTCCTCTAAAGCTGGAGTTACAGATGGATGTGAGTCACCCAACATGGGTGCTGGGACCTGACCTCAGGTTCTCAGGGGAGAGAAGAAAGCCTTCTTAACCACTGAGTTATCCCTCTAATCCCGAGATCTTAATTTATGATCCTGAGATAAAATGCAACTTGACAGGCCTTCAGAACAGCACGAAGCATGGCTAAGACACCAAAGTTGAACTCATCTGCAGACAGCTAATGGTGCTTTGCCTCATTTCCCGATGTGTCCTCCTTGCTGTGATTCTTTTACTTCAGAACATGTATTTTCTTTTAAAATATTCCCTTCATGCTTCTCCAGTTATGCTGTTCTGACATGCTTGGTCTTTCTAAACCGTTGTTTAAAGTTTTTAGATGTATTTGCACATTTATTCTGTTTTTTGCTTCTATTCTATGATTATACCCATAGAGGAAGAGTTTATTATACTTAGCACTAACAAGAAATAACAGAATAAATAAAGAGCACGCTGGGGGTGTACCTCAGTTGGCTGGATGCTGGCTTAGTGCTGGATTTGAGCCCTGGCACTGCCCACACCTTTAATTCTAACACCTGGGAGGTAGAGACAGGAGCTGAAGTTCTAGGGTACCTTTTGCCATGAGATACCATCTCAAATACAGAAATTAAAGAGCATTGGTCAGGCCCACAAAAAGCAATTTAAAAAAAAAATTACAATACTTTTAGTGGAGAAAATATTCTTACGTGTAATAAATTTAGACATGGCTAGGTATTCCTTCAGTGAATAGTGAGTGGTGTACTGTTGTTACTACTGATGTAGTGTTCCATAAACACCATATTGAAAAGTTTCCTGGGTTGGGGATTTAGCTCAGTGGTAGAGCGCTTGCCTAGCAAGCGCAAGGCCCTGGGTTCGGTCCCCAGCTCTGGAAAAAAAAAAAATTAAAAAAAAAAAAGAAAAGTTTTCTGTCTAGATATTTACTACCTGAAGCACTTTCCAGACTTTTTACACATTAAAAATCATCAAATATGATTTATTCATTAAGGATTAGTAATGCAGTTGGAAGATGCCAGAAGTTTAACTATGTAAAGGACCTTGGAAAGTCCACTTTGAAACTGTTGGATAGTCCTGTCCTGAGTGAATATGTAGATATTTGCCTTCTGTGTGTATTGATCATGTGTATGTCTGTCTGAAGCTGCATACCTTTGAACACTGTCAGACCGAAGCCTGTCACTGTTCACCGCAATCTGCTTGGATTGCTTTGGATAAGCTCCCTCTGGGGATGATTTTTTTTTTTCTTTTGAAAAGTAAAACAATTTTATTGTAAATAGAAAACTGGTTTTCCGAATGTCTGGTTTTATATACAGACACTTAGATTAAAGAATGAAGAGTCCTGGGCTCAACTTCACATCCTAGAGTGGCCCAAAGAAACCATGCTTTTTAATGGCATGTCACTTTTAAATATCCCTAAATTAAGAGAGGGAGGTAGGAGCCCCCAAAGCCTTCCCACTGAGGCAACAGGTCATAATTTAGTCCCCTAAACTGTGAAAGCATAGGTTGATGCTTAAGGTGCTATGCGGAAAAGGCTAGTTATAGAAGAAAGGACCACATGACTCTGTTGGGTTCATTGTGCTCTCTGGACCCAGTAATGTGCACCAGGATTGCTCTGTCCTCTGTCTCTGTCACTTGTCTCTCAGAACCGTAGGTAGCCGGCATGCATGCTGTGGCAGCCACACTGATGACCTGAGAGGACTTTGGATCCTCCACTACATGACTCAGAAAAAAAAGGGATTTGCTGCTTTGTTTGTGTGTGTGTGTGTGTGTGTGTGTGTGTGTGTGTGTGTGTGTAATTGAAATTGAGAAGGCAGATCACCATTATTTACATCTGATATATGCCATTTAAAAAAATCCTGTTCCCTCATGAGAACGTTACTGGATATAAAAACGTCTATCTGAGACAGTGTTAAGTCCTCAAAGAGGAGCCATGAGTTACTTCTTACCTTGTGAAGACTCGGCCAAAAATGTGCTCATATACGTCTGTAGGCCGTAGACCTGTATATGTGGTGTTTTGTATACATATGTGTCTTACAACAGTGCATTGCCATTTGGGTTCTGTAATTAAAAGTGAACTTTGGTCAAAGTTAATGTGGTTTCCTTAGGTCTTCCAAAAAGAGTTGGGGAAGAGGACCAGCAGCGTGCAGGCACTGAAGCGCTCAGCCAGAGAGCTCATAGAAGGCAGCCGGGATGACTCCTCCTGGGTCAAGGTCCAGATGCAGGAATTAAGCACCCGCTGGGAGACTGTGTGTGCACTTTCTATATCAAAGCAGACGCGGTTAGAAGCAGCCCTGCGTCAGGTAAAGTCCACATAAACGATAGCTAGGTGTAGTCAGTGAAGTCCCGGGGCCTCAGCAAGAACAGCTCTGGTAGACCAGGGGTCCCATCCTCATCTTCTTCCTGATTGGTCATCAAGGAAGTCTGGACCCTTCTTCCTGCTTCCTACTTTAAAAACTTAAAGTACTTAGCAGGGGTATCTGCTAATCTCTGCTTAGTCCTGTTTGAGTGATGTCTCAGCTTGGAAGCCTGACTAGCTGCCACTCAACTAATGCTAAGCTTCAAGAATGGTGAGCTAGTCTTCCTGTAGGCCTTCTTGGTGTATCACATATCTCTTGATATTTGTAAAATACAGTGACATATATCACTATTTTCTTAACGGGAATAATGTGCATAATTAAGACTTTTGTCATGGGGGGGCATGTTTACAGTTCTGTAAATGTTACTAACAGGTATATTGGATATCTTGCTTTGTGTGTGTGTGTATGTATTAACTGTTAGGCAGAGGAATTTCACTCTGTGGTCCATGCCCTCCTCGAGTGGCTGGCGGAAGCAGAGCAAACGCTGCGTTTCCACGGTGCTCTCCCGGATGATGAGGATGCTCTCCGGACTCTCATTGATCAGCATAAAGTGAGTAACTTCCAGTTGGTGAGTAAAACACCATGAGAAAATGAAGGAGATAAAGAGAAGAAGCCCACGACTGCACATAGGAAGTGCAAGAATTTGTTCCTTCCTGAGAAGAAATTGACCATCTGGTACATTTGAGAATGTGTCCCTATCCTCCCTGCTTACACCTGTCCATAGACCCACACACCTAGGTAGGTAGCTGTCTTTTTCGATTCCCTTTTGAAAGAAAGGGGTCGTTGTAGAATTAGGCACTCCGTTTTCTCTCTCTAGGCTGCACGTTGATTCTTCCAGAGGATCATTTGGATTCTGACCAGAGTTAGTCCATTTTGTCACCACTTCTATGTGTATTTCAAGAATGAAGCTTCCTTAATGAACAGCTTGGCATTTCCAAAGCATCCCACTAGAATTGTACATTAATAATTTTGGCGTTTATATTGCAAAATAAGCAACTCACGTAAAGCCTTAGAATATTATTCTTAAGCATCTCCCACTTTGGGGGTTTAATTTATTTTATTTATTGACTTGATTTACATCTCGTGTGTTGCATGGACCACCCTGTGCTTACGGAGGTCAGAGGACAGTTCGAAAGAGTTTGTTCTTAACTTCTGTCGTGTGGAGTCTGGGGCTTGAACTCAGGGCTTCAGGCTTCAGCACCCACTCCACTCACTGAGCAGTCTCTCTGGGCCCACTCCTCATTTTTAATCAAGAGCCTTAGAAAAATTCTTATAAGAACTCACCTGTCATTTACATTACAAATGTAAAGCATTGATTTCATAGTGTTAAACAACTCACCAGGCAGAACTGTGGCCATCGAGTTATCAAGCCCAGCTAAGCTGGTTTCTGCAGCTGTGCTTGGAACTTTGGCCGAACCCCCCCCCCCCCCCCCCCCCCCCCCCCCCCCCCCGAGAGTGGTCCACATACCAGATGTGTTCTAACCTTTGACTGTCAGGGACAGTCAGTCAGGAATCTGCAGTGCTCACACCCTGTGCAGTGTTGATGTCCACACTTCCGATTAACGTGCAAGATTTTCTTCAGCACCACCTAATAACCTTGCCTTTCGAGGTCATGTTGGACGTGCATCCTTCTAGCACAGCATGTATCACATCATCCGATTCTTACTGTAATGACTGCCCTTCCTCAGGGAGGGGTTAGCTGACTACAGCACGGAAACATTGCCTTGCTGTTGAGAATGGTGCAGGCCTGCGTGGCATTACCTGGAGGGGTGCAATGCATTGTACACTGTTTCCATGCGAGGCCAGACTGTAAGAGTAGGAAAAAGGTGGCAAGCTGATGGTGAACTTTAGATTCAGCTCAGTATTTAGAAATCTAGTTTATATCACTGTGGGCTGACAGCCAGGCAGCATCAAATCCCACACCCAGACTGAAACTCTTACTTACGTTTGTAACCCTGACAGTATATGAATGTCACCAAAACCTTGTGCCCAGCAAGTACCAGCCGCTAACGGAAGTGTCTGTTCTGCTACAGGAGTTCATGAAGAAACTGGACGAGAAAAGAACCGAACTGAATAAGGCCACTGATATGGGTGACGCTCTTCTGGCCATCTGCCACCCTGACTCCATTACCACCATTAAGCACTGGATAACAATCATCCAGGCCAGGTTTGAAGAGGTCAGTGTGTCTCCCGTCGTCTCTGGTAGCAGTGGCTGTGAGTTAGGGCAGGGATGTGGGAAGCTTGCGCAGTGGAGGTGCACCACAGCTGTGGGAAGAGAGGCCTTCACAGGAAAGTGCCCTGTAGCCTGCCCTCTGCACACCAGCCCCTGAAGGTGCCTTCGGTGACAAAAGCTCCAGCGTCCGCAGCTGGGCCCTGCAACCCTAAAAGGCAGGTGTTTGGGTCACTGGAGGCTTTTGTCCCACCTGTTCATTGTGTCTGCTGAGAGATGCCACACTACTGAGGAGTGTTTGGGGCCGTGTGTGCTTGTGGAGTGAGTGAACTGGAGAACACAGCGGGGTAGAATTCCTGTTTAAGATCTTAGCACTTTAGCCGGGCGGTGGTGGCGCACGCCTTTAATCCCAGCACTCGGGAGGCAGAGCCAGGCGGATCTCTGTGAGTTCGAGGCCAGCCTGGACTACCAAGTGAGTCCCAGGAAAGGCGCAAAGCTACACAGAGAAACCCTGTCTCGGAAAAACCAAAAAAAAATTAAAAATAAATAAATAAATAAAAGATCTTAGCACTTTAGATTCTACTGTTTCTGAATGCTGCTTGGAATGAGCACCTTTGGTCCTTTAGAGAAAGAATACTTAAACTTGACAAAGCGCCCAGAAGAAACAGGAGTAACCCCAGATGCTGTCTACATCATTAGCGTCCTGGTAGTGACAAACACCCTTAAAAGGAGTCCTGGTGCTTCCTCAAGCTAGACCTTGGTGCCACTTGCCGGGTCTAGAGTGGAAGAAAACTTCATAGGTCTAGCCCAGCGTGATCCTAATTCACATTTAAAATTGGCATAGCTTATGTGTTTATGTTAATGAACCTGTCTCCCCGAGTTGGAAGAACTTCAGTGAACCATGTGCTTCTGCAACAGGTGCTAGCCTGGGCGAAGCAGCATCAGCAGAGGTTGGCAGGGGCCCTGGCCGGGCTCATTGCTAAGCAGGAATTGTTGGAAACTTTGCTGGCGTGGTTGCAGTGGGCCGAAACTACCCTCAGTGAGAAAGATAAGGAAGTCCTCCCACAGGAAATTGAAGAAGTGAAAACCCTCATTGCAGAACACCAGGTAAAGAAACCTGATCTTTACCCCATGGCCATCCCCTCAGATGTCTTCCAGTACGCTGCTGCTCCCGTGTATCTCCCAGCCCCAGGCTAGTGGGTTTCTTATTCCTTAACTGCCCTGCAGCACGTCTCTTCCGGGACCTCTGAACCTCTCCTTTGCTCTTGTGAAGTACTCCTCTGCCTCTTATGGCTCCTGAGCTACCACTGAACTGTCAGTTCAGCCCTCTTCTCCATTTTATCCTCAGCTCTGGTATTTTAACTCCGCTCCCTCTTTGGGCATCCTCGTCCATCCCTGTGACTCGGCCTGATAACTGCTTTATTGTTATATATTTGCATTTCCTGTTTCCTCCGATGACCAGTCACGAATATGCCAGATGCAGCCTACGTAAAAGGGCATGCATTTTCTTCCTCAGAGTCACTATTTACCCCATGTACCTGACTCATTTTAAACTCTGAAGTGCTGGTGTTTTATGAGCTCTGATTCATAGTTTGTTTAATTATTGGAGCTGGAGAGATGGCTCAGAGGTGAAGAGCACTCGGAGAGGGCCTAACGTCAGTTCCCAGAACAACACAGGGCAGCAAACAACCACCTATAAATTCAGTTTCAGAAACTCCAATGCCCTCTCTGGCCGCTGCAGACATGACACACAGGTGCTGTGCATATGGACAAGCAGCAACACACACGTCCACGTAACTAAAAATAAAATTTAAAAGTGTTACGTGGTCCAGAAATATCTCAGTGAATGTTCCCTGTGGTCGGAGGCATCACAGTGGCTCCAGTCTTCCAGCATGATAACTGTTTCAAAAACGTGTTGCCTCCGTCTTTACCTGTCTACCTCACCTTTCCCCCATCACTTTCCCCAGCAGCCTCTGCCTGTCCTCAGCCTTTGCCACATACCCCACATGTAGGGACCAGTCAGTAATAACAAGCCAGGGAGACACAATGAGGAACGGCAGGAGAGTGTAGTGAGCCTTTTCAATGTGACTCCAGTCAGCGTTAACTTCATTACCTCAGCCCCTTTGAAGTCCCTTCTGCCACGGTGTGCAAAGTCATTCCAGTGTTGAAGCTGTGTGGGTGGAATGTTCCGCATCAGGAAGGTGCTCACGAAAATCCCTGGTGGAGGAGCTTGGAAGTTCAAACCGAGTTGGTGCAGATAGTTGTGACCGCTTGCATACGTTGTTTTCAAACTGAAAAGTGGCAGTTTTGTTTTTCATTGGAGTTTGCTTTTTTTTTATTTGGTCAGGTGGACCGTTTTTGCATCCTTTGGAAATCAGTTAAAGCACACACTATTTTAGGCGTTTATGGTGATGAGCCTTTAAAAATGGCAGCATAGTCCTGTCATCCTGTATTCTTTGCTAATAATGCTGATATGATCTATGCCTTGATTTAATTGATGTCATTTTTTCCTTTCAGACCTTCATGGAAGAAATGACCAGAAAACAGCCCGACGTCGACAAAGTTACCAAGACCTACAAGAGGAGAGCAGCTGACCCTTCTGCTCTGCAATCTCACATCCCAGTCTTGGACAAGGGACGGGCCGGAAGTAAGCGGGGCAATCCCTTAGAGATGGCTGGACAAGCCAGTTCCTTTTCCTTTTGATTATCCTTTGAAATCCGAGAGAAAGTAGTGACTCCACAGGAGTCACTTAACCTTAAAAGGGTTTCGTAACGAAAATGTGGGCTTTAAGTATTTAGCTAATTTTTTAAGTGAAATAAAAGGTGTACTCTGGTGTCTCTCCTTAACTTTGTTTAAAATATACCTTGCAGACTTGAGAAGAAATTGGGGAAAGTTATAAGAATGTAAATCATTAGCTCACTTTCCTCCTGTTGTATAAATAGCATTAAAGCTGAGCAGTCTAAACTGACCATGATCTGGGTAAAGAATGGAATCCAACCATTCCTTCTCCTGTGGCTGCCGACTAACAGCCAGTCCTAGCCCACAAAATGGCCTTCAGAATGCTAGCAATTAGCTCCGAGAATGTTACAAAGCACAGTCTACATTGTACACTTTGTGTCTTTTTGAATGGTGTCTTAGTTTTTAAGTGGGAGCCGAGCTGGAGACCAGGTGACTGTAGCTGGAATACTTGAGGCTCCTTTCTGTCCCCACCACCGACCAGCTAGGAGGCTTAATATTGAATGATTTACCTCATGTTCAATTGGATTTCCTCATCTGCAAAATAGGGACGCTCTGTAACCTCTTTGGACCGAGTGAGCTGATGCGTGTGGAGCAGCTGCAGACTTTCAAGCATGTAGTTACCCTCATGTATTTGAGACTGGATGCAATACCATCTTAGGCCAATAATTTTTCTAGGCCCTATTTTGCCATTTAGTTAGATGGGGGAAATGCGGTTGTGAGCATTGCCGTGGAGACTTAAAAACAGCCAGAAAGGAGAAAGTTGACTCAGTAAGCGTGGGTGTGTTCATAGGAGAAGAACCACACACACTCAGTGGAGAATGGGCCTGGGAGAAGCGGGGGGACCCAAACATCTTCTTGGCGTCTCATTTGTGAAGCATCCGACTCTGGTTCCGGGGACGGCCACTTCTCAGCCTTGTTCTCTAGGAAGAGCGGGTGCCTTTTCTGACACCTACCCTAGCATGCATCTCACTGTGCCACCTCATCATTGAAATGACATGAATTTAAGTGGGACAGTGTTTTAAACATTAGATTTACCGAATTTTCAGTATCTGAGGGACCCCATCAAGACACATTTCTACATTGCGTAAGATCGGAATGTGAACCTTAGTGGGTAAGAATAACTAGGTTGGGATTTTCTGTGCAGTACACGGTAGTTAAAGTCCATCTCGGCTGGGAGCCTGTCAGCACACTGGACACTGAGCCATCCTGACTGGAGTCGTGTTTTCACAGGGAAACGCTTCCCAGCCTCAGGCTTGTATCCATCTGGACCGCAGACACAGATCGAAACGAAGAATCCCAGGGTTAACCTGCTGGTGGGCAAATGGCAGCAGGTGTGGCTCCTGGCTCTGGAGAGGAGGAGGAAGCTCAACGACGCCTTGGACCGGCTGGAGGAGGTCGGGAGACGTGCGCCTTCATCTCCATGCTTGATCATTTTGTGTAGATGGATGCCTCGTCTGCATGTACATCTGTCTGCACATCAGAAGAGGTCATCTGATCCCATGAGAGTACAGTTAGAGATGATGATGAGCCACCCTGTAGGTTCTGGGAATTGAGCTCAGGACCTCTGAAAAAGCAACCAGTGCTCTTAACCGCTGAGCCATCTCTCCAGCCCCAAGAAGGGCTTTCTAATGTGGTAATATGCACCCTGTGGTGGAAGGTTTTTATTTTTGATGTTGTGAAAGGACAGGAGGACAGCCAAGGCCTGCACCTTCACTGGCACTCTGGGCACACACACTTCTGTGACTGGTGGCATGAGCAGTTTTCAATGTAGAGATTTTGTTTGCAACGAAAAATCATTGATGTAGATTATAAACGCGATAAAAAGCCGTTTGTAAGATCATGGCTTTCTTTGAAATGGGAGAGAGATGTATCACCTGGAGAGAGATCATCATCAGCTTTTTTCTTTTTTTTTTCTTTTTTTTTTTTTTTTTGGTTTTTCGAGACAGGGTTTCTCTGTGTAGCTTTGCGCCTTTCCTGGGACTCACTTGATAGCCCAGGCTGGCCTCGAACTCACAGAGATCCGCCTGTCTCTGCCTCCCGAGTGCTGGGATTAAAGGCGTGCGCCACCACCGCCCGGCATCATCAGCTTTTTTCACTCATAGAAAATAGAATTTGATGCTCACATCCGTGCACACATAGGCAGCACTGAGCGGATTGAGTGGATATTATAAAAAAAAGAAAGAAAGAAATGAAGTTGGGAGGGGGCGTGTTAGGGGGCCTGTGAGAGTTGAAAGGGAGAATGTGGAGTTGATACTATGGTATTTCATTGTGTACACGTATAAAATTATAATAAAGGGTACAGACAAAAGTTCTAAGGTAGCTTGAGCACAGCACTGACTCAGCACAAAACGTTTGCTCTTTTTAGCTGAGGGAATTTGCTAACTTCGATTTTGATATCTGGCGTAAAAAATACATGAGGTGGATGAATCATAAGAAATCTCGAGTGATGGACTTCTTCAGGAGAATCGATAAGGACCAGGATGGAAAGATCACGCGGCAGGAATTTATTGATGGAATCCTTTCCTCAAGTAAGTCCCAAGACAGATGACCGCAGCTAGAGGAATTTGTGCAGAAAAGAAGCACAGTTGAAGATTGTGGGCCTAATGAACGCCTGTCGCTAAGAAAGCCTTGCCTTCTGGAGTGGCGAGGAGGTCACTGTTCTGTATGGCCACAGGAATGTCCCTCCATTCTCAAGCTGTGTTATTAGTATAAGTAAATTAACAATATTTGATTCTAAACAGTTTTTGTGTGTTACCTGGCATATAGTAGCAGATCAACAAATACTGAATTCTTTATCATCTTAGCTCGTAATTCTGATGTTTACATTCATTGAACACGAGCGCCCTGTTAGCTTGTTTGGCAGTTGTACAGAAGCAGCAAGTGCCGCTAACCACTGCGTCCCTGCAGCCCTCATCCTTCTTCTCGAAGATGAATTTGTATTGTATATTGTTGATTTATTATACTGCAAATGGGGCAGCTTTTTTTTTTTTTAACTGTCCCATCACCCCGAGGAGGCCCATTAAGAATAAAAACACGCAGTCAAATAGGTCTTCAGGTGTAATTAACAAACTCCCTTACCAGCGTGGTTGGGTCCATTTCAGAGTTCCCTACTAGTCGCCTGGAGATGAGTGCGGTGGCAGACATCTTCGACAGAGATGGTGACGGATACATCGACTACTATGAGTTTGTGGCAGCTCTGCATCCAAACAAAGACGCGTACAAACCCGTCACAGACGCCGACAAAATCGAAGATGAGGTACTCCTCCCCGTCTGCCCTCTGTGGGAGTGGTCCTCGGGTGGGCTGCAGGGGGTCTGTGGGAGCGGTCCTCGGGTGGGCTGCAGGGGGTCTGTGGGAGCGGTCCTCGGGTGGGCTGCAGGGGGTCTGTGGGAGCGGTCCTCGGGTGGGCTGCAGGGGGTCTGTGGGAGCGGTCCTCGGGTGGGCTGCAGGGGGTCTGTGGGAGCGGTCCTCGGGTGGGCTGCAGGGGGTCTGTGGGAGCGGTCCTCGGGTGGGCTGCAGGGGGTCAGTGTGACCCGTACAACCAGTTCAGCCGTTCTGAGGGTCTCACTATGACATGCTCAGATTAAAGTGACTGTTTCACCTTTGCTTTGGACAGGTCACGAGGCAAGTAGCTAAGTGTAAATGTGCAAAGCGATTCCAAGTTGAACAAATCGGCGACAACAAATACAGGGTGAGTGTGCCAGGCGACTGCACGCGAGAGTAGACGCTGAGGTGTGCATCCGTCAGACCGACATTGTTTTCACATCATCTCAGAATGTCACGGTGTATGAAACTCCACGGTTTTTCTCATCGTCAATGATACTAAGTTTCAAATTTATAGACTGTGTGTGTTGTGTAGATAGCTTGCACTTGAATAGCAGGCTATACTTGTAACATCTATGACATGCACATGACCTTTAGTCTTTTTTTACATTTGTTTATCTGTGTGTGTGTGTGTGTGTGTGTGTGTGTGTGTGTGCACATGCCACACCATGCATAGAGGTCAGAGGACATCTTGTAGGAGTCCGCTCCCCTCCGCTGTATGCATTCTAGGGACTGACTCGGGTCCTCAGGCTCCATGGCAGAGCCCTTACCATCTGAGTTACCTCACCCACACACCCATCACTTTTAAGGAGAAAAATGACTAAAAGTAAATACTCAAGTCATATATATTCAGGCTGTTCCACATTACTTCTTATTTTATGATGATTAGAGTAAGCGTCAAGCTTCTAAATAATAGTGACTCCAAAATCATGAAATTAACATTTTTCTTTTTGTCTAGAAATTAAAAATACAGACATGTTTTATAAATACGAAAAAGATGCATTTTTCCATTTATGTAGCTTTTTTTGTTTTTGCTTCTATTAAAAATCTAAATGAACTTGGATCACGTTCAAAACAGAACCATGTGATTTTATCATTCTGTCTTTGAAACATCTTTTAATTAGCAGCTAGGAGAAGACATGCTGAGTTTCCCATACACAGCAGGGTACTCACAAACGCAGTGTACTTTCGTTTTAAAAAGATGTTCATCTACCTGTTGAAATTTATAACTTCAATTCAAAATCCTAAGATTTTTCCAGTAAATTTGCAAAAAAAAAAAGTTTGGTTTGAAATCAGAACAAATGGGTACCTGCACATCTCTAAACTTGATACTGTATCCAGAAGTCCAGGGTGTGTGTGTCTGTATGTGTGAACTGAAGGTGAGAGATGGTGTGAGAGAGAAACTGTGTGAGTGTGTGTGTGTGTGTGTGTGTGTGTGTGTGTGTGTGTGTGTGTGGTGGTGTGTGTGTGTTCGAGCCATATAGAAAGTTTCCTGTTGAACTAATTTTGTCTTTCTTCCATTTTTCATTTTTTTTTATCAGTTCTTCCTGGGAAATCAGGTATAAACCAGTGGAATCTCGAGTTCCCAATGAGTTTTTGAATCTCTAATTCATAGTCATTCAAGCTTGCCATGGCTGGTCCTTCCATGCTGTCTTGCTAGCTACTACAATGTTGGTTGGTGTGCTGTATCTGTCAGCGCAGTCTTGGCCCGGGACTCCTGTATTGCTCTGTGTCTCGAATGAAGAGATTACTCTTAAGCAGACCAGATAATGACCTGCAGCTGATTAGCTGCCTCCAGTGTTGCACACACAATGTCCAAGGCCCATTTCTCCTTAACACCATTAACAAAGGACTACGCAAGTGATCACTGGAACAGAAACTTGATTCTCCATGCATCGCTGTGTCTGATTGTTCAGGTCATACAGCCTACAGCAGCATCAAGCAGTGACCCTGGGAAGACAAAGTACCAAGAGGTCTTCACGGGGCTTAGCCACGAGTGATGATGCGTGCTCCCCGCAGCCAGCTTGTTCCGAGTTACTAGTTTCCGGTGCATGCCAGGCCATGTCTTGTGCTGCCATAGCCAAATGTTTACGTTGACATCTCAGTTAACGTGGACTGCTTAGTGGTGCTGTAGCATGATTGGGATTTTAAAACTACGCACAGGAGAAATTACATTTTAATGGACGCATGATGAAGATGTTTTTGACTTCACTCTTCTGTCAGGGACGTACTATGTTAGGTAGTGACCACTGCCCCATCGGACGTCACATGACGTCTTTTCCCCCCTTTTATTGAGAATAGATTCTTTTCTCATACAGTATATCCTGATTACAGTTTCCCCTCCCAGTTCCTCTCCACCTCCCCTCCAGATCCACTCCCTTTCTGTCTCTCACCATAAAAATACTAAACTGAAAGCTACAGTATATACACAGAGGACCTGGTAAGGCCCAGGTTGGCCCTGTGCTTACTGCTTCCTTCTCTGCCCACACTAGATCTTAAGTTGCAAATTTCAATCAAAAGTTTAGAGTAAGCCAGGCAGCGGTGGTGCACACCTTTAATCCCAGCACTCAGGAGGCAGAGCCAGGCGGAGTTCAAGGCCAGCCTGGTCTGCAGAGCGAGATCCAGGAGGGGCACCAAAACTACACAGAGAAACCCTGTCTCGAAAAACCAAAAAAAAAGTGTAGAGTAAAATGACACCATTACTTTGAATAGATTTTTCCCTAGAAATACTTTAATTGTTATATACTAGTTTTAAATATATATGTGTAATATGCATATTTTTATATATAGAGAGAGTACAGTGTGATAATTTAATACATATGCACAGTGCAAGGATAAAGTCAGAGTAACATACCTATTTGTTATAACAGATAAACTGTTACTTTTTCATGCTTGGTATTTTCTGAGTCAACAAGTAGGGTAGTATCTTTTATTTTTGGAGAAAATAAGAGAAATTCTTACCTTCAAAAATTTTATGTGCTGAAAAATACAAAGCAATGTGGGTCTGTTTTTCTTGCCTCATGGTTTAGCCTTGAGAAAACTAGAGGAATCTAGAGACACTGTTAGTTGGCTGGAGAATACCTTGTTAAAGTAACATCCAAAGTCACCATATTTAATAGAACCAAAATACCATTTGATGAAGCATTTTCAGTTGTTTCCTTGAGTCTAATTTTGAACCTGGTCTTGAACAAGGTTCGCCCAAGCCCGTTATCTGGTTCCTTAAGAGTAATTGCCTTCACCCCCTCTTTTCCCTTGCTTACCAATCGCAGCTTCAGTTTTTGTCTCTAACGATACAAAGGCAGGTTTTAATGTTTAAATTCACATTTCAGAGGCAGTTCACCCACAGGAATGTTTAAGTTTCAGTGTTTAAAAATCAAATTTAGCAAGAGCTCTGACTAGAGATGTGATTGTGAAACACTGAGTTCCTGCTGGTGCGCTTCTGTGCCCATCTGAGCTTCGGTTTCTGAATGGAGTCTGGCTGACTCTTTGTTAGGGTTCTCACCCTAAAATCCAGTGTTAAAGATCATAGAGAAGTAGCAGGGTGTTTCTATGTACCGTAATAGGTGCAGGGAACAGTCCCAGGCATCTGTTGGCATCTAACGAACTGCCAGTTCCTTCTCTGTGTCGCTCACTGAGTTGTTAAGCTCGGGATTCAGTGTGGTGGTTTTCACAGGTGGATGTGAGCCTCTTAGAAATGATTTCCAGGTACAGAATTATTTCTTAGTTTCAAAACGAGTAAGCCTATGACCAGAACTACCTGTGGCCTCGTGTTTGTTCAAGACTTGCAGACTCCGCGCACATCCACGATGGGCGCGTCACTGAGGGAGCACCGCCAGTACCAACCGCTTTGAAGAAAGCCCTTGTAGGTTTGAGAGCTGTGTCTTAGTAATTCTCCAGTACCTGTCTTAAGGCTGCAGTCATGCATACAGTGGCATGTTAATCCAACCTCTAGCCAATTGGTTTACCAGACCATTAGGGATCCAGAAAGTTTAGTATGGAACGTTTATTAATTGTAAGTCCTAGGGAAAACGAAGGAGCTTAAGGTTTTCTCACAGGTCTCACAGGAAAGTCGTTTTATCTTCAGAGGTAGTTTTTCCAAATCAGTTTGGTCAAGTCCTTACACCTTATTTTGTGTAAGTCCTGGGCAAGTGGACCTGTGCTTATGTTCGTGGCTGCGCTTAATGTCTAGGGATCTTCTCAGTTCCTGCCTTGCGAGTGTTTTTCCTGTTATAAGAAAGAAAAATAATTTGTAACTTTAGAACAAAGCTTCAACATTATACTTGATTAACCTTTGTGATCTTTTTTTTTTTTTCCAACTGCTTCCTTTGAGCTAAATCGGCATGCGGCAGTCTAATGTAGATCATTACACACCCCTTTTGAGAGCTCACTAATGAATCACTGTGAACTAAGCAAACAGTTCGGTTGGTTGCTCACGCCACCGCAGGCTGCTCATCACCCTCCCTCTCAGAGTCGGTCCTGACAATCAGAGCTCCTCTCTCTCTTCACTGCCTAGTTTGGAGACTCCCAGCAGCTGCGACTGGTCCGGATCCTGCGGAGTACGGTGATGGTTCGTGTTGGAGGTGGATGGATGGCTCTGGATGAGTTCTTAGTGAAAAATGATCCATGCAGGGGTAAGGAGACGCTTTTGTCAAGGTGTCGGCACCGTGACCGCACAGTAGTGCCGAGTGTACCCGCACTGAAGGCATGCTGGGCCCAACTAGAAACCCACAGCTGATGTTTTACATGGGCTATAAAACACGTTCTTTCTTCTTCTTCTTCTTCTTCTTTTTTTCCACTGATGGAATGAATTTGAGACAGGTAGGTAGGAAATATAGTCTAGAATTTCTGTGTATGACCCTCCTATCTACAATTTTCAAAATGAACATTTCCACTCACCAAGGCAGACTTCTGTCTGTCGTTGAAAGAAAATTCACATGATAAAGTCTGAAACTAATAGAGAGTAAAAGTTTAAAAGTCAGATTTTTATGAAATGAGGGGAGAGGAGGGAAAAGCGGTGCGTAAAAACAAAAGCAAACACTCTTTGAAGTTGAACGACAGAATGTTGAAAATGTAAATATTATATTGTAGCTTTCTTCACCTCTACGAGCCCAGAAGTTTTAACTCAGCTTCTAATATTCCTATTTTCTCTTTTTAAGATTGCACTATTATTTTTTACTATATGTGTGTGTGTGTGTGTGTGTGTGCAGTGTATATGTATGTGCCAGAGTCCACAGATCCTCCAGAGCTGGAGTTACAGGTGGTTGTGAACTACCCATGGCTACTGAAACCAAACCCAGGCCCTTGGCAAGAGCAGTAAGTGCTCTTAACCACTGAGCCCTCTCACCAGCCCTAATATTCCTATTTTCATGTCCTACAGTTACTTGATTCCTAGTTGATCATATGGATATTTGATTACAGTTTCTAATCAGGTGCCATCTACTCAGTAAGCATTTGTTATTTACTGGTTTAAACAAGAAAACAATAGGGTTGATGATTTGTCTTAATCTGTGCGCTTATTATAGTCCTCTAAAAACATCTGTTCCAGTTTTGCCTGTTAAGCTACCAGTGGAAGACCAAGCAGGAAGTCTTTCTTTCAATGCTGGCGTCTGGAAACAGATGTATCAGTGTCAACAGGCATGTCCAACAAGGCCAACATGAACTGTTGTGCGGCCACACAGCAGCCCTGCTCTTTGGTAGCTAAAGATGCAGCTTACAGAGGAGTACAGCCAGGCATAAGCTCTCCTGTTCCATCAATTATGCTTGCTTAACACTGAGGACAGGTTCTGAGCAACATGTTGTCAGGCATCTTCATTGTGGTACAGACATGAAGTGTACTTAATACAAACCTAACCGGTGTAATGTCCTACACACCAAGGGTATCTGGGGTGTGTGTGTGTGTGTGTGTGTGTGTGTGTGTGTGTGTGTGTGTGTGTGTTTGGTATATTACCTGTTGCTCCAAAAGCCATGATGAAGAAAGCAAGGTGAGTCTAAATCGAGCACAGGATAAAATTATGCAGCCAAGAAATGCAGCCATTATAAGATGCATAGGGCGGGCTGCCGCTGGTCTGACACAGCGTGCTGTTCTCCCGAACCTTCATACGGGTAGAAGAAACGTGCTCTAATAGTAAACATGATATGGTAAACACGCAAACGAGTCACAGTCACTGTTAGCACTATTGGAGCGTTGTGTCCTATCTGTAACCGTGTCATGGTTTTCTCTGACTGGTATTGCAGTAGGCTTGTTCACACCAGCATCGCCACAAATACCATGCCCTTGAGGTGGCTACAACATGAGGCAGGTGGTAGGAATTTCTCAGCTCCCTTAAAGCCTGCTGTTAAACAAAATGTCTGTTTGCGGTGCACGGCTGTACTCTGAAAAGAATGCAGCCGAAGGTAAATGCCGCCGTAACTAGGAAACGACGATGCAGACGCACACCGTTCTGTGGGATCCCAGAGGACAAGCTAGCACGACCGGCCAAGCTTTGCAGCTGCCTTCTCCTGGTGGAGTCGGACCTTGTAGGGCTTCTTCTCCTGATGCAACTTCTGTCCTAAATGTGTGCTAGAGGCTGGATCTGAGCACCCTTTGCATATCCAACTGCTGTACTTTGTTTTCTCTGCTAACAGTATTCTTTAATGTGATTGGTATCCTGTGTCATCTTTTCTAGTTCATCATCATGGGAGTAAAATGTTACGTTCGGAATCAAACTCTTCAATTACTACTACTCAGCCTACTATAGGTTGGCAACCCCTCTCTTTGGCTCTCCCCTCTTACTTTTCTCTTTCCTACCTTTACATTCTTGCTTCCATGATTTGTTTTACTATAATATGCTTCATTCACGTGTATGGCTTAACTTACATCCAGCGAGCTGGGGCTTCTAGTCTTAAATTCTGAAAATGCGACACACTCCGAGTATGTCGCAAGTGCAAGTGTTTATACAAGTGATCAAGCACATGCTAACACGTTGCCCATCGGGTCCCCGTGGAGCGTTCTCCATGTGCATATGTGTTTGTATGAGTGCTCCATCACTGATTGCCTCGTGGATTCCTGGGTCTGGTGTTTGTTCTGCATGTCAGTAAAACAGTTTGGGTTTTTTGTTTTGTTTTTTAAGGCCTAAAATTAAACTACTAGTCTCCTCACTTCAATGAAAATTCTGGAAGTTTTTTATGTTATCTTCATGACTAACAAGCCATCTCCGATTTTGTGTAATTGTTTAATCCCAGTGTTACATACTGGCATTCTCCGGACCTCAGCAATACATGCAAAAGACACGGCCCTGCCTCCCTGACTTGTCTACTCGGTGTGGTGTAAGGGTGACCGAGTGCGTGGGCATCAGTAGCTGGTGGATTAACAGGAGCATGAGCTTTCCATTTTCATGCCGACCTTGTTCCACACTGGTTATTCTTGCTGGTGTCTAGTGGTAGAGTAAGCACATCCCTGCCCATCTCCACGCTGCCTTGTATCCGAGAGGAATGCATTGTGAAGGAATGCATTTGACTTCTTGTTATGCTGAGTTGGAGTTGGCATGGCAAAAAGATGTCCTCGAAATTCTCAGCGTGCTCTCTGGTGTCAGGTGCCCCCACCCCCCACCCCCACCCCCGGCCCCCCTGCAAAGACTGAGTGTTTTTTCTCTTCTCTCTTTTTTTTTTTTTTTTTTTATGTGCATTTTGCTGCATGTGTGTGATCCAGCTAAAGGAAGGACCAACATGGAGCTCCGTGAAAAGTTCATCCTAGCAGAGGGTGCCAGCCAGGGCATGGCTGCCTTCCGGCCACGAGGCCGCAGATCGCGACCTTCATCCCGAGGGGCTTCACCCAACAGATCCACTTCCATGTCCAGCCATGCTGGCCAGGCAGCCTCCCCACAGGTGCCTGCTGCCGCCAGCACACCCAAGGTAGGACTCCGGGCCGGCCGGGCTCTCTCCGCTCCCAAGGCGCTCATACTGCAGCATACTGTCGGGTGCTTTACCGCTCTGGAATCTGTAGGACCAGCCACATCCATTTCTATCTCTTCTCACCATGCTTTATTATTATTATTATTATTATTATTATTATTATGCTTTGCTCAGTGTCCCATGAAGCAGTTGTCTGTACTGCAGGGTTGCCTGTCTAGGGCCTCACGTGTCATCTTTCAGATGGAATTTTCTGTTTAAAAGCCTCATTCTCTCTCTCTCTCTCTTTTTTAATTTGCTGTGTCTGACTTGTCGTCAGCTCTGTCCGTTTTTTTTTTTTTTTCTCATTGCCCGTGTAACGTGACTCCGCTGTGAACCCCTCTTGCCCGTGGGTTTGTTTTTTACCTGCTGTCCTTCACCTTTGATTTGCCATTGTTCCACGCAGATTCTCCACCCTTTAACACGCAATTACGGTAAACCGTGGTTGACAAACAGCAAACTGTCAACTCCTTGTAAAGCAGCCGAGTGCTCAGACTGTCCCGTGTCATCTGCAGAGGTATCGTCGGGCCCCAGACTCCAGTCTTAACAGCCTCCCTTGACTGATGCTGCCACCTACTAACACTGCTGACTCTTGATAATATTCCATCTTCCGGTCACCTTCTAGAAAACGGTCCTCGGGGGACATGGGATTCAGGGGTTATCAGAAAAGACCCTCAGGGGACATGGGAGTGAGGGGTTAGCGGCAGTTTGGCACGTTCACACCATCAGGCTGTGTAACAAAAGCTGTGGCTTTTGTTCCCATTCATACTTAATTCCACGTGTGTCTCTTAGAAGAATAAAACACAAAGTGTATATTCAGGCCTATGAAAGTTTTACTTGAATGCTTTTGCTGATAGATTTAATTCAAGCAAGAAGCTTAGCCCATTCCCTTAGATGAGACTGTGAAACAGTGTCTTTTGCAGCATTAGCGGGAGAATTACTTAAAGATTTTAGTAAGTGTTCACCGTGGACGGTCCCTCTGGACACCTGTGGCATTCACTTCTGCTCGTCCGTGCTGGCCAGGCATGACTCAGTTCTCAGTGCAGGCATCGGGACGAGCGTAGGAATGTAGGAAGCTGGCTGTCGTTTTCAAAAGGTATCTGTACTACATTTTAGTACTTCTCAAAATGACCTGGTGTAAGAAGAAGATATCTAGAATAGTTAAGACAACATTTGCCAAGATTAACTCACATCTCAGATCGTCCGCATTCAATTAAAAAGTCAACCATCTATTTGTTAAAGAAACTTGTGTGAATTGATCGATGAAGACACCATTTCACATACTTGATTAAAACCACAACAATGAATCCCAGCACTCGGGAGGCAGAGCCAGGCAGATCTCTGTGAGTTCGAGGCCAGCCTGGGCTACCAAGTGAGTTCCAGGAAAGGCGCAAAGCTACACAAAGAAACCCTGTCTCGAAAAAACCAAAAAAAAAAAAAAAAAAAACACAACAATGGAGGAGGGGTCCCTAAACATCTTTTCTTGGAAATAAAAAGATATTCTTGGCTCAGTGATTTGAAAGCCAGCTTAGGGCTTTCAAGCCCCTGTCTGAAAGAAACACCGTACTTTCTAGAGCCCTTAATGGTTTTCCTGACTCTGTTACTGGGCAGAGGGAAGTTCCTGTCTTCTGTCCTCAGGGTCAGTCCCTGAGTAGCCAAGTGGAAGAAGTGAGACAAACCCAGGCTCCCTTTCAACAGTCCTTGTTTCCTCCTCATTCCTGAGTCCCACTTGTCCCCTCGAAGTGGGAAACACTAGCATCATAGAGTGCATCTAGAAAGGTCTGTTAGTTGTTCGGAATCTATTATGTAAAACCTGGGAAACTCCGAACGGACCTCCAGTGACAGATCAGTGTTTTGTTTTAAATACTTGGGGCTAAGTGTCTGTGTTCACATTTTTATAAAAGTAGCAACTGCCCCAATTAAAGTAGGGGCTGGGGAAAGAAGGGACTCAGCTGCTAAAATGCTTGCCGTGCAAATAAGAGACCTGAGTTCAAATCCCCAGAACCCACCTAAAAGCATGGTACTTGGGGTTGGGGGGGGGGCAGAAACGAGCCAGGGAATCGCTAAAAAAAAAAGGGGGAAAGGCAATCGGGGAAGGTACCCAATGTCTACCTGTGGCCTCCACACACACAGACTCACATGTGTATGCTCACGCCCGTATGTAAGTCTTAAGTACATCAGTTGGATTGACACAATAGTCTACTTTATTTTAAGGGATAACCTCACAAAATTTAAAAAAAAAAAAAAAAAAGGAAGGAAAGAGCAGTGTGCCTCCGTAGAGCAGTGTGTGTGTGTGTTGAAGTCCAGACAGCCAGAGTGTAATGAAGGTGCTCCTGTCATTCACAAGACTCTCTTCTGTAACCCTGGGTGATAGCTTCACTCACAATCAGTGGTTGCTCCCTGTGGACAGTTGAGATTCTTCTTAAATGAGGAATTTCACTAGATCCACATTGTCAGATCTTGAGTGGTGAGGTGATGGAGGGGCTTAACGGTGGCTAATGTATATAAAAGCAGGTGTTTACTTATATAAAGCATGCATAAGTGATATGCTGGAGCCAGGCAGTGGTGGCGCATGCCTTTATGATCCCAGCACTCAGGAGGCAGAGGCAGGCGGATCTCTGTGAGTTAGAGACCAGCCTGGTCTACAGAGCGAGTTCCAGGACAGCCAGTGCTACACAGACAAATCCTGTATCAACAAAACAAAACAAAACAACAACAACAAAAAGGGACTATGCTGGAGCTTTTTTTAAAGGGTGTCATTCCAGCACTCGGAGTATGACAAAAAGGAGAATCAGAGTTACAGACCAGCCATAGCTACGAAATGAGTTTGAGATAACCTGCGCTACATGCCTATTTAAAACCAGAAATAAATTACCAGCACCCAGCTATGAGTATAGAACACATGGGTAGATAAAGGTTAGGAATCAAATACTAACACCAATAAATGCAATGTCACGTGATAACATCAATACCAGAAGTTGTGCATAGCTTTACTAAGAATTTTAGACTCTAATGGGAAGATTGTTTAAAAATATATAGTCCTCATTTTTATAGATTTGTTTTCTCTATGGCTCCTTGGGTACGTGCTCATTGACAAATATGAAATCCCATACTTTTTATTTTTTAACTTCAGGAAAATTGCCCCGTACATTTTCCTTAAGTGATTGTTTTAAGCAAGTATCCCAAAAGTATTGCCTATAAATTTGGTATGGTTGAGCCAGGACCACAAAGAATAAACAGCGGAAAGGAAGAAAAGGGATAGGCCGGGAAGTGAACACAGGCTGTGGAAAGTTTTAAGCTTTTTCCACGCTGTCATATCGTCAGGTATTTTTTTTTTCTCACCTCCCCATTCCATCTCTGTGTTTACATCTGCCTCCTTTTCTTAAGAACAGAGGGACATTGGTCCACGCAGGGTTTGCAGCGCTCTGTTCCCCTCTCTGCACACTCACCAGCCTGGGGACAGCTAACACTGTAACACTGACAGTCCGAGACACTAACACTCCCACGGCCTAATCTGTCTTGTTTGCCTGCCCATGGCTTTGGTGTTCTGTGGGGGACTTCGGGTTCTGTGTTTTCTCTTTCATCGTGGAGCCATTTTCTTTAGAAGTTTCCTTTATGTGAGTAATAATAACAGACCGGAGGGGGAAAGCACGAGAGAGCCACACGCCCTGCTTTAGCTGAGGCGTGTCTACCTCCTCCAGAGGACGTGTCTAGATGTCCGGCCATGAGTAAAGTATGTCAGTGTGGAATATCACGAAACACAGGCAAAGTCTTACGTGTTCTCTGCACTGGTCACACACAGGGAACTCCAATCCAGGGGAGCAAGCTACGACTTCCGGGGTATCTGTCAGGGAAAGGCTTCCACTCCGGGGAGGACAGAGCCTTGATCACAGCCGTAGCTGCCCGAGTCCGAACGCAGCTCGCTGGTGAGTGCGGGCCATTTCTTTCTTTAACAGTGACCTCAGGACTAAAGTTCCCTCTCTTCCTGATTTGAAAAGAAATGTTTTGACAAGGCTGTATTCTTTTGAAATGAATCGAAGCCCTAATCCTCCAACAAAGACAGGAGATAAGTGAATCCTAGGAACAAGTGACTAAACTATCTCTTTTGGAAAGTACCAGAGAAGGTTGAAGCATAAACAGACCAGCATGGTGACCTTCACTCTGGGAACCTCCTTTGTCACTCAGGGAGCGCACGTGGAGCTGTTCTGGGCAACTGGGGAAACTGTTCCAGTTACTGGGCCTTCCATAAGTATTCCTTCAAAGAATCATGAATTTAGTGACACTTCTCACATTATTTAAGACACTTCCCCTCAGGCAAGACTTATACCTGAGAGTCTGTGGGTCCCTGTAACGCTTGGAGAGCATCACCTCCAGCAGCCGGGGTGTTCTTTGTGTCTGTCTGTAATGGAAGTGTCTTAAGTTTTAAATGGAGTAAGTCCAGACTTACCTTTGGAATGTCTATCTCGGTGTTGATATTTAATGTCTACTTAGGATGAGGCTGCCAACCCTTGTGTGATCATGAAAAGCCGCAAGACCAGAGTATTCTTATGTGACTACCGAGTGCAAGAGAAGCACGTTGAGATCAGCCGTGACGGTTCAGTTTTCTAGACTCGTGTGGAGGTGACTCAGGTAACACAGGTGACTCCTCTCTCTCTCTTCTCTCCTCAGAATCCAGGAAGACTCCCAGCCGCCCCGGAAGCAGAGCCGGAAGCAAAGCTGGCAGTAGGGCCAGCAGCCGCCGAGGCAGTGACGCGTCAGACTTTGACATTTCCGAAATCCAGTCTGTGTGCTCAGACGTGGAGACTGTCCCACAGCCGCACAGACCTGTGCCCCGAGCAGGTTCTCGGCCATCCACAGCCAAGCCTTCAAAAATCCCCACGCCCCAGAGGAAGTCACCTGCCAGCAAACTAGACAAGTCTTCAAAGAGATAGTGCAATTGGCTCCAGCAAGCCCTTCCCTGAGCATTTATTATTTAAGTGAATGATGTAAAATGCGATGTAGAGATTACTGTGAAATATTGCAGGAGGCGAGTTTTAAATTCTACAGATGGCCTTATTTGTGTATTTGTCTTTTTATTTGATCTGTATCACTTTTTGGTCAGATTTTCTGGGGGTAAAAGTCACATCATATGTGATAAGGAAGAAAGGGTTTAACATGAACTGGTGTTCCTGCACTGTCACGTGTAGACCACACACTAAAGTCGGTTACTGTCCTACAGGTAAGTCTGCATCCTCGACGACAGCCACAGCACTACACAGCTGCATTCAGGGATACCTCATGACACTCGTCTCTGTGAAAATTCCGAGCATCTGACAGACTTAGCAGGGAAATTTTTTTTTTTTTTTTTTGAGATGCTTTAACTGTAAATCAGAAGGAAAGTCAAAGGAAAAACACATCAACACCCAGTTCTTCAAGCAGTAACCAACAGAGACTCACAGGAGTTTGCTCCAAGCAGCCGCGGGTAACCAGGGTGTGCGAGCACCTCTCAGCATCCTTGATCCGTTGCTTCAAACGCAGCCAGACGTGCCCTGGGTATCAGCCGTCTACACTGTAAGAATGTGATGCCAAGTGCATTCGTATAAACGTGAGGTTTGCTTTGCTTGGGTGGACAGCAGCCCTGTATCATTGAACTCATTTTGTAACAGCAATTTCGCTTGCAAAAAAAAAAAGAAAGAAAGAAAGCTATGAAATAAAACATGTCCCTTAACTTCATTGCTATGGAATTAATTTTTTTCCCCAGGGAAAACTGGTGTATTTTTTTATGAACAGTATCCATTTGGAGTGACCAAAAGATACTTTAAAAGTGGGTTTATTTTGATTTCTCATCTGGAATAATCATGTTCTGGTATTATATCGACTTATATTTAATAAATATGCATTTTAATTTATTATGTATACTCACATACTAGAGAAAGATATTAGTATGCATTTAATAAAACATATTCACTTGAATATATGGAATACTTGATTATTTAAAGTGAGCTTTTCTGTTTGTTTTAAAGGATATACCAGTAGTGTGACAGGGAAGGTTTGGAGATGTAAAAGGAGGTTAGAATGAGTTCGAACCACCTGTTCTATAAGTATTTTAATATACTCTAATTATATGCCCACTAGTGTTAAGGATGCTTAGGCTACGGTGGTCCTGGCCTCATGGAATCATGATGAATCACTAAAAAGCATGGACAGAAGTGAGCCATCTAACAAGATGACTAATCTTATCAATAGTATTATATTTTTCTACCATCTGTGTGAGCTTTTTGTTTGTTTTTAATCAAATTACACAGTTCTCCTAAAAAAGGAAACAGCAGGAGGATGTATAATTAGAAGGATGACAGGTGACTCCTTTGGGCATGACGGATCACAACACCCTCTCTAGCCGAACACAGTTCAGGAAAGGGTAGTGTGTTGCTGTTCAGGTACATGGAGAGAGGCTTATTTTTTTTCATGCTTGCTATATCGTTCGTGAGAGTTGGTCCCTTGTCTACAGTGCCTCTGCCCTTGTCAAGGTGTGGATGAGATAATTCTGACCATGAGACGATGTGGGAGCTCGTGCATTTGATTCCGCACATCATCTAAAAAGGAAGCTGAAATGGCTGTTCCTTCAATGTTTTATACAAATTAGGTCTTTATTTTTAAAGACAGACTTAAAGGAATGATTTTGTTTTCATCTGTCGAAAGCTACCCCTGTTAAAGAGGTAAGGAGTCTTGGGTCTGGAGAGGTGGCTCAGTGGTTAAGAGCATTTGTTGCTCTTGCAGAGGACCTGGGTTTGGTTCCCAGCACCCACGTGGCGGCTCACAACCATCTGTCACTCCAGTTCTAGGGGATCCAATGCCTTCCTCAGGCCTTGTCGGGCATCACACATGCGTGACGTACATGCAGGCAAACGCTCCACACATAAAGTAACAACAATCAAGAAGGCTAGGGTCTTCTTAACTGGTAAGGGAAGCTTTGGGAAGAAGATGGGTGGTTAAAGGGAGTCGAGAGAAGGCTTAAGCATCCTACCTCCTCAAACCATTGGGAGTTTCCTTTCTCCATCTGAGTTTGCGCCACTCCCAGAGTACTGAGCACTCTGGTCCTGAGCACAGAACACCCCCCCACGCACACACACCCCTGCACACAGCCCTTCTCTTCTCTTTGTTCTCCCTACTTTTTCATTTTCCCTTTTTCCTCAAAATACAGAGCCCGGCTTCCGGCTTCCGGTGCTTCTAGGAATGTGACACTTGGCTCCAGCAAGGGAAAGCTTCCCCCAGCCAAAGTGTTACTGTTGTAACTCTGCTCCAGCAAGAGCCGTCACGACTCTGCTCGGCTCCGGTGAAAGTTGTTACATCTCTGCTCCACTCCCCTCTAGCAAAAGAAAGCCGTTACAACACACCTCACTCGAGATTTATTGGAAGGGAGGGATCTAGCAGAGTGGCTGCCTCTGCCAGGGTAGAAAAAGTGCGGCCCCAAACTGAGCAGGTACAGGGCTTACATAGGATTTCTTAGGGGCGGAGCTCTCCAAGGTGGAGATTCTCAGGGTGGGGGATCGGTAGGATCTCAATTCCTGAGCTTGGAACGATCTTGCACAGATTGGTAGATTTCATGCTCAGCGATTGGTTGGTTTCATGCTCTGGGATTGGTTGGTTTTCATGCTCAGTGATTGGGTTGAATTTCAATTCCTGAGTTGGTTAGGGGCAGGGTGTGTTTCTTTGGCTCTGGTCTCAGGGCCAGAGTTTTCTTCCACTGGCCTTTTTTAACCCTTCACGAAGTGGTACCTCAGAGGAAGTGCAAATGCCCAGAGTGTGAAGACAAGCATGCTTAGGATTTTGGCAACTATTCAAAAAATAGAGAAGTGTGGTAGTTTGAGTAAGAATAGGCTCATAGATGGGAATATTTAGTCACGGGGGAGTGGCACTATTTAAAGGATTAGAGGAACTGTGTCCCTGGGGGTGTGATTTGAGGTTTCAAAAGCCCATGCCAAGCCCAGTATCTCCCTCCCTCCAACTGCGGATCAGATGGGGATATGGCTCTCAGCTACTGCTCCCGAGCTATGTGTGCTACCATGCTCCCCACCCTGGCGACAATGGACTAAACCTCTGAAACTGTAAGCACGTCCCCAACTAAATGCTTCCTTTTGTAAGCGTTGCCTTGGTGTCTCTTCACAGCAATAGAACAGTGACTATGGCAAAGGGCCAGGGAGGGGGACAAGTTACACTTTCTGAGTCAGGAAAGTGAGGAGACTTGGTGAGCATCAACAGATAACTGCCCCAAAGAGGTGGGAGTGAGAAGTTATGGTTCTCCTGGTATGTATAAGTACATTGTCGCCAGGTGGTGGTGGCACACACCTTTAATCTCAGCACTCGGGAGGCAGAGCCAGGTGGATCTCTGTGAGTTCAAGGCCAGCATGGTCTACAGAGCGAGCTCCAGGACAGGAACCAAAACTACACGGAGAAACCCTGTCTCAAAAAACCAAAAAAAAAGTGCATTGTCTCATTCAGATTATTATTCCCTCCAACACCTTAGCATTTCTTTTGGTATATTTGCTTTCCTGAGGGGTGGTCTCCTGACCAAGTAATTGACAGGCCCAATTGGATCTTAAAGGGGAAGAAGACTATATTTGGGGCAACTTAGAATATCATATCCCCCTCCCCAGGGCCAGGGGTAGAACTCACTCCATTTTTCTGTATAGCAGGAAATCTCTTTCCTTTTATGGACCTTAATGGAGCCCTGATAACATTTACGTGTGGTATTTTAAATCTTAACTAAGGGTAAAACTGATCCTTCTCAGTTCGGTGCTACCAGGGAAGCAGGTGGAAATAGGGGTCCATCCCCAACAGTCTCCAGGCCTGCTAATGTCTGCCCAGCTACCTAACAATTTGTATGGGAATTTCTTCTAAGATTTTTTTTTCAGTTCTGTCATTTTTATCAGCTCTCTAATCCAGTCTCATTAAGGTGACATTTATCTTAACAACGTTGGTGTCCATCCATGTTTCAATGTTCCTGTTTGGATTTTTCTCAAATCTGGTGTTCTATAAGAGGGTGGAGGCATGCAGGAGGTGTTGTATTGTGGCTTCCTCCAAGACTGAAACATTCTTTCTTTCACGGAAGCTCCTTAAGCAAGAAAGTAAACAACTTAAAATAGCTTCAGGAAGTCCCTGAAGTTAGGCAGATTCCCTGGGCCCCTCTGTAGCGTAAGCAATAAAGGCTGAAAGTTCCTCTCAGAAGAATGAGCCAAGCTGCAAAGACTGAGACCAGACCGGCTGCCTGCAAGAAGCAGGAACCAGCCCCTGGGAGAGGTTGAGACCAACTGAGTCACTGGGAAAGAACACTCCAACCTGTTGAGCTGGATGCAGGCTGTGCAGTGCGCTTCAGGTTCCCGTCTTTTGTGAGCTGTCACCCATGCTGGGGTGGGCTTTGGTGATGCATCTGTCTTTGAATCATTTCTGCTCCTGTAAGTAACCATTCACCCATATACCTGTAAGTAACCCCAATAAAACTCATGGTTCACCGAGTTGAACTTTGGTGTTGTCCATACTTTGGTCTGTCGTGGGCTCCCTATTTGGGGTGAGTAGACATTTGTGTTGCGTCTCCCTGTTATTTATTAAGCGGCGCTGTTTACCATATGAGAGAAGGCACGAGGCACAATAAAACCCACTATAAGAGTTTATTAAGGGAAGGGAATAGAAAAGGTGTGCATAGGCCTATGGAATGACCTTGCAGGAAGAGAGAGAAGGAATAGGTGGGATGTAGATGTAATTCTAAACGGTCTTATTAAATGAAAAACAGAGCCAAATACAGAGTTAAAAGCTAGAGCAGTAGCCAAGAGCTAAGACCACCTTATCTTACCACTCGCTGCCATCCTTCCCCTGAGAGAGACCTTCTTCCTGCATCCTTTTTATTGCCTTTCTGCTCTGCCTTCTCATTGGCTCTAAACTCAACCACATGACTTCCTCATCACTGCCTGTCTATACAGACCTCCAGGTCTCTATGGTTGGTACTGGGGTTAAAGGCGTGTCACCATGCTGGCTGTGTCCTTGAACACACAGAGACTCTGCCTGCCATGTGATCGGATTAAGGGCGTGTGCTGCCACTGTTAGACTTCTGCTTAATGGCTATGACCTCTGATCTCCAGGCAACTTTATTTATTAACATACAAATAAAACCACATTTCAGCACAAATAAAATATCACCATAGTGAAACCCGCTTTTTTAGGTCCCCCGCCCCCACACATGGATTTACATAGATACACCACGCACATGCATAGTTACGTGATCCTGATCGCACTGCTCGCAGAGTGACTAGGAATTCAACACTCCCAGGAAAAGTTTTGTCACACAACAGGAGGGAAGGTGGCCAGGGTCTGACCTTAAATAGACTGGACTGTGTTTATTAGCACACACAGCAAGGGACAGCCTCTCTTCCATGGGAACTTGAGGGGTCTGCCAGGGGAAAAAGCTGGCTGTGACCCTTTATAAAGGCAGGGTGAGGGGCTTGGGAATAAGGAAATTGTTGCAGCCATAGCCCAGCCCACGTGTCTCTATAGTGTCTTCTTCCTGGAATTGTTTGCCCAAGGCAAGGCAGGCCCAACAGGTTTTCCTTTCTGTGCTGAGCAAAATCATCTGTAGCCTCATAGGAATCTTGTTTTACTACTGTGGCACTCTCTTGGGGGTTCGAAAAGAAAGAGACCACCGTTCCGATTGAAGTATCTGGACAAGACAGAATTTACTTCAGGATGCATTGGGAAGAGCCAACACACAGACAGGAAGTGAAGGGACCGTTATTGGCACAACATGCCCTAAGACAAGTTCTCAGCACAAAGGAGATTTACTTGTCCCAGGGGGACAAAGGGCAGGGAATAAGAGATGAAGACAGGAGACAGAGGAGGAGGGAGAAGGGGAGGGGAACAAGGGAGAGGGGGAAGGGATATGGGGGGTACAAAGGACTGCCTCTGGATAGAGAGGAGACAGATAT